TCCCACCGCGACTTCTACCACGGCCACCACGACGACAAGCGTGACGTTGGCCCCAAATTCTTCGGAGGCGTCGCCTCATTTTCTGAGAACATTGTTGACACTGATATCGACGTTGATTCCGACCGCGACTTCCACCACAAGCGAAATGGAGGCAGTATGTCCCCAGCCCTTCCCTCCCCCATCCCCAAAGACACATGCTAACTCGGCTTAGACGGCCTGGCCGCTGACTTGATTGACTTAAACCTCGGTACTTTAGCCTCTCTTTTCGCCTCATTGAACCCCACACTGACTGATTATATAGGCCAGGGCAACCAGGATGAGACTACCGTCGTTGGAGGACACCACAAGCGAAATGGAGGCAGTATGTCTCGATCCCCTCCCTTCCCTATCCTCAAAGATACATGCTAACTCGGCTTAGACGGCCTGGGCGCTGACTTGATTGACGTAAACATCGGTACTTCAGCCTCTCTTTTCGCCTCATTGAACCCCACACTGACTGCTTATATAGGCCAGGGCAACCAGGATGAGACTAGCATCAATGGAGGACACCACAAGCGCGCAGCAGCTCCTCAGATTACTGGCGGCATCAACAGTAAGTGATTCGAAAAGCAGGAGGCAGGCCGGATAGCTTGAAGGTATCTCTTGAGCTGTCCACAGGTCTTGGGCTAGAACATCCGCTAACACTTTTCTCTAGACAAGTTCGTCAACGTGGTCAAGTCTGACGTAGACATTGACAACGATGACTTTTCACACGGACACGGACACCACGACCACAGCGACTACGATGACCACTTCGCTTTCTGGTCTAGCCAGGACGCAGACAACAAGCACGACTACTACCCTCACGGCCACCACAAGGCTTAAGTGCCCAGGATTGGAAGAGTTCGGGGTTTTAGATTGGACTGGATTGGAGGATTGTGAAGAGTATTGAATGTGCTACCCACCCACCATTGACTATGAACCGAGAGATATATTTACTATTGTATTCCCTAACCTATAATTAATTGTTGCAATCAAAAACACCACGATAAAACTATATTCTTCTCATCCCTTCACTTCATTTCATTTCACTTCACTTCACTTCACTTCTCTACTCATCCTCTCCCCCAAATCACCCGCAGCAACTCCAATCCTCTCCTCAAACGACCCCACAAAAGCCCTCAAGGAATCCAAAGTATCAAACGTAACATCCCCAAAAGTTCGACTCTTGACACCCTCCAACTCCTCCAAGACCTGCTTATAAAACATCCCCAAAGGCTTGACAGAACCCACAATCGCCTCAACATAAGTCTGGATGGCATCGAAAAGTACATCCTCCCGCTTCTCAATCTTCACCAAAGCCTTCTCAATCACCCTCGGATCCCACCCTTGACAAGCCGCAGCCGCACTGAGCCGTTCATAACCCAAAAGATTCCGACTCAGACATCGATCTACGAAGAATTCTTCCGCTTCAGCCAATTCACGATGAAATTCCACTCTCGAATTCTTCGCGATCTTGATTGCATGAGAAGTTCTCCTCGTCTCCACCGCAAGATTTTTCACATGGTTGAATAATTCCTCGACGGGCAGTCGTAATTTCTCTTTGATGGAACCTAGAGGAGTCTTTAATCCGAATGTAGGACCCCAGAGAAGGGACACGGTATCCCAGAATCCATAAGATGATTGAGCGAGGGTCTGCATGTCTTTAGGTGCCCGGCTGGACCAATGGAGAATATCATTGATCAAGGTGTTGTACCGACTCACTAAAGCCGTGGTGGATTTCTGCAGAGTTTGTGTCGCGGCGACACGTTTAGTTGCATATTGGGAAATTGTCTTGACGCGAGCATCTTGAGCGATGAAGGCAGCTGATTGGTGAAGATTGTCACTGATGGGTGTGAAAGGTTTTGCTGGGTTGGAGACTGCGTAGTCGAATCTTTTGAGGTCGGGGATTGTGATGGGCCAGTCGAGTGCTTGTGTGATGCCTAGCGGATCCATGACAATGGGCGAGGTGCTTGGTGTTATGTAGTCTCCGCCCAAATCGCAGAAGTTTGGGAGGTTGAAAGAGGAGCCGAGAGTAGCGAGCGTGCTCACGGGACGGTATGAGCAGGGTGGTTCAAAGGATGGATAGAAATAAATCGAAGTCGTGATTATGCAGACGCCGATTGTGAACGGTAGTACAATGAACCAGAGGAAGACGTAGAGTAGGGCTCCCAAGTCGTATTCCAAACCACCTGGGTAGTCTGCGATGAGTTTTGTCAGCCAGGTTTGTGGCTCAGGAACGAGGGTCGGTTCGGGAAGGTCTTCGTTCTCGGGCGTATCCAATGGCTTAGCATCAGTGTTTGGTTTCAAGGCCGACACTGCAGATGAAGCAACGCGGCGGAACGTTGAACGAGGGTCAGCGCCTTTCAACACTGCTACCCAAGAGTCACTTGGCTGTAAACGTGACTTTAGAGATCTCTTGGGCACAGCATCTCGAAAGGATTGTCGACAATCAATGTTTCCGTCCATGATTTGTTCGAAATTTCGGGACGTCGCCTCTTGCGCGACCTTCTCACTGACTTTTGCGTGGAGCTTTTCAGCGTCTGGTTGATTGAGACGGTCCTGTTGCTCCATCCACTCGGCTGACCTGACTGAGTTCACTTCGCCAATACCTGGTGCGGTGGCTTTGATCTTGAGCGTGGTGGGAGACTTTGCTGACACGTCTGGTTTGTGATCTGTGGATGTAGTCTCTATGTCTTCAGCGGCCACATCTGTCAAGCTTCCTCCCGCGGCTCCCTGTGCCTTGGTGGGAGACACAGGAGATTGAGTGGCATTGGAATCTCTCCTGCTTTCCTCGGGATGGACTCCAGGGCTCTCCGGCAAGCTCACGATGGATTCGCGGGGCTCCTCGTTTTGCTGCTGTGAGTCGGCAGTCGCTCCAGCTTTCAGAGGCGCAGGGTCTACAGAGGATTCCGTTGAGCCGTCTGGTGTCAAGGGGTTAACAGGTGTCTTGTCTTCTTTCTCCGGACTTGGGGTCGCCATGTTGGATCTTGCGATCTGATGTCTTTTCAACGGGATGGTGTTGGGTTTAAAGGGCAGCTTCTGCACTGCGAATGATTTCACATGTGCAATATGGATGGGTTTGGAGTTCGACGGGTGGTTCTCTCATCTTCTCCGCCGCTTTCGGAATGAAGACAAAGCCGCTGGCCGAATCGAGTAATGCGGTTTTCTTTGACAACTTGAGAGCGCTGGGTCGATTGCTGATTCAATAGGGACAAAGGTCGGCTGGAATGCAACACTCTGAAGTGAAGTCCACAGGACAGGAGAAAAAGCGACAGGAAAACCGCCATGGTGATGAAATCGCGCAGCAGAAATGGAAAATAGCCTGGGCTCCTGACAGTTTGCCGCATCTCAAGGTTGGAAAATAGGTAGGTAGTCGTATTGATGACCTTACTATGCATGAACACCAGCGATATGCATGTCTTCGACCCAAAGCCGGAGAATACAGGCAGAATCGAAAGATGGAAGGGAAATAAAGGTAGAGACACTGATCAATTCTGGAGTAATTCACATCCTACCTTGGCCTTCCACATCCCGTTGTGAACCGAGTCATCTTGAACTCATAAAAGCTGGATCGTGTTTGCAGGAATCGAATCGCAGGTGTGCGGTCTTGAAGGAGGCTGTCCGAGGTGAAGGTTCGAAGTCGTGACCGAATCAACTGGGGTGGCAGTATCGCGATTCCCTTCAAGTCGCGGCTCTAATGCATCCATGTTGACGAGGTGCTGAACACGAACCAACAGGAGAAGGAAATACCTCATGCAATGTAGGAAAGAAAGATAGACTTGAACGAGGAGGAAAATTAAAGGTTCATCGCGGATCGGCACGAGGGAGCAAGCCACTCTTCGCAGTCTTGACGAGTCTGGTCTCGGAAGGTACATGTAGTGATCGACCAGAGGAGCTCGACGTATTGTCCTCCWTCCTCTTCCCCTTCCCTGTCCCTTTCTTATTACCTCTTCCGACATGTTTAGGATTCTTCGTAAGCTGCTGATGCCCAAGCCCAAAACCGCTGCTATCCTCGGCACCATCTTCCTCGTTTACGTCGGCACCAAGCCGGCCATAGAATACTCGCACGCGAGGCGGGAAACGAGCATTGCGGAGAGACGGGTGGCCATTGAGGAGAAGCGGCTGGAGCTGGAGCAGCAGCGCTTGGCCGAAGAGCGGAGGAGAGCGTGAGGGAAGAAGTCGGAGGRTAAGAGATTGAGATTGAGATTCCATCGATTGATTCCATCCTGGTCGCCGCAACACGCCAAGCCGGTCGTCAACACGTCTTCCGCGCCTCCAACGCGCCTTCTGTCCCGCATCACCACCAACGATGAGCCTCGAGTCGACGCCGTCGACGCAGCCGTCGCCGAAGCGGAAACGAGCCAACGAAGACAGCGACGCCGAGCTCGCATACGCCTATGATGAAACCGCACAACCCACGCCTGATCAAGCTGCAACTCCAGAGGACGAAGCTGCTGCAGAGGCACCACCGAAGAAACGGCGAATCGAACGACCAAATCGCCTCAACTACCAACTTCACCTCACCCTTCGCGGCCACAAACGCGGTGTCGCCGCGGTGAAGTTCTCGCCCGACGGAAAATGGATCGCAAGTTGCTCTGCCGATGCCACCATCAAGATCTGGTCTGCAACCACAGGCGCATTGTCGCAAACCCTCGAGGGCCATCTGGCTGGCATATCCACAATCGCATGGTCGCCAGACTCCAAAGTCCTGGCAAGTGGTAGCGACGACAAAATCATTCGTCTCTGGGATGTCGACACCGGACGTCCTCTACCTTCCCCACTGGTGGGTCACCACAACTATGTCTACTCCATTGCCTTTTCGCCCAAGGGCAACATGCTCGTCTCGGGATCCTACGACGAAGCAGTCTTCTTGTGGGATGTGCGAACCAAGAGAATCATGAGAAGTCTGCCCGCACACTCAGATCCAGTCAGTGGGGTGGACTTTGTGAGAGACGGAACGCTGGTGGTGAGCTGTTCTAGCGATGGATTGATCAGAATATGGGACTCTGCGACAGGACAGTGTTTGAAGACGCTTGTCCACGAGGACAATGCACCCGTTACCAGCGTGCGCTTTAGTCCGAACGGCAAGTTTGTGCTTGCGGCTACACTGGATGGATGTTTGCGATTGTGGGATTATGTGGGCGGTAGGGTTGTAAAGACTTATCAGGGACATAAGAATGAGGCGTTCAGTGTTGGGAGTTGTTTTGGGACTTATTGGATGGATAGGGAGGCGGACAAGGACGAAGAGGAGGAGGCAGACGAGACTAAATGGGCATTTGCGGTCTGCGGGAGTGAAGATGGGAAGACTTTTATGTGGGACGTCAGTTCGAAGGAGGTGTTGCAGGTTCTGGACGGGCACGAGGGTGTGGTATTGGGTGTGGACGTGGGATTGGACGACCAGAGGCTTGTCACCTGCGGTGTCGATAAGACGGTCAAGGTGTGGATGAGGCAGCCGCTCCCGCCTGTCATCAATGGCAATGGAAATCCCGACGCCGATGTTGATGTACCTGCACAGGTCAACGGGACTGATCACACCGCAATGGATATTGATGTGCCTGCACAGCTCGACGGCAACGGAGTGGCTGCCTCGCAGCAAGTGGAAGGCGCGGAAGATGAGGAGAAGGTTGGAGGTTTGGATGCATAAGCCCTCTCAGAAGGACGATTGAACCACACATGGAGACTGGTTCAGWGCTCCAGAAGCGACAGAACAGCTTTCTCGAGCACTACAGCGAATCGAGCAGCATCACCGAATAGAAGGGATATAAAGTTTGCACTCCCGCAAAGACGCCTCCACGTACTTGACGAGTTGCTGTAAGTCACGCATAGCAGCCTCTTACTTTCCACAGTCTTGTTCATCGCCTCCTGATCTTGACGCCTCGGTTTGAAGATGGCATATGCATGCATCGTATTTCTCCCGTTGCTGAGATATGCAGTATCGCCAGCACAAAAAAACCTTACACCTTCCAATATCTATTGCTTTCTACTTTCGTTGATCTTCTCGCGTATTGTTTCATTCTTTCCTCAATTGGCTTGCATTGCTTTTTCTACTCCTCAAACTCTTAGTCGCACGCTGCTGGATCCGATTGCTTTATCCATGGCAAACAAGCACATCCCCAAAATCGGCCGGCGGGAGATACCACGAGACCCTTCAAAGAAGAACAGGAGATAGCTCGTCCGAGTCGAGCATACCAGGAGATTATTGAGATGGTTCCATTGGATCGATATCTCAAGGTCTTTGTATGATTTGTTGGCTTTTATCCGACGCTCTTCATGGACGACGTAGGCTTTGTCATGGACGACTTTGGCTGTAGCTGAAGCTGCCAAAGAACGCTTTCGTGCCACGAATTAGTTTGTGGTGGCCGCGTGTGCTGTTTGAAAGCATCTCCGCTGGGCAAGCTTTTCTTCGGACCTACTCCACAATGGAATCGGGGAGATTATGTGCTCAGGTGGTCCCGAGGATGGGCGAGATTTGCTCCAGCCGCTTGAAGATGATTTGCAGAAGATCCTGAAGATGAAGTCTGTTATCAAAGTTGAGCTGTAGCGCTGCCAGGGAACCAGAAACATGGACGCAGCACACACTACGAGGGAGAGGGCTTCCAGAAAGGTGCAAGAAGTATAGTGCGCCTTTGGTGAATACCAGACCTTGGTACAGCATGACTTTGTTGGGACAGTCTTATCGTTATGGGAGGCTCCTGACTGATCTACTGCCGAGAGCCTTCTTCCAAGCTTGTGGGATTGATGTACTGGCGCCGCCTCCAGCGGACATCATGATGGGTGTCCGGCAGCACTTCTGGTGGTTCTCCTAGTTGGGATCCTGGTGGAGGGCACTCACTATCGTCGGTGTTGTTGGAGTGAGCAGTAGTGGACGTGCTGATGGAGATGTTCACAGCGGAACATCATGGTGGTCCGCCTGGCCAGTAATGGAGTGTCCACGTGGAGTTGCTCAAGGGTACTGGCAGGCTGGGTGGAGTCTGGACAAGAGTTTCAGGCAACACTTGCATGCAAGAAGTGAGCCGTTGGCGGTGACCTCTCCTAGACGGGCTGTATCCTGGTCTTGTCCAATGGCCGTTTTGAGCTATGCCGAAGACCAGAATAGTACTTTCCACCCCCTCGTCAATTAGTGTAGTAGTATCCTAGAAGAAGTTGCCGCCGCCTCCCAACGCTTGGTGTCGATAGCAGACCCAATTGCCTTGAGTTTTACTTCTCCGCCAATACACAACATGCACCGTCTCGCGATTGAACATCTGGCTTTCCGGCGTCCGGAGACCTTGACATGAAAGCCACACCTCAGCGGTGCTGGAGCCCTTGGTCATGTTGCAGCGAGCATTGGAAACCTCCAAGGTCCATTTGGGGAATTGCTTGCGAAACCACGCCATGTTCTGTAAGTGCTGTTCGAGGCTGGCCGCTGACTTTGTTGGACATGATACTGGTAGTTCTTCGCAGGCTGTGATCTGTATCTCATCGTGGTTACTATTACAGTCGTCTAGGAAGCATCGCAGGTGTTAATATGGAAGACTGACCATCTCGAAATCGGGCGAGAGGTGATTGAGGATAACGGCATCATCGCACGAGGTAAGAGCTTCTATGATGGCGGTGGATCTACCTCATGATCAGTTTCTGACCAGGAGCCTCTCAGGTTCAAACTCCTGCATGCACGTATTTGAAAGGATCACATACATATGTTCGAGGTAAGCGGCAGTAGAAGTCGGCTTAGGAGGGTCGACTCGGGTAATCTCGTCGTCCCGACTCGGCGTTGCGGTGCTCGAAGCAGGCATCTTCTTCCTCTTGTGATCTTGGCCCGCGTCTTGGAACGGCCTAACTAAGGTAGGGACAACAATAGGTGATGATGACAGTCGGCAGAAGCGAAGTCGCCTGTGGCTTAACACCGATGTTATGGATGTTCACGATGCCGAGAGTAGGGCAGCACCAGTGCAGTGTGCGCACTGTGGATCTGTGGATCCTTTATGACATCAATCGGAGGGAACGGAGGCCATGCCGAATCCTTCTTCGCTCCAACCCTACTCCTTTGCAAAGACCTCACGTCTTATTAACACGTCCTGGTTCTGCAGTCCGAGATATCACCGCGCATTTGTCTGTTAGAGCTCGTGTCGTGGAAAGACCGTGGCGTTGGGGGAGACACACCAATTGGCTCAAGGACTCAGGCCCGAGGCTCTTTCGGATTTCACTCCCAGAAACATATCACTCTTAAGCGGCTAGAGACAGATACCATGAGCGTGCATCTTACAGCGATGATGTTCATCATCCCTACGATACCGGCGATGAGCCCGTCGCATGAGGCGACGGGGATGCGTGCTAAAATGCTGGCTACGCCGAAGGCCACTTCTGTCAAGTGAGACTGTCTTGGATATTCCAGCTGTGGCAATCCATATTGCTCACCTCGGTAGGTCTCCAGAAAGGCAACGCGGTGTGTTTTGAGCGCTGTCATGCGTAGAAGAGCTGGATCACCAAGGAGAAGCTGAGAGAGGTGCCGTACTCTCAATCTGAGCAGCGGACCAAGGAGTCACAGGGTGAGGGCAATATGGAGCGATCCCCAATCCAACAATAATAACCTTGCATTCCACGTGCTGATGTGCAAAGAAGATCGGGTGGAGCAATGCCTCGCATACGCCACTTATCCTGACTGGACAATACTTCATGGATTTCGCACTACACTACCAAGCTGATACTTGCATCTACAATTAGGTTCTGGAAATTTACAAGGTTTGTAGCAGCCGATCGAACATTCATGCTAACGGTCACTTGCAACACCGTCCAGGCGGGCAAGCCATGTGCTATCCAGCCACAGTAGGGGTGGGCACAGGAGGCTCGTACCCGGATTCTGGCTTGCTAAAGATACAGACATAGCAGGCTGATTGCACACGATCTGTAACACAAGTCTTGCTTACTTCGGGCTCTGACCATCTCTTCACCAGATCGGAAGTGGTATCTTAGAGCTTACCGTCGTGGCGGGCGGCTTGGATCGCGCCATCTGGTGAAACCCAAACGGACGATACTCAGCCTTCGAGATCGGAGTCTGGAGAAGATCGCTCATCTTCCGTCTCAGTACCGCTGTTGTGCAATAATTGGTCTGAGTAGGGAGCTGATCGAAGTTCGTTAGGTCCGTCAGGGATGTAACTACCAAAATCGGCATCATTTCATCGACCACCTGCGTTCCTGGGAGCTCGTCGCTCATGCTATGACGAATTGGTTCGCCCCAGTCTCTCAGCTCTCGGCCCGTAAGCTGCGGTCTTTTTGGACTATTGTTGTAGATCAGCCGCCATGTCAGCAGCCAGGTGAAGTGTTGATGCATATGTTGATTCCATGACAAAGCCACCTTGGAAGCTCGGCACAAAACCCTTGCTCTTCCGGGAAGCTGTCATAAACGCTGGCAACATGCGCTTCCCGTCGCGTGGGTCGTAGGTTGTGGTACAAGAGTCCCTGGCCAATTAATCTACATAGTGTCACACCAACGCATTGCGTGGATACGAAGCATGCGGTTGAGCTGCTGGTCGCTATTGCATTGTCATCTGCCAATGTTTGGGAGAAGGAGGGTGATGATGATTGTACATTGTTGTCGGCCTTTGCGCCTCCCAGAACGTGAGATCATAGAGCTAAAATTGGGCCGCCAAGGCCAAAGGCATCGCATCGCGCGTCCCTCCACCATTTTCCAATTTCTTACACCTTACAGCAACAGCCACTGCCACTGCCGCGCCGCAGAATGGAGAGCCGGACCTGGGCAATACATCTCCATCACCATACCACACACCAGAGCCGCCACTATGTGACTGAAAGTGGTCTCGGCCAAGCCCTCATCAACGCTCCCTCCTCGCCGACCCTGGTTCCTCGCGTTACACTGCGCTTTCGACTGCTGCATGTACGGGCATGGTGCATCGGAGAATTCAACTGACTGCTTCTATGGGCCCTGTACGTCCATTGTTGTCCTGGAAAACGCCCAAAGCGGACACATTGTTTCAGCAGAGCCGAATAATGGATGATTCTTCGATTGCTGGCAACTGCGGACAGGGGTAATACCGCAGGGCACATGAGCATTTCGGAAGGTGAAAAGCCCAACGCTCAAATGGTATATGTATAGAGTGTTTGCCATCCCTTCTCTCGCTTCGCACTCATCCGCATCACATCGATCTCTTCCATCACATTGAAATTTCCAAAATCCACTCAACCACCTACCTTCAAGATGCGTTTCGTCACAGCCCTCTCCTCTGCTTTGATGGTTTCAGCCGCCCTTGCAACTCCCACGAATATGTGGAAAGGCAAAAGCTACAATGGCAATGTCAAGAAATACGGACGCCAAATCAACACGGAAATTCCTCAGTACGGCTCGACCCCTCCCGTCGAGACTCAACCGCCTTCCAAGGACGGCGGCACCAACGACACCATTCCCACAGTCCCTACAGTCCCTGATAATGGCAACGACAATTGCCCCAGCAATTGCCTCACGAACCAGCAAGCTGAGCAWGGCGCGGAGATCTTCCGTCAGCTCATCCAAAACTACACGGATACCCTTGCCCTCACAGTTCTCACAGAGGACTTCAAGGACTACACGTCGGCTGTCAATATAATCCGCAACAGAGGCAACAAGGGACCAATTCAAGTCAATGGCATTTCCTTCACCAGCCGCGAAGACTTCATGAACGCCCAGGGTGCGCAGCCTCAAATCCCCTTCGACACTCTCAACATTTTCCACGGATGTGACCACATCGCCGTTAGATGGCAGACTACCGACTCGGCTGCTGGTCAGGCTACGAAGGTCAACGATATTGTAAGTCTTGTTTGCTTGCTTGCGCTGATAGATCAACACTGATTACAAATGTAGCCCGCGCCAGGCATCGCCATTCTTCAAACCATTCCAGCGACAGATAACGAGTATGGCTTTCGCATTGAGACGCTCTATTCCGAGTTCAACGCTGCTGCATGGCTGGTCAATCTGGGAGTCTTTACACCAACTCCAGTCGCGACCACCAAGCGTGAGCCGGCACATATCGTTGCGATCTGATTGACTTAGTTGATGGATGTGCTCGAACTCTGACGGCGCGACGTGGATATACTGGAATTCGGTTGACGTGATCAGAGGGCAAAAATGTGCATGAAAATGAAGTGAGAGTGCAAGTCGTTTGAACCATGATGTATAGACAGCGTGTAACTGATCGCATGATCAGGTAGTATTGATGATCAAAATTTGAGGCTTCTTCGAAATATCTGCATAATACCCCCTAGCAGCACAACAACATTCGTTCGTTGATTTGTGCAACAACTTCATGATGGTTGCAACCTTTGTCGAAGCAAGGGAGCCCTCCATCCTCTCCCAAAATCTCCATGTCATTGCCGGCTAAACCCGACATCGAACCGAAGCCGAGGGTTCCGTCTTTCTCGCATCTTCGCGACACTTTTACGGTGCGCTTTTAGCGACAACTCTGCAACAATCTTTTTTTAGTAGAACTAAGGTACACTACTTACGCCACCTCGGAACATAACCGTTCCGAGAGGTTAGCGGTGATTTTTAGTTATTRTACGGGCGCTTCCGATATAGCCTCTTTATCTAGTATRTAGATGTAGTCCTAATCGATAGATTAATCGTAGAAGTAAAGTTATCTAAAGCYTATATCTATAACTATATATTAGGCACTCCCTTTATATAGTAGACAGATCGAGAAGTGGATATACGCCCGTATAATGCGTTTACGACTATTAAAGTAGTACTATATAGATATCTATTAAAGGAACGAACGAAACTACTAAAAATAACTCCTCTCTAAACTTACGAAGTACCTACTATCTTTATTCTTATCGCAACCTTTTAGATTAACGACGCTTCGACCGATTACGCGTATAATTTACGTGTAGTTTACTCGTGTTCTTAGATAATTACGAAACCTTCGAGATCGTCCGCTTATAGCTTAAACCTCCTAGGGTAGGATATTATTACTCTACTTCCTCGGTTCCTAGCTCTCCTTTAATTTCTAGCTCTCCCTTAATCTATAATCGAGTAAGTAGCTATCTTTACGATTATATAGGCTAGAAACGTATAAACATCTTACTAAACGAAGGTAGCGACTCGTCGTTACTATTATCGGTAGCGTTATACTCTATAGTAGTATTAACCTACTCTTTACTCTCCTATCGAATTTAGTATTAGACTTTATCTACTAACGTTTATACGGAAAGATAGTATATATACTTCTAAGGTCGGCTCTACTTTAACTACTAGCTTTAACTCTACCTTAACTTCTTACTTTACCTTCTTCTTCTTCTTCTAAGAGCCCTTACTTTTTAGAGTAGTAGTAGCCTTAGTAAGATTTRCGTTAACCTCGGCCTCGTATAATAGGTTATCCGTAGGCTACGATATAGAACGTCTCTTAAAGATAAGGAACACCTTATATTACTTTCGAGATAGCTAGCCCTTTGTATTAATATCGTTTAGGAAGATACGACTTAGCTTCCTATCTTTAAAGTCTGTATCTAGAGGTTAAATAGGCCTATCTCGGTTATTATACGACTACGTAATATATATATAGGTGTTGTCCGGATGTTCTATCTCCTTAGTAATATACGGTTTATTACCGAAGCTACGAATAGCAGCTACTATGTCTTTAATATTATAATCCGGTACCGTAATGTCCTTAGGCGTTCCTACATCCTATTAGCGATTAATTATACGGCGGTATAGACAAATGCAATAATAGTATATAATATATATAGTATACTTAGAGAAYCCCTTACCTTTCTTTAACCTACTCTACTTTAGTATCTTATCTAGATTATCTAGGGTAATATAGTATCTCGTAATAACAATCGTAATAATAAACCTAACTTATACGGTTACTATTATAGAGATAGCCTTTATAACACTATCCTTCGACCGTTAGCTAGGGGGTAGATTACTTATATAGTACTTATGCTTCGGTAGATTTATTACCGCTTCCTTTTCGATCTTAATCTGTCGCATATAGGTTGCCTTTATACTAGTAAGCTACGCTTTATCTAGGAGGCTCCTACTAATATGTCCGTTAAGAACCTCGTCGTCTAATATCTCGCTTTTATTAGAGTTAATAATAATTAGCATAGTACTTAAGGATAGCGTATTCGTCCGTAGCGGCATTAGTATCGCCCGTGTAATCGGTTTATTCGAAGGTGCCGGCGGTATTAGGTTATAATCGCCGTAGAAGTAATATTTCTTATTATCTAGTATATACTTTATATAGTCGAATTAGGGCCGAGTAGGGTATATACGCTTCTATACTTTCTTTGCTTACTTCTTAGAACCTATCGGTATAAAGCGGACTCGTAGATATAGCGTCGTGTACGTTCGTATAAAGGAAGGAATATCGTCTATAGGAAGGGGGTTAGAGGAGGATTTTAGTAAAGGGGTAACCCTTTATCGCTCTATAGGTATAACTACGTAAAGACGGGGGATAGAGCGTACGCTACTTAATAAGTATTATATAGATATATAGGCGTATAAATTTGTTATATAGTTATTATAGAGTTCTTATAGAGATTGTAGCCGGGGCCGCTAATACTAGTAGGGATAGAAGCATATTAGCTATATATCCCCGGTATATATAGTCCTATTAGAGCATTAGAACGCAACGTAATCCTATTATACTAATAATCTATTCCGACTTATCCGACTAATAATTAACCTCTAATATATCGCTATTACTACTTTCCGAGTTATCCTCTTTTAAAAGCTCTCTATTAGTTAAACCCTCTAGTGCCTCCTTAAGCTCTTTACGCGAGCGGTTATTATCGCACTAATCGCGAAACGCCTATATAATATCTTCCGAGTCGATCTAAAATCCTTCCTACTTCCTACCGCCGCGGGGAATTAATRTCTTATATAGYATATCCTTAGGAACCTTACGTAGCTCTTCTACGAGKTTCTCGTATACGATCTAGTACTACGGCTTTTATACGCTTAGTACAAACTTATACGAGCTTAGTCGACCGAGCGGAAAGCCCTTTATCTTTAGAATACTTAAGTAGAGCTTAAGCATCTCCTATAGAATATACTCCTTAGAATCTGTATATATTAGCAAATAATTTAAGATCTATTATATGCGTTCGCTAGTACAAACGTACCCTACTTTGCGCAAGCTTCTATAAGACTATTAAAGTAGGCCTTATTAATTAGATACCTAATACTTAGCCTTCCCTCCTTCTCTGCCTAGTTATAGCGATAGCTTAGTATACTACCCCTTATATACGGTCTATTAGATTATCTTCGTACGGGGTGCTTATTCTATATATATACGAACGAGGCTAGTTCTTTCCGCATAATAGGTGTGTAGATATACTTTATAGCAATACGGTTAGCCTTCTTTGCTTTATAAAACTATCCCTTCTTCTTTAACATTATAAAGAAGCCCTATAATATTAAGATTAATTAGCCTAACCCGTATAATTAGATTCGGATATAACGGGAGCGTTGCTAAAGCATATATAGATAATATGCTCTATATACTTATATRCTATACCTTAAACCTTCCTCGTATAAGCTAGCCCTACTATACCTCGATACGGACATTAGTAGTGCTTATTCTAAATATAAAGCAGCGGCAAAAGCGTACTTTACGCCTACGAATAATCCTTACGTATTAGTATTAAGCCTACGCTATAAGGAGTGTCTCTTTACCCTTATCTATCCGAATAATACGAGGTACTCTCGTAAGCTTTTTATAAGCTTTTATAAAGTTAGATAGCATAGACACTATTATACGGGTAGAGGGTCTAAGATAGGTGTATAGAATAAACCGTATGTCTGCATTAATAGTAGTATAGATCTAAAAGCTATAGTTCTTAAGTTTATAGTGTATATCTATACTCTAGACTATATTAGGGCTAGGCGTAATATACTTCCTACGGCGACGTATAAACTTTGCAGCCCTATTATACGGGCTAGCGGGATAGACCTCGCGGGCTATCTCGTATAGTCGCTTCCTACGATGTAGTAGCATATTAGCAAACCCCTTTCTACCCCTTTCTACCCCTTTCTACCCTATAAATGTATATCGTATAAATATACTAACCTACTAAGCGCAAGCCGCGTACGATCGGTTATACGGAAGTGTATTTATAGTAATATTATTCTATATACTCTAAGGTTCGAGCGATTAATCTCCTTCTTTATAATCTTTTTATATTCCTCTTAACGCTTAAGAAACTCTCCTTCTCTTAGTCGTTTCTTAATGCCTATACTCCGCCGAAACCGTATAAAGGTATAGTACTTAATTGCAAATCCCTCCTCGTTTAATTTGTCTACGATATACGTATCTAGTAGAGCTTCGAGGTAGAAGAGTTCGGCTATTCGGATATAAAGGAGGGGATTATCGTAAAGACTGTTCTTTAACGACTATCGGGGTTCGCTACCGTTCTTTACGACGATTATACGGATAGTCCGTTTAGAGGTATATAGCTATTATAAATAGAGGAAGGTTTAAATGTCGGTAATACTCGTATTATTATTCTAGAGTTTAACGACTTTTAGATAAAGATTAGGGGGGATAGAAGGGGAGCGGCCTATTATATAGAATGTACGTATAATAGGGTAAAGGGTAGACGGGAAAGGAATTAGCGTAGTAAGAGGTTATAAACCTTAGCGAAAACTTTGCTAAAAACTATAGGGTTAGGGTTAGGGTAGTATATTTCTTTAATATAAAGCGATAGTAATATAAATCGTAGGATATTTATAGGGACAAATTGTACGAACGTATAAAGTAAGGAGGAGTTATATTTTAGGTGTAGAAGCAAGTAATTATAAAATAGAAAATATATTTTAAAAGTAGTTTTTAAGTACTACAATTAAGGCCCTCGTAACCTATTAGAAACTCCCGACGCTTAAAGCCGCTAGTATAAAGAACTTAAAAGAGATTCTCTCCTCCCCTAGATACCCTTAACGCCCTAATTACCTCTTTAAAAACTACCCTCTACTCTAATTAAGCCCTATTACTAGTACTCTACTATCCCTATTCTCTAGCGACTACTAGTACGCCTAGACCTCGGTACCTACGATGTACTACGCTTCGGCCGTACCTAATCTCTATCCTAGCGATTAAGTAAGTCCCTACGGTCGTAGCTATAAGCCTAATTATAAAACTTGCAGTTACTATAGATATTATAGAAGTTCTTCTTCTAGATTATATAGCTCTATTCCCGTTAATATCGCATACCTTTATACGGGTAGGAAATATACCTAGAAGTTCCTATCGCTATTCTAATACCGCTCGTACCGCTTGTCCGTTCCTATTTCTTCTCTATTACTATCTACTACTATCTCGTCGGGGTATACCGTTCTACTACGATATTATTAGCCGGTATACTTCGACAATTCTCTAATAGGATTATATAGACCGGCTCTAAATTAATAAAGCGTTAACGTAGGAGTAACGGTTATAGATTTTAATAGCTAGATCGAATATTAGATCTTAAGTTAGGAAGCGATAGCTAGCCTTTAACTCTATTAGCTCCTTCTACTCCTCGTTAATAGTAAATCCTGCTTACTCGAGCTATTATACGGGTTAGTACTACTCTTAGAATATTAAATTCCTAGCTCCTACTCTGTCTGCCCTTACGTCGATAATTCTTCTTTCTCTAATAAGACCTCTATCGATTAAAAGTAGGTTAAAGGCCGGTCTAGTAGTTATTCTCGCGGTCGTTAAGGTAGTAGGTATTTATACGGGGGAGTAGGAGGAGGGAGAAGAATATAGGTAGGTAGTAAAGGGGTAGTATAGTAGTAGGAGTAGTAGATGTTAATATTAGTGTTTAGGTGTTAATAAGAGTTGCTAAAAGAGCAGTAGATATTTATCCTACTACTCTTTTAAAGATCTAAATTACCTATATAAAGAGTTAGAAGGCTGCCTACGTGCCTGCCTTATTACGCTTTTACTTTTATTATACCTTACTCTTTATTACCTCTCCTTTATATGCATTTAGATACTAATATATAAAAATATATAAGATCGGGGTCTATTATACTAAATAGCTTAGGAATAATAAAAGTAGCTAGTATAATAGTCCGCGAGTAGAGTAGATAATAGAATATATAATTTAATAAAAAGAGTAGAAACTTTCCTATTTAGGAAGGAACTATAATATTACTATAATATTATACTAAGNAGTAGAGTAGATAATAGAATATATAATTTAATAAAAAGAGTAGAAACTTTCCTATTTAGGAAGGAACTATAATATTACTATAATATTATACTAAGCTCCTATTRCGAACTCGYAATAGCTAAAATCGAGATTATAYARAAGAAAGAAGAGYACTAATTCTYTATACCTTATCCCTTCCGACYCTAAGACTTRCTYYRAGACCTAYRAGACTACTTRTYCTTTYCTAAACGYAGACCCTTTAACTAATTATCYRTAGCTATRCTCGTARTTATTCCGCGCTTAGGTCGCCGGYRTRTRTTCTCTARTCTACTATTATACGCCTTTAGCCTCTCCTAATAGGCTCTCTCGCTAGCTATYCTATCGCTATACTAGTAGGTACTCTTAGTTCCCCGCTAGATRYAGTTGCTATAGGCTAAGTTYAAATATCTACGCTAGATTATATAGCGCTGTTCTCGTTAGCGTCGAACACCTTTATACGGGYAGGAAAYATACTAGAAATAGCCCTAGGCCTTTAATTATATTRCTATYRTAGTCCTTCCGCTCCTTATAATCTCCGCAACACTCCTCCTTAGTTAATATTATTCTACTACGATATTATTAGCTATTATACTTTAACAATTCTCTAATAGGATTATATAGACCGGCTCGTAACTAGAAAGGCGTCGACGTAGTTCGGACGGTCTCGGATATTATCGATCCTATTAGTAAAGCTATTATAGATCTTAACGTACTTAGTAGTAGGCTTAGCTATTATCTCCCTCTACTCGCGGTTAAGGGAGAATCCTATTTTCTTAAGCTATTATACGGGTTAGCGCTACTCTTAAAGTGTTAAGTTCCTAGCTTATACTCTTATAAAGTTCCACTTAAAATATCCGTATTCGCTATTATTATCTAGATCCTTAGGGAAAGTTCTAGCCCTCTAGTATTTCGTAATATCGATATAACCTAGCTATAGGTATAGCAACTTAGGCTTCTTCGCCTTCTTAGGCTTTTATACGAGTAGTATAGAGGAGGGAGGAGAATATAGGTAAGTAGTAAAGGGGTAGTATAGTAGTAGGAGTAGTAGGTGTTAATATTAGTATTTAGGTGTTAATAAGAGTCGCTAAAAGAGTAGTAGGTNTAGGTAAGTAGTAAAGGGGTAGTATAGTAGTAGGAGTAGTAGGTGTTAATATTAGTATTTAGGTGTTAATAAGAGTCGCTAAAAGAGTAGTAGGTCTTTATTCTACTACTCTTTTAGAGATCTTACTTACCTATATAAAGAGTTATGTAGCTACCCGCGTAATGCTATTATACCTTTACTTTATCCTTACTATTATTACTTAGGTATCGTAGACTTAAATAAAATTACTTTAAAGAAGGAAAACGAGGACATTATACGCGCACATTAAATTACGCTACTTGTTACTTATTGTACGGAATACACCTTTAATTACCGAGGTTCTAATACCCTATAATGCTAGCGTCGCACTATCGCCTAAAAGGATTGTTGCAGAGTTGTTCTTAAAAACGCGCCGTACACTTTGCATAACTAAGCTCGACAAGACACCTTCGACGTAAGATGACATTACCAATCCATCTGCACAAATCTGCTTTGAGCATCATCGCCCCGCTGAGGGGGCGAATGGGCAAACAATGACAATCCGAGGATAGAGCCTGCATAAACAATCAACAGCTACTAAGGTTGAGTGTGAAGCTTTCATCTTTCATCTCTCTATCAGCTCATAATATTTCCGCACGCCTCTACGTGTGACTCGTTACAGGCTCGTCTAATATAGCAAAACCAAAACCCCACATACAAGATGAAGGAAGCTGTCATTAGCCAAGGCCCAAAGGTGACCATTCAGGATTCACCAATTCCGAAGCCTGGGCCACGACAAGTTGTCACGAAGATTGTTTACAGCGGTAGCAATCCTAAAGACTGGTACGTGGTATCAAAACACTATCAGCAGGATTGGTTTTAACTCCCCCCTTAGGAAGATCCCGGAATGGCTGGCGGATCAACCACCAATGAACCAAGGCGACGATATCAGCGGTATTGTGCATGAGGTCGGGGAAGATGTTATAGAGTTCAAAAAGGGCGATAGAGTCGCGGCTTTTCATGAGATGATGACTCCTGGAGGTTCTTACGCAGAGTACCTAGTCCAGCCTAACCTCTTCTATACCTTTTGCTGATTATTTACTTAGGTATGGTCTTTCCTGGGATCACACAACGTTCCATCTGCCCAAGACTACTAGCTTTGAAGGTACCTACCCGCAGAAATGCCCCAACCCAAACGCATGATTCCGATCTGACATACAACAGAGGGCGCCGCCATCCCGCTGGCAGCACTCACAGCAGCCGTCGGGCTTTTCGCTGACGATACCCTGAATCTTCCTCAACCGATCGCGCCCGCCTCCTCACCAATCCCACTTGTCGTTTACGGTGCCAGCTCAGCCGTAGGCACATACGTTCTGCAACTCGCCTCCCGCGCAAACATCCACCCGCTCATCTGCGTGGCCGGTCGCGCTCAAACTCACGTGGAGCAGTTCATCGATCGATCCAAAGGAGACACGATCATAGACTACCGCAACGGAGACGAAGCAGTTTCGGAAGGTATCAAAGCCGCGTTAAAGGGGCAAAAATTGGAATATGCATACGACGCTGTCAGTGAGAAGGGAAGCTACCAGAATATCTGCAAAGTGCTGGAGCCCAAGGGGAAGATCACTCTTGTGCTCCCTGGGAAGGAATACGAGGAGATTCCCGAGGGTGTGCAATTCAGCACAACGAATGTTGGTAGTACCCATGGGAAGAACAAGGACTTGGGATTTGTATACTCGAGGCTCTTTACTAGAGGATTGCAGGAGGGGTGGTTTAAGGCTCAACCGCAGGAAGTCGTCCCTGGGGGTTTGGGTGGGATTGAAAGCGCATTGGAGAAGTTGAAGGATGGTACGGCTAGTGCTGTGAAGTACATCTTTGAGGTTGGAAAAACTGAGGGAGCTACGGGTTGATGGTAGACCTTGATAAGTTGTCGAAGCATTGATTCAGTCTGCTAGGCTTGGCCGCTTGTTGCGAACGCATGATATATATTGTCTTATCTGAATGAAGTGCTTCGAAAGTACACGATGGTTATAGYGGTCTGAGCCATCTTGTGGAAGACGCTGTGATAAATGTGAAATGTTTCGACCGTTCATGGCCTTGGTTCAACACTTCGAGCGAATGGCATAACAGTCGTAAATCCACATCGTAGACGTTCGAGCGGCAGGTATCGAGTCGAGTACTCCTCAGACTGTTGCATAGCCAGACAAGGTGCTGTACAGCTCGTGCCTCCCACAAAACAGTAATATCGCCACCGTCAACAGTAAAGTCCGCTGTCACGGAACTTGGCACCGCAATCTATTCATGAGTGGACCACGCGCCACGATCGTTCCAAAAGAATAGGATAACTTCGTTGCGAAGGAGCTTAAGGAAATGTGCTGCTTTATTCAGCAAAAAGAATGTGATAACGCTCTCAGCGCTAAAATCCAACGTTTTCGCTCCAGCTTCGTCTCCTGCCTACAACACACCACAGCACAACAAAACAACGGTATTATTGAACAAAAGAAACGTCACTTGACGCGCAAACGATCCACTGCGACGTAGGTTTCACATAACAGCGATAGACTAAAATTAAGATACCGCACAGTGTGTGATAAAATCAAAAGTGAGGTCAAAAAGAAAAATCAACTCAATGGTGGAGGAGGTCAAAAAAGCAAAAAAATAGGAATATTCCCTCGACGCGGGATCGACTGTGAAGGATGTTAGGACAGATTAGGGGTGATTGTTGATTGAATTGAAACTTACACCGCGGGCCTCAAGATGACAGGTGAATCCATTACAGTCTTGCGCTCTTCCAGCTGAGCTATCAAGGGTAGGCGGGCGTTGTTTAACAACGGAGGGATCACATGATGCGATGAAGTTTCRGCCGGTCAAATAGTATATATCCCTTCAACACGCCACGCCGTATGAACACATGAAACTTGGAGTTGGAACATTTGTAAAACTAGCTATATATACATAGGTAGTGTAAGAAGAGGTAGGGAATACAACGTTTAATTGTGAGAGAAATTCAACATTAGAATGCAATACCAGACAAGATTGGGCATGACGTCGCCAACGCGCTCCGCCACGACATGTAGATCGACTTCGTTGCAGACTCCCGATGGCAACTAGGTACCATCAAATCATCCCGAATGAGCTGCGGCGCGTGGCATTTTTCAAGCTTGTCTGTGGGAATCAACCGATTGGCACCAGTTCCTGTCACTCTAAATAGCAGCGTGCTGGGCGGGCGCTTGCGATCCGCTTTTCAAGGGGAGCCGCTTCCGCTGTCAAGTTTTCAACAGGTTGCGTTCTCAGCTTCCTCCATTCCTGATTCCCTATTGATCCTTGTCAAAAGAAAACGTCGCAGACACCTAAACCCAGTCGATCCATTTTCAATGTCTAAAAGCAACAGCACGTATTGTCTGCCATGTGCGGAGCACCACAGCTGACTGGTTCAAGGACACTCACCATGACAGCTGTACACCTCAGCATAATCGTATACAAGGGGAGCCCGCTGGACTATCCGCAATATCGCCACACCGCACTCTGGCTTCGATTTGGAGATGGATCGCCACCTCATCTGGTGCACGTTGTAGGCCCGCCAGGGGGTTTCGTGTTTGAGAGCGGAGAGAGCGATAAGCCTTGGGAGACGCAGGGATTTGCTAAGATGGTTGAGGTGGGACGTTTGCTTGTTTCGGCAACCCCAGTACAGACGGTGCAAGCTCTACGTCGCGTACCAATTGTCAACAGTGACCGAGAATTCAACTGTCAGACATGGGTGGAAGCAGCACTCAAGACATTCAAGGTTGCCGGCCATTTGTCCGCCGATTCGTATGAAAGAGGAGTCGATGGCATGGTTGATGCAATCGACGAAGCGGAGTACGTTGATGAATAGATTACGGTTTTTGCCATCTTGCCAGCGCTTGGTGTGTCAAAAGTTCCTTTGGATAGTGCGTCGCGAATATGATTTCGGCATACTCTTTCCAGTCCTTGCAGTCTGTTGGCCTATCAAAGAATTTCACATACTCCCAGTATTCAGGATACCACCCAGCGTACTCCCAGTCCAGTAGTGCTTGAAGATGGCCGTCCTTGACGATGATGTTCCGCGGTGTCAGATCGCMGTGCGTAAAGACAATTTGACTGTCAGTGCCGAACGCACCTCTGACAGTATCTCGGATCACCGATGGTGTCCCTTGGAGAAAGTCGAGAACGAAGTCGTTGAATTCTGCTTCGGTATCGAAAGGGCCACCAAAATAATCCGAGAATTGACGACAATCGTGAGCTGGTCCATTGACAGCTCCAATGCTACGCTGACCAGATGTTGCCTCTCGCATTGTTATAAGCACGTGTCTAACTTTTTTTGCGATATTCCGCTTCTGCTCCGGGTCCATAGACATCCAGGCTTCCTCAAGACACTCCCCGTCAACGAAGTCCATCAGGATTTCCGTCTCCTGGCTGGAAGCTTTCACTTCGTGAATCGCTGGGACTGGAAGTTGCAAGGAATGGGCAAATTCCAGTGCGCTGCTTTCTTCAACCCGAACTCGTGACCCGGATTTGCGAACCAATGTCTCTTCTCGCACTATTCGACATTGGGAGCTCTGGCCGGAGACAAGAACACCTGCATGTATGGAAAGCCATGTTAAATGTGCGTCGGGCTTTGACGGGCGAGCGTACCGTGTGGATCCCGCCTGAAAGCAGCTCTTTTGGCCGCGGGGCTCGCCATGGCCTCATCCGGAACAGCAATGGCATGGAAAGGATCGGGATCATTGTGGGAGTCCTGCGACATTCTAGCGGCTCCAATCTTCGGGAACTACAAGCTGGGAAGGTCAAGTGTATGGGTGCGAAAGGTCGGCGGGGTGGAGGAGTGCCAAGATCTCCAGCTGCGGATACTTTAAGGTAGTGGATCGCGGTCACGTGCCATCACGTCACATGTCGCCGAAGAGAAGTTGACTGCATGGCAAGTTGTGACCTCCCTGCCATTTGATCACAGTATAGGGCTTGCAAAGATTGAAATTGTTGCATTGGTTTCTGAAGGGGGGATGTGAGTAGTAGGAAGTAGAGCATCCTCTTGAGAATAGGCGGGAAGAGACACCGCACAACGCGAGGTGATTGTTAACGGAGGTGTACGAAAGTACCCCGAGGACGTACCTTACTCTGCCTTCCGCCTTCGAAGTTGTTACATCAACATCCCTCCTATGATTCACCTATCCATCGGACAAGTATTCTAGATCGTCGATCTTTGATGACCCGCCGACCTGTGTACAGCCATATTCTGTCTTCACAACGGATCCACGCGTGACGCTTTACATTCGCTACTTCTCACTCTTCAGCTTCCCCCGGAGGTAGCCGGATCGCTTGCCCTGGTCTCTGTGCTGCGTGAACCATGCCGTTCATGGTCTGAGGTGAAGGCACATACCTTGTACGGACCAAAGGCAGCTCACACATCGCGATGGCATCTCATGATCACGACTCCGCATTGGCAAATACAGCTCAGGGGAGGTACAGTAAAACGAAAGAGGGGACGACTCAGAAGTCACCACGAGTAGTAAGCTCAGAGTAAGTGATGAGGATCACTTCCKCTCTAGAATGAACCATTTCCTACCTACCTCTCTATCGTTCTACCCTTTTTGCTCGCTCACAGCAACGAAGAATCGATAATATGGACACTCATCAAGACATTGGCAAAGACTTTCACCCTGGAGCTGACTTCCATCCTGGTCAGTCTATTAATCACCAGTCGTCTACCCAGCCCATCAATGCTGAATACCCTCACGGCGACTCCGCAGAGGATGTCCTGCGCCAGATCAATACCAATGCCACCGGAAGCGTGACAATCTCTTCCGAACTCTTCGAAAGATTGTATCTCCAGCCCAAGGTCGCGGACCCAGCTGGCTTGAAGCATCCGTTGCAGAAGTTGTTTGGGAATCCCACGGGACTGTTCGTACTGTCCACGCAGTTTACATACGCAGACACATATGCTGATTGTGTGATGGTGAAGTGCAATCATCGGCTTCGAGATGAGTCTGATGCCGATTTCCATGCAGTTGATGGGATGGCGTGGTGCTGGAGGATCCAGGGCGACCAACAAGTCTGTCTCTTTCTTGWAATTTGATGAGACGGAACAGCTGACGATCGACTCCCATCACAGTGCGAACGTCATCTTCTTCGGTGGAGTGCTCATGTGGGTTGGTGGACTTTTAGAGTTCGTTTTGGGGTATGTGTTAGGCTGGCGTCGACTGCAGAGACCTCTCAACTGACTCAACATTTCCCAGCAACACATTTCCCTTTCTAGTGTTCACCTCGTTCGGTAGGCCGTACAACTGACCAGTGAAGTACAAGAGGTCGTACTAAGTCGTTCCAAGGAAGCTTTTACGCAGGTTATGGCGGGACCATGATGCCCGAATTCGCCACATATGCCCCCTTCTCGGATGATCCTCTCAACGACCCCCTGGCAGGCATTGCCAGCGCCGAATGGAACGCGAATTACGGTACGAAGTCTTCTACCTACCTCGTCTCAAGCTAATATTCTCCGCAGGGTTGTGGTGGGTCGCATTCACCATCCTGATGTTCTTCTACTGGCTCTGCTCGCTCCGCACGAACGTGGTCTACGCCCTGATGTTCACAACAATCTTCCCAGGGGTAGCATGCGTCGCAGCAGTGTTCATCTATGCGGCGGATGCGAATGCTCAGAAAGCGCATGACTGTCAGGTGGTAGGTGTTCCGAATCGATGCATGTCGAAAGGTATGCTGACGTCCTTGTAGGCTGCTGGTGCACTCCTATTCTGTGCTTGTGTCTTCGGGTGGTACCTGTTTGCCGCACTGATCCTACCTACCGTCGACTTCCCGCTTTACATTCCGCTTGGTGATCTTACGCATGTGGTCCCTAGCTTGACACAAAGGAATTCCGGTGGCGGCAGGAGGTTGAGAAAGCCAAGGTCTGGAAGTGAAAAGATTCAAGAGGATGGTGGCCAGGTGTGAGATGAGAGACGGTATACGATTCGGCTGCATGGAAGACATTGCCATGAGACATGAGGTACTTCGATAGGTAATTGTAAATGGAAAGCCATGTTGGGTTGTAAGATTGTATGTGACTTGGGTCACGCAGTAGCAGACTACTAGTCTGCCCTCAAGCGATGTTGTTGCTGGTCTGCTCTCGCGCCACAAGYACGAATAAAGAATAAGATGGTCTGCTCTCTGCCCTAATCGCAGAATTTCAAGCAGGAGCGTTATCATGGGTATCCATAGTCATTATTCTGGCTCTCATGCGGTCTTGATCTGCCATCACAAGCACAATCTGTGAGTGCTAATAGCGGCAAAAGCTTCCTGCAGATCTCTCTTGGAGCTCGAGATTGTGAGGAGACGCGCCGCATGGACAGCGGCTGCTTAAATATTATGCTGTCTTGGTCTTCACACGGGGAGGTGAGCTGCCGTGTCGCCATAGACGACGTGATTGAGATGAGCCCGAGCCGGCTGACTACAGTAGCGCTTGTGTGATAAGAGGCAACGCTTCCGGTCAACGTGGCGATGAGGGCGATCGGAAGAGAGAGAGACTCAAGCAATTTGGTAATTCTGGGACTGCGCGAAGAAGCAGAAGAAAGTCCGAGGTCCTGTTGTAGCTCGAGGCTTGGCAATATGGCTCGAGCGCGATAGGACGGCTGTAAAATCCTTCAGACTTCATCAGCAACCTGCCCGGTAGGCATGGATTGAATGGTGTATGGCCATGATGGTGGACGACAACCTTGAACCGCTGCCATCCGATGTTCATCTCAGCACACCCTCCCAAGCTTCTCAGAAGCCCGCAACGAAGCGGTTTGGCATTGGCAAAAGCGCTGCCCAGACATTGCCAATCGCTGGGCATGCAGCATGCCCAGCCCCTACCCGCGCCGCTATCAGTTCAAGACTCGTGAGGGACCAGGATGGCAACGCTTGTGGGCAAAAATGCGGTCTTGGACGTCCCCTTCGATGTTTGCCACGGAAAACGACCTTCCTTTCGTGGTGGTCTGTCCGCCTTGGCCATCCGCACGGTGGTGTTACCGTGACATGTATTCAGAAGCTGCACGCTCCTTCGCGCGTTTGCATGCTCGAGTGTCTTTCTGCACGAGCCAATGGTCGCGGTCGACCATGGCAGAGTCGCGTGCGCCCCGCGTGGGTCGTGGATCTATCAGGTCGCCAAGCGTAGGTCAATCATTGTCTGGCGGTAGTCCGAGGAGCAATCTAAGGTCCGAAAAAGAGTGTCAAGCTAGGTAGGTAAGGTAGGTATATCTTCTTTGAACCGCCCCCGGTTCTTTGTCTTTTTCGTTTTCGAGTCACCGAAGTGTTGTCGTGCCATTGACGCATCCCCTCAACCCTTGGTCACCACGTGGCACACTTCTGCACTACAACCACCACCACATCTCCGACAACCATGAGCGCTGTCGTTGGCGATGACCTCGCCGCAATGGCCGAGGCGCGCCGTCCCAGCATCGTGCACCACACTGATGCTGAGAAGTCCGCCATCTACGGCGATTCCAAGGAGCTTTCGGCCTCTCAGCGTGCCTCGTCTGACGGCGAGGGAATGACTCTCGACGGCGATGAGCCCACCATGCACGAAATGAAGACCCTACGCCGTGTCAGTGGGAAGATTCCCTGGACTGCATGGACCATCACATTCGTCGAGTTCTGCGAGCGTTTCTCCTACTACGGCACCACGGCCGTCTTTGTCAACTTCCTTCAACAGCCGCGCCCATTCGGATCGCGCACCGGAGCGATCAATCCCAGTCCAGAGTGCTGGAATGCTCCTGGCTGGAGTCCAGCCGCATGCAAGCAACCAGGTGGCCTCGGCCAAGGCCAGCAGACGTCAACTGGACTCACCACGTTCAATCAGGTATGAAACAACAACTCATCACGGGACTCGATTAATCAGCTGACCGACGTTCGCATAGTTCTGGGCGTACTTGATGCCTCTCTTGGGTGGATACATTGCCGACACGTATCTTGGTCGTTATGCCACCATCCAGTACAGCATTCTCGCTGCGCTCGTCGGTCACTCCATCCTCATTGTCTCCTCGATTCCAGGCGTCATGGACAACGAGCAGGGCGCTCTTGGTTGCTTCGCCGTCGGCCTCGTCATCATGGGATTGGGAACCGGTGGTTTCAAGTCCAACATCTCGCCTCTGCTCGCCGAACAAGTCAAGGAGACCCGTCCAAAAGTTCTGACACTCCCCAAGACTGGTGAGCGTGTCATCGTCGACCCGCAAGTCACCTACAGCAGAGTCTTCCTCTACTTCTACATGATGATCAACTGCGGCAGTCTTGTCGGTGGAATCGGTATGGTCTACGCAGAGAAGGATATTGGCTTTTGGTTGAGCTACGCACTGCCGACTTTCATGTTCTTCTTTGCCCCTCTCGTCCTGCTCGGCTGCAAGAAGTACTACGTTACATCCCCACCAACTGGCTCCGTCTTGGGAAATGCCGCGAAGCTCCTGTCTCTTGCGAGCAAAGGCTGCTGGTCTGCAAACCCGGCCCAAACCTACCGCAACTTCCAACGCGAAGATTTCTGGCACCGCGTCAAGCCCAGTGCTCTCGGTAGCGAGGCTCCTGCTTGGATGTCCAGCTTCGATGACAACTGGGTCGATCAGGTTGCTCGTGGACTCAATGCTTGCAAGGTCTTCCTTTGGTTGCCACTTTACTGGCTCGCCTACAACCAGATGGTCAACAACTTGACCTCTCAGTCGGCAACCCTTGATCTTGGTGGAGGTAAGAAGATTTCTCCATTCAAAAGTCAAAAAAGATATATGCTAACGGAGTGTCATTCAGTCCCCAACGATCTCATCAACAACCTGAACCCATTGACGCTCGTCATCTTCATCCCCCTCATCGACGCCTTCTTCTACCCCGCTATACGCAAGGCCGGCATCAATTTCACGCCCATCAAGCGTATCGCAATGGGTTTCATGGTCGCATCCGGCGCCATGATATCCTCCTGCATCATCCAAGTCTACATCTACCGCACCTGTGTCGTAGACGAAGACGGCACCTGCCGCAGCCCCATCAACGTCTGGGTCCAAGCCGTTCCATACTGTCTCATCGCATTCTCGGAAGTCTTCGCCTCTATCACAGGTCTGGAATACGCTTTCAGCWAGGCGCCTGAGAATATGCGCGGTCTCGTCATGGGTGTCAACCTCCTTCAGAATGCTTTCAGTGCTGCTCTCGGTCAGGCTTTGTTGCCTTTGGTCAAGGACCCGCTGTTGACTTGGAACTATGCGCTTGTGGCCATTCTGGCTTTTATTGGAGGAGTTGGTTTCTGGTTCACGTGGCGCTCGCTTGATGCTAAGGAGGATGAGCTCAACTTGATCGAGAAGTCGAAATACAGGGGCCGCGGAATGGGTATTGGACCGAATTACGCGGAAGCGGAGGAAGAATAGAACTCCGTTGTTTTGTGTGTTTGTGTGTGTATGTTGATGCTTTGATGTAGATACGAAATCAAGTCAAACCCAGTCTGATAATTTTTGAGTTCCTGTTGTCTGTTCTTGTGCATTCCCTGAAAAGGTACTGCCCGACACACTGCCAAAACCGCAAGTAGCATTAACTACATATTAGATACTACCCTTCCTAATGTGTCTATATTTCACCGCCGCCCGTACTCCATTGCCAAATAATCCAATTCACAAACAACATCACCAACAACCTCTTCAACAAATACCCTCTCATCATCCACCCCAAGCGCCCCAGGACACCAAGTAATAGCAAGATTGAGCCTGCCATCTTTGACACTTGCAATATTGACCGCCATCGGCGAACCCGAAGCGTCCGCTGACTGCGAGAAAATATAATCCACAATCTTCCAATCACCACCACCTGCGCCTCCATCAAAAACTCCAACATTACTGAGCTCGAACGAGTCATTCGCGGGCTTGCTAGCCTTCTTCAACATCCATCCGCGAAGATCTTTCAAGTACTGGAGTAGACCAATTGGTTGATCTAACATGGTTGAAGATCTCTGCTCGAGGTGCTTGGTAGTCGCGGCCACGGCGTCCCACTCCTCGATTGTCAGGCTTTGCTTTGCTGTGAGATGCTCAGGCTTTAACGTCACAACCCCATCAGTCACTGAGGCGTAGTTGCCTATTTGTCCCTCGTTACACTTCATAGCTTTTCGCAGATTGAGAGGGACTGTGAAGTTGAAGTGAAGGTAATCTTGTCCTCGCGCGTTTAGACCGCGTGCAAGGGCACGGGCAAAGACATGTGTTAAGAGACCAGTCAAGCGAGAGCTGTGCTCTTTGCCGACTTTCAGCACGTTCTTCAGCGTTTCTGTCGGGACTGATGCCTGGTGGACGTTGGTATGGACCAGCTTCTTGAGAGGAAGCTCATGAGGTCTGATAGACGCGCCTGTCCAGACTTTCTTCATAGATGGGGCTTTGAGGCCCAAAAGCGAAGCAATCGGCGCCGGAAGATACTCGTTGAGCAGTGGGCCAAGAAGGAAGCCCCATGAGATGGGTAGCTTGCCAGCTTTCTCGAGTGGTGGAGGTAATAGAGTATCCTTGGGAGGCTGCCAGAGGGAGGCGTCATCGAAAGGAATGACATCTAGCCTGTTTAGTGCTTTCAAAAACGTGGCGTGAAAAATCGACTCTGAGAAGCCGTCTGCAAAGTTGTGTGAACAGACGAAGGCCATCTGGAAGCGGAATCGTTCCTAAAGGTAAAGAAGAAAATTCGTCAGTGATGTCTGATGGGTAGTAGCGCTGATAATGACAGCCCGCCTTGGATTTGAACATGTATGTTAGACACTATTGTCTCTCATTGCGTACGCAAAGATATACCGGCTGCTCGAGGGGACAAGATGAAGTTTTCGACGTTGCTGGAGTGATCGAAACCGATTGCGAAACATCTCGCCTATTAGTGTACTTACTGTTGGAGCTTCGCTATGTACAGACTGTACGACTACTCGCCACTGAGGGCGTTCGGAGCCGTCGGCGAAAGGCWCATTGTGGCTATTTTCCAGGAAGTTCAGCAGATCTTTGTCACGGATGTAGCAGTAGTGCTTTGAGAGATCCATTTCTTCAACCCGTCCTAGAACCGGATGATCGGTGTCCGCGTCTCGAACCACGATGGCGAGCGTTGCATGTTCGGCGATGCATTGCTTCAGTGCCTTGAAGAAATCGACCTGTTGCAGCTTACGCGGACCAGCATATTCTGCTACGGAGACGATTGATCCGTATCTGTGAAGTGACCATGTCAGAGCTTCAGTGAATTAYGGTATTCGAGACGTTCTGTAGGTCACGCATAGCAATAGCAGCACCGTTGCGTGCTGCATTCGCTGCATGTTGATGGCTGCCTGGAACGTACAGCTTCAGCTCTTCTCTTACGATACATCGAAGTTCGTTCAAGCCTGTTATTGTCATCAGCTGCCTGCGAAGGCTTTACATCACAATGCTTACCTGCAGGACGTATGTATTCCATGTCTTAATGAACGGTGTTTTGGGAAGTCGAGACGGTATCTCAATGTCTCGCAACCGACTCTGTCCTTGCAATCCCCCCACATGCGGATCCCGTCGACGCCGACGGATTCCCGATGTCAATCCCGATACCTGCAGGACAGGAACATCTCGAGGCGAAGTCACGTGAAATCAAGACCATCAACGAGACATGATGAGTGTTGGATTTGGAGAGTTTCGCGATTAATCTGATGGTCTCCAGCTAGCGCGAAACTCACGTGTCCGTACAGGATTCGTCAGCATCATTCACGGAGCTTGATGAACGAAACAAATTCACCAGACTCGCTGCAGCAGAATGAGCGCCATCCGTGTCAAAGACTGATGCCAAGCGGGAAGCGACACTCTGCTGATTTATGAGGGCTGGAGGGGAGGTGATGGGTCTTCCATCTACGCATACTCCTAGTTCATACGCAGGGTCCCCGCATCTGCTGGTCCTTCTAGCCATGTCACTAGCCGTCGGAAGGACGCCCGATCTGTTGGTCTTTCTCCCAACTTCCTCATTGAGCCCGGAGCAGCAGTTGCCGCCACTCAGAGCTCCGAACCAAATCTGCTATGAAAGTGCCAAGATGACGGACATATAGCACACTTGAAGTCGTCTCATCAGAGAGCGACAATAGACCAGATCAGCTCGCCAACATGAAGTTGATTTTTGCTTTGGCGACGCTCGCCACAAGCGTTTACTCTTCTGCGATCCCGGAAGCCAACGAACGTCCACCGGGGTATGGTAAATCTATGAGCTGGGCTGGCGTGAACTCTTACTACCTTCAGGCTTTCAAGACGTGAGTTACTCCATTTTTGGAAGTATCAAAGCTGACGGAATGCAGACCCGATCGTTTGGCCGTCCTAGATGCCGTGAAAGCTGCTGGATTGAAGACTGTCCGGATCTTTATCAGCGAGACTTTTGAAAATAACAAGAACACTGGATCGGTATACATGCCTGATATCGAACCCAAGACGGTAGGAAAGTGGGACGACACTCAGCTCGAGGCGATTGATCAGTTGATGGTTGAGGCTCACGAGAGAGGTGAGTGAGATGTGTAGCAGACATTCTATGGGCTTGCCTAGCTACTAACATCATCCCCCTAGACATCAAGCTCGTGATCGCCATGCACGATCGCTATCAGCTTGGGTGCTGGGGCAACGACACTTACACGAAGAAATACGACCTTCCCACTTTGGATTGTGCTTTTGCAAAGGCGAGTGATAACGATGTTACTTCGTGGTACGCTGGCGGCCCGGAGCAGAAAGACTTCGACAACAGGATCCAACACATTCTGGAGCACCKCAACAAGAAGATCCGTGGCGGTCCACAGTGGAAGGATCTTTCTGATTATATCTTCGCCTTCAATGTACAGAACGAGGGCCAGGGTCACTTACGTGGTAACGTCGCGCCTGTACCCAATTGGTGGTGCGACAAGGCAAACTTCATGCGAAAGCTCCTAGGGAGGAGTAAAGTCCTGGTGGCGACTGGTATGCTTGCCATGCTCTCACTCAAGAACCATACAGCTGACATGACATCCAAAATTGTAGGCGGCGGCAACGAGTTCTCCAACTCCGATATCCCCGAAAATTGGGCCTGCAAAGCCATCGACCTGGTCAATCTTCACTCATACAGTGATGTGAACGCTTTCAAGACATTGGGCGGCAAGGCAGTCCAAAACGGTGTCAAGGCCAACAAGCTCGTAAACTTCGAGGAGTTCGGAGCGACAGGCGCAACAAAAGCGGATRAGCTGAAGAAGCGTATTGATGTGTTCAATGAGATGAGAGTGCCGTGGTCTCCATGGCAGATTGTTAAGCCTGGAAACCCAGGTGACTATGAGTTTTGGACTGATGAACCGGCTTATGCGGTTGTTGCAAAGGGAGCAAAGGACGCGGGAAAGTTGAGGGCACTTCAGGAATGGACTTATTTGTAGAAAGTAGTGGAATTTCATCTTGAGTACGTGGGTTCCATACACCATGAAATTCCGGTTGCCATTTCGGCCCGTGATCGAAAGATTGGAGGAAGAGGGGCTCTCACATGCTGGTATTCACTTCCCAGTTATCCCAATGCAGTTAGTCATGTTTGTAACTCGAGCACAAAACTCGGTATTGTAGGGAGATCGTGAGTCTCGCTCAGCTTTCGATCGACAATACCCATGGTGAAACTGGTTGACTGCTCTTTTTCGATCAGGAATAGAAGTGATGGCAATCATACCATAAAATATCGTGACTTTTTGCATAACGTTCTTCTTTATCCAATACATCTCAAAACCCTACGGAAGAGGATAACTCGCAGCAAAAACCTCCCTAATACCCTCCAAATCAAACCCAACAGCAAGTGACAACTGCAACAAAATCCTCGCTTTCTGCGGATTATACAACCCAGACGCAACTCTATACCCGCCACCCAAAGGAACGAATCCATCCGCACTACGATGGCTCGCAACAATCGGAATCCCAGTCGCATTAAACAACGTCTCCGCAGCTTCCCCAGCTTTCCCAGACATCCCCCCCGCACCAACTCCAGCAAACACAATGCCCTGAGCTCCCGCTGCAGCCGAAGCCATGAAGAGCGTAGTAGACATATCCTGATGCGCATACAGAATATCCACTTGTGGAAGATTCGTCACGTTGGAGAGATCAAAGGATACCCTTCCGATGGGCTGCGCGGGAGCATAGTAGAAGTAAGGAATCTGATTGATGAAGAACCCTAGTTGACCGGCTTCGGTGCTGTAGAAAGTGTCGAGGGAGTTGGCGTTGTTTTTGGTTGTGTAAAAAGCACTTCCGATGCGGTCGCTTAATGTAATCATGGTGCCGCGATCACGCGCTTTCTGCGAGATGGCTAGTGTTACGGCTTGGTAGAGATTCAGAGGTCCGTCGGCGCTGAGAGCTGTGGCGGGTCTCATGGCACCTACTACGATGACGGGTTTGGAGGAGTTGACGGTCATTTCTAGGAAGAAGGCGGTTTCTTCCAGGGTGTCGGTGCCGTGGGTTATGACCACGCCTGAGATTTCTGGCTTGGCGAGTTCTTCGTTGATGAGGGTGCTGAGGGATAGGAGGATTGTCTCGTTGATGCTACCACTGCCGACGTTTGAGACCTGGATACCGCGGATGTTGGATATGTTGAGCATGTCCGGGACGGCATCGACGAGTTGCTCTACTCCCAAGCCGACTTGGTAACCAACGGTTTGGGTATTTGTTGTACCTGAGCTGGCGATGGTGCCGCCTGTGGCAAAGATGGTCACATTGGGAAGGCTGCCATTGATGGGAGTTGTGAGATCGTATAGAGGGTCCCCTGATCGTACAAGGACAGGACTTGCAGCTGAAAGGGTAAGCAGGCCGAGAAGAAGTAGGCGAGTCATGACGAGAACAAGAGCAAGCGGTACTTTGATCTGAGTAGAATCAGAGAAGAGAATTGGCTGAACTAGGCATGACATATACTTTGTACCATAGTGTAGTACAGGCAGATCAATGCCTGCTATCTTTGCACAAGGCGCCCGTTCTAGGATGTGGAACGGAATACGGGCTATGGTATAAGCCGTATCTGCTTTGCCAAGAACGAGATAGCGATAGGCCAGGGCATGTGTAAGAGTATCGGTTTGTAATCGAGTGAGATGTTCTGGTCATTCGCAGTGATATAGGCACAAATCTGCAATAATGTGTTTTACTTCTTCTACGCACGATGGCATCTACCATTGTGCTGTCCGCATCTCCTTCCAAGCTCTTCCTGCTGCAGACTCTTCCCGGCAGATCACTCTCACCACCAACATCGGACCGCATTTATCCCCCAGCGTTTGAGAGATATCGGATCGTAGAGCGAAGTATTGCAGAATCTCTGGCATCGGCAAGCGTCCTTCTCGGGTTCATGCTCGTCTCGAAGCTGAGGGTGGCCTTGGATTGATGGCTGGTAGAGTGTGTCCTGGTTTGGATGCGAAGGGAGAGGAGGAGCTAGCTACCTTAGAACTACCGGTCATGCTGGCATTCCGACGTCTCTGGCCGACATCATGCAGCGTCAATATAGAACGCTTCTTCCATTGTTCCCCATGTTGCGCGAAGGAGTGTGTCGTGATGCAGGACGAAAAGCTGTGTCATCGACCCCGGCCGGAGTCGAGATCCGAAAGCATATCGATCCGAGTCAGTTCTTCTCCATGTTGCGCTCCACTCAAACGTTAAAATGGCAGAAGTAATAATAAGCCCTGCCAGCAGGTTTCAATTGTTCATGCCAGACCGCCTTTTACGAGACCCTCACTGTACATGTCCTGCTATGCTGCAGGCACTGGACCCGACCTGATCACCCTGCAGCTTTCAAAACGACAGACGCCGCATTACCTTACCCTTCCATTTCACCTCGGAAGCGCGTCACTCTGCCAGCGCTACGGAGGAAGTCGTCGACTCACTTTATTCCCGTCACTATCAATCGACGGAAGGTCGCTTAGAGGGCAGGGTATTTGGCATTTGTTGGAAGTCGAAACCAGGATTCGGCAAACAGTCTGATCCACTTGACATCATCAGCAATGCTGGAGACACCTGGACCTCCACACCTCAAGCTCCCACCTCACCCAAGATGCAACACGAATGACGAGCTCTCGCCCACGCGTTCATTTCCAAACCCACATGTCCGCGCGTGACGACCCTTTTCGTTCGCTTTGAATCCTGCCGCAGATCATCTGTGGCGGGTCCGTCACAAAGCGAAGACAAAGCCAAGGCAATGGTAAGGGAAAAGTTGGAATGACGCCCTTTTGGAAGGGATTCTGCCAGGTTGGCGGCCACGGTTGAGTGTAACAGCGTGACGTGCGATGAGGTAGGCGCTTCTTTGTGAATCTCCCAGATTGATATAACTATCGCTGTTTGTAGCCCATTTCCTCCACAAGTCACACTCCTCCACATCAATCATTCATCAATCAATATGGGATTATTAACCAACATTCAAGACAAGCTTGCGGGCAACAAGGATGGTGTAAACAGCTCTTACGACACCACCAACTCCTCCCACCAACCAACACACGGCACGACTACCACCTCAACCAACCCTTTGTCCAGCAGTGCTCCTCATGGCAACAGTGGCATTACGGGAGGCTCGCACCCTCTTGTGAGCGGTGATAACAACACCACTGCCACTCCTGGCTATGGTAGTGGTCAGGGAAGCCATCTGTCGAGCTCCACTGGACAGTACACAAACACTGGTGTTGCTGGCACTCATCATTCCGGTCCAGGTCTTACAGGCACATCTCACTCCACTGGCCTCACCGACAGCTCGCATACCGGCAACACTACTCACAGCAGCCACCATGTTGGGGAAGACAACCGTGGAATGATGGATAAAGCCAAGGATGCCCTGAGCTCGAAACGCTCGAACCACCCTGATGATCCCATCACTGGTACCAACTACGACCAGAAGACACGCGATCAGTACACTGACGGCTCTCATACCACTGGATCGCACGGTGGTATTGCCTCTCACCAGCAGCACGGCAGCAGCGGTTTGACTGGCACATCTCACTCGGGCCCCGGCCTGACTGGTACATCTCACTCCGGTGGCCTCACCGACAACTCACACACTGGACATGGCCTCGGCAGCAACACCCACACTACTGGTAGCGGGCTGACCAGCGGCACATCCCACCACGACACCCACACTGGCTCTTCAGGTCAGCATGTCGGAATCATTCCTGCATCGCACCCTGCGGCCAACAACCCCAGCGCGATCCCAACCGCAGGTGGACAGAGAGTTGGCAGTGTTGATGCGAATATCGGCAATTCTGGTTCGCACGCGGGTGTACATGAGACAATGGGAGACAAAGTCAAGAACGCCCTTCCCGGCCAGCATGGCAACGCACACGATGCATATGGAAACCCAATCCACCCATCAAGCACCAGCGCTCACACCACTCATCCAACCGGTTCGCACGCCACTGGCACCCACACAGCTGGCGGACTTACAGGATCGAACACCACCCATGGTACCCACTCTGGCCCTGGTTTCTCCTCTTCAGCTCAGCCTCTCAGCCACGACTCTCACTTTAATGATCGCCACTCTGGTCCAGGTGCCGGTACTGGCCTTGCCGCAGGCGCTGTTGGAGGCGCCGGTCTCGCCAGCGCAGGTCACCACAACACTCACGATCAGACGACAGGAACTCACGGTCTTGCCTCTCACCAGCAGCACGGAACTACCGGCCTGACCGGCAGCAACACTCACAGCAACACCCATACTGTTGGAGAGGATAACCGCGGACTCATGGACAAAGCCAAGGATGCCTTGTCTTCTAAGCGTTCCAACCAGCCCGACGACCCCATCACCGGCACCAACTACGACCAAAAGAACCGTGACCAGCACACCACCGGCACTCACGGAAGCGGTCTAACAGGCACCTCGCACGACAACAACTCCGCCTACAACTCCACTTCCCACCAGTCTGGTATCTCAGGCATCACTTCCGGCGTCGGCCAGACCCACCTTGGAAGTAACACTCACTCGGGAACTCACAGCAGTGGCCTGACCCACGAAAGCACCCACATCGGCCGCAGTGCCGAGTGGAAGGACGGCTACCAGGCTGGATACCGCGAGGCTCAGCTTGCTTTCAACTCTCACTCTTCCTCTACCGGTACGCACTCTGGAAGCCATCTCGGCTCGTCTGGAAACTACCCTTCTACTTCTACTGCACCTGGATACACGGGTACCACTACCAAGCCAACTATGGGTGATAAGTTGAACCCCAAGACGGATGCTGATCGCGATGGAAAGGTCGGTATTATGGATTAAGTGGAGGAGAAGAATGAGTTTGGAATTTGAGAGGGGTAAAATCAGATTGCATGTTGCATGTTGTGGAAGCGATTTTTCTGTAGGATCAGTAATGAGTCATGACAGCGAAAATGCTATTTGTATATTGTTGGATATTGTGTTCGGTTTCCTTGCATTGTGACTCTGTTGTTGCTTCGGTGATGGTCGATCGAAGGTGTAGTGTCATCTTTGACGAATGCCTTTCGATTTCGAACCCCTTGAGCTGTATACCTGAAGTCCAGAGCGAAACTTGAAGCAAAGTCGCCCATTCAAAAGCAGACAACAGACCTGAAAGCGAAGTATTTTTCAAAGATCAATTCATAGTAGTAGCACACAAACTATTATACAAAGTCATCCAATCATTTCCATCAATCAATCAATCAATCAATCAATCAATCAATCCATCATCACCCCATATTCCAATCTACTCAATCTGAATCCTCTTACTAACAGGCGCAGCAGCTTTCGGAATAACAATCGAAAGAATTCCATCCTTCAAACTAGCCCTAACAGAATCCTGATCCACCCTCGTAGGAAAAGCAAAAGTCCTCGAGAATTCCCCCACGGAACGCTCAGAGACCCAATAGCGCGAAGTGCTCTTGTTGTTGTTGTTGCCGTTGTTATCCCCAGAGGAGGAGGATTTCTGAACAGAAGTCTCTTGTTGCTGTTGGCTAGATTCATCCTCAACAGAAGGTTTATGATAGGAATTCCCACCTTCCCCTCCCGCAGTGATTTTTCCCTGCTGTTGCTCTCCAGGTTCACTGATAAGACCAGAAGGTCTTGTCCCCTCTTCCCTGAAATGTTCAGTCCGTCCCTTGATAGTAAGAGTTTGCGGATCCGTGAATTCAATCTGGATATTCTTCTGTTCGATTCCAGGTAATTCACCGTGAAGTTCGTAGTTTTCTTTTGTTTCTTTGACGTCGAATTTCGGTTGGAAGGTTTTGAGGGGAGAAGATTTGAAAATTCCTCCCCCGTTGGAAATACTGTTGGAGGAGGAAGAGGTGTTTTCGCGAGAGGCGATGTGAGAGGCGTAGTCGTCCATTAGACGGAACATGGGGCCGAATTCGCCGAAGAAGGGATTGTTGCTGCTGCWGCGGGTGCCGAAGAGAGACATTTTGCGGGTTTGTTGGTTGTGGGTTGGTTTTGTTGTTGTTGTTGTTGGGAGTTTGTTGATTCGGAGGAGTCGTGGGAGTTTTTGAGTTGAAGTGATTCTTTGCATAGAAGAGTTTGCTTTTGAGTTGTTTGTTTGTTTGTTCTGTGATGTGAGAATGGTTGGAGGGAATGAGRTGGTGGTTTTTATATTCTCGAGGTCGAGATGTCGAAAGTTCTCGATGCTGCTTTGTGTGTTTCCATTAGCTGTTCCATTATGGGGAGATGGTGTCTTGTAGAATGTACGAGGTTCATCTGGAAGGTGTATGGCTTGCGTAAGCTAGTGACTGGATCTTGCTTTGGATGTCACTCCTTCCTAATCTGGAACGTGCCAGAAACTTCTGGGATTCCAAGACGCTAACCCCGGCGTGGACGTACAAAAACGTGATTGCAGAAGTCTAGCGTTGGGCTCCAATGGGCATGCATATCACAGACACTGCTGCAAGAAGAACCACAATTGAAAAGAAAAGAGGGGCAATTTGCTTGCCACATGTGGCGTAGGGTGAGAATGTCACCAGCGACTCCTGATAATTCGGGGTTCGACGTGCCATTCCATGCCTCACCTTGACGAGTCTTAACGAAGAACATATTGACATTTCATGTACTAACAAGCATAATACCTCATCAATCGAAAGTCCAATGTCCACCTGGACATCAATAGTGACAGTCCACTTCAACCACCCCAACCCTAGCCAAACCCAAAAGTAAGCCGATTGTCCCAATCGATCAACATGAAACCGCCCCCCATCCCGTGAAGATCGCAGATTCTTCCCCATACGACAGTCGTACCACCAGCCATCATCCCAAACGAAAACGCCTCCCGCTGCCGCCAAACGCCCGTACCCTAGTGCCATCTACCGGCAGCAAACGAAGAAAAATAGTCTCCATCTCCCGAGCTACTACTGCGGCAGGGGGACCTGCAACGGCACGCTCGCAGGCGCCAATGCAAGTCATGGCAAGCGCATGGACCATCCACATGGCGTGAACCATCCGCATCGCACGAAGCTTGTACGAACATCACCTCTGTTGCGCTGGGGGGGAAAGTCAAAGGGCAGTAATCAACATCTCGCAAACTCCAGCAAATCATCTCAGCAGAATGGTGCTTTCAATACTCGACTGGTGCAGGGTAGCGTTGGCTTGCAGCTCTGTACTGCTCTGGGTACTTTTGTGCTGCCCGTGCGTTGAGAGAGCTGTTCATTGTCAGTATTTGCTCAGTACGTGGCATTGATGGGGTTCGAGTTCGACATACTGCACTTTCTTCTGCGTCCATTCCAAATCCCGCTGAACTTCTCTCGCGGCTTTCATGCCGTCTGAAAAGTTCGCCCGAGTCCTTGCGAGACGTGCTCGAGCTTGAGCTTGTAGAGCCAGTAGCTCGCGGTTCTTTGCATTCAGCTCACCCGACCTTTGCAATTCGTCAGTCTCTAGATTTCAATCTCACCATTTCTGCCAAACTTACATCTGCGCCTGCCTTGCCAAATTCTTATCCATTGGTAATGGATTGTAGGCGGACGAAAGTCGGTCGTTCATGTAATCTAGCAAGTCCACGCTAGTAGCTCCACTGGACGATTCATATTCGCTACCTGCATAGTTGCTTGATGCAGAAGAGAAGACTCCAGCGCCGGAAGATGAGACACTTTCAGGCCTCTCTGGTGGGGATGCCGAGAGTTGACTGTACGCCGAAGTGTTCCGATTGTGACGAGCGGTGTAGGGTTGATGCGGCGTCTTCCCCGGAACATTCACCGGGAGGGATCCCGTCGGCTGCTGGTACTGATACTGATACTGGTAGTAAGGTGATGCTGTAGACATGTTGATGGGATGGCAATGCTTATGGCTGACAGTGAGGTATGACAAAGGATGCAGTCTGCCTTGGAGGATAAGAATACTGTTGGACACGGATGAGGAGAAGAAGGGAAGAGGGAGGAGACGGCTGTAGTGCTACCTTTTTATACTCTCGTGGTACATCTTACAGCAGGCACTGCTGCTGTCACCTGGAGAGCGAGCACACCAAGCCCCATGCACGAGAGCAGTAGCATGGGAGCTCCGCTTGCAACATGCATGTGAGAATCGAAGCACCGTCTCCAATGATATGGGGGGGAAGGAGGAAGGAAAGGTTATATCGCCGATGCTCCGAGGCGTGGAAGTGTTCTAGACATGACACACCCGATGGCCATTGGCGATGTTGGAGCAAGCTAGACATTAGCTGCATGGGCATATCATACCAACTGGCATCTGCAAAGCGGGTCGGTGGGTCGAGCATCGACTGCCCATACGGGTGCATGATGGAAGCGGGAAGGGAGGAGAGGCATACTGCAAGGTCGTGCAGGAGGCAGCTGGCAATGCAAGCGATGCGACCCAAGAGAGTCTAAACCATTCATGGCATGATGCGTGGAGGAGGACCGCCATGGCATCCATGTCATGTCATCCATCGTCTAAGTTGACGATGATGGAGATGGAAGCAAGTCTGGGACCCGAGCCCGAGCGCGCGACCCAAAAGCAAGGCACAGCGCTTGCGTTAATCAACGCAACGGGTGCTGGTGCTGACGGGACACAGCATACCTAAGATTGAAYGACATGCCGGGCGCAGGTGTCAAAAAGGTGCGCGACGGCCATGCATTCGGGGGTACACACGTCTTTGGGGCCCGGCGGTACACAGCATCGATAGCGTGAGGTTGCGGGAAGGGACTTGGGAGATTTCGAATGGTTAGCGTCGAAATTTGCCGAGCTGGCCTGCAGGCTTCGGGGCGTCGAGGCAAGAAATCCTGGACGGCAGAAAGAATGGAAGTTGGACATGAGTCGCATGTCTCCAACATCACGTTATCGTATCTTTCGGGGAACGGGGAAGAAATTCACGCTTTCTTCACCGACATTCTTACTTTTTGACAATCTTTGCCACCGTTGGGAACAGTTCAAGACATGTCCCTTTCATCGACGAGGCAATGTCCATCGACGAAGCCGGGGGACCACTACTTTTGACGGCGAGAAGCGAGTTGGGCTCCAAAACAGCTCTCCCTCTCCGCCCATCAGGCATCAAAAACGTGGCCTCACTCATATTGGACCGACCATCCAAAAGGAAATGCAGGTGCTACGCCATTCGGGCTTCCTTCCTTCTCGCTGACGACCCTCCGTCATGCTGCATCAAGAGGGCAGTGCCGCATGAATGCAGATTGTGTTTTGTGAGCTGCTGGCCTTGCCCCGATCATCATCTTGTTGCTGCTTATCCTCTCCTCCAACATCATCAAGAAGCGGACTTGCAATACGCATCACGCCGAAGATTCGGCGTGATGCGTATTGCATCGACGTGTTGTTGATAACAATGAACAATGCATCCATTCCCTCCCAAACAAAGCAGCGACCCAACAGCCTGGACCACCAGCCGTGACACCCATCCTAGCGGTACACCATTCCAACTGCCCTCGATTCTTGAAGCCACACACCACCTCATCCAGGTTCACGCTGACCACGAGCCAAGAAATACATCCACCAAAAGTCCTGCTTAATCCATGGAACGGTGTCTAAAAACCCATCAGCAGATGAAAAAAAGTACCACTGGCTGTGTTCCAACTTCGGAACGGGAACCTGCTTGAACAGAGTTCCACGGTGACAGGGATCCTCACCGTAGAGTGCACATCCAATCCAAGGCATTTCACTGCAAACCACCATGGGTCGCGAGCAGGATGTTGCACCATGGTATCGCGTGATATTGAGACTGGCGTGTTCGGCGAAAGCTTGAGTAGTTGCTGCTCAGTCAGACTCCAAGGTTGAAAAGGTGGGTGTTTCCACGGCTTCACTTCAGCTCTCAAAACTGTAAGCCATCATCGAAGATCTCGCACCCCGATTATCAAGATCACAAGAGCGCCACGTTTTCCCTAAAAAGTGACAAAAGCAATACATCCTTTCCAATCATGACAACAACAAGATGAGAATCCACAAAAAAGACATCCTCCATCTCCATTTTGCTACATAGGGGGTTCGAACCCCTGACCTCCAGTTGATCATCACAACCACCATCATCCCAGAGAATGATTGCAGAGGATTTGGGAAACTGGCGTGCTACCACTGCACCAATGAAGCGTTTTGCTGGTGATTTGTTCGATGAGAAGAGTAAGATTAGGGTTCTCTCATGAGGGTTTCCGCTCTCGTTTGTTTGGTGATGCAGGGAGCCGAGAGGGTGGACATGGAGGGTTGACGAGCGGTGTGTGTTTTGAGGTTTTGGAAACGATGTATTGACGGCTTTCAGGGTGTTGAGGGCATGGCTGGGATGGGTTTATGGTGTAGATCACGAGGCGAGATTTCATGTAAGTGACTGAGACTTTGAGGAGGCTAACGACACGGGTTGTGAAGGTGAGAAGATCAGGCGTACATTGAAAAGAGATCTCATTACCACCCGGACGTCGAATCTGGCCAGAATGCCCGCAATCATGTTCCAGCTATCTGACTTTTGTCTTCTTGTTTGGCTCTACAGAGCTCCATGAGATGTCTCCAGCATTCTCAAACGACTGCCAGTTTGTATGAGCAGACATCAAAACCAGGTGCGAGGCAGATTATTGGATACGTGGGCTGTAAATCGGAGGAGGCGAAGTTTCACGGTGAGAGAAAGGACGTAGATTATGAGCAGTAGATCCCATCATTGTGATGCATTGATACTATGCTCATCCCTCGACTACGCGAAGTCTAGACCGTGATCAAGCACAAGCTATCCCTTCATGCATCATTCCACTTTTCACGAGGAGAAGGAAAAGAGATAACTTGAAACCTCTTCACTCATATTATTGTTGATGTTCTTGAGGATGTTGGTCGGACTTCAGAAGCGATGGTAGGGGACAAAGAAGTGTATTTATATAAACATATCTGTTGCTGGTACAGCGAGAAAGCAGACGATCTCTACCAAGAGACGATGGCGTGGGAACCTCGGTCATTCATTATTCTTGTTGGATGACATACCACCGTCTACGATGGGGATTGTTCAAGCAATATATCATCGGCAAAGGAGATGGAGGACGAAGGAGTAAAGGTGTGAAAGAAGACCCATCCTCTGCAGAATGCCATTATGTAAGCATTGTATGCGTTCACAGTTTAAGATCGATCCTTCGGGACTGCCCATTGGCCAATTAATCACTTCATCACGTTGTTGCCTAACTACAATCAATCTACCTTGGAGGCTTAGACCAGACCAGACAAGCTTTGATTTTGGGTTTCCCTCGGCAAAGTGCATCCTGCGAGGACTTCTGGTCGTGTTGGTCGTGGAAACATTTCCTCAGCGCTCATGTCGCAGGCATGACCACTCCCGCAAGTCGACGCAATGGGAAACCAGCGTCTTGCGAGCCTTGCCGACGCGGGAAAATCCGATGCGACCACCAAGTAAGTTATGAGGGAAACATTCCAACAGAAATCCAATTCCTTCACCAGAAAGAAAGCCTTCTCATGGAAATGAAACGCACAGCGCCCCATCTGTGGACGATGTCAACACCGCGGCATCACTGCCAAATGCTTCTATCATCCCGCACCGTTGACCAAACCCCGAGGCGATGGCAGCGTGCGTCCGCGGCATGCATATAACTCCCTCACACCCTCCACCATCAACATCAACAACCCAGGACTCCCAGATCACCACCATGCCAGCGTTTCGCCCAACACGGAGGCGGTACAGTACGCGTTGCATGCCGGCAATGAATCTGATGTGCGCCGGTCTCAATTCCAGGACAGTGAGGTCAATCTTCGGCGTCAAGTAGACGAAATCATGGAGATATTAGACACCCTCCAACACCTGGAAGAAATTCACCAGCTCATATCCTATTACCAGGCACATGCACAAGTGGCCTTGGTTCCCTCTCCCATCATGCTGTATGCAACCAACAAGCTCTTCGACATCTCGCGTGAAATCTCATCACATCAAGCCGGCGGCGATACTGGAGCGATACGGAAGCTCGCCAACGATATCCTAAACAACACCTCTACGCCCGTGGTGGTGCACCCAAATCTGGACTTTGAAGCGTTTGTCGACATGCTCACAGGCAGGGACCTGCGTTTGGAGATGCTGGGTATCGTCTTCACCGTCGCCGCCCGCGCCCGTGCGTGCACGCTGCCTCGTCATGGAGGCGAACTCAACGATCGACTGTTATTTCACCTCTTCAAAGCCGGCCATGCTTGTCTCATCCTATCCCGGGAGCTCGCACCGACGGTGAATGATGTGATGATCTGGTTATCATTTGAGATGACCCGACTCCACACCAACGCGCAGGGCGACTCCAATCCCAATGTCTGGAGGTCAATGGGCGATACAATTGCAGACGCTTACATCATGGAGCTACATCGCGAGGCCAAGGTCGCTGAGAACGCCCCTTTCTGGCTCGCCGAGTGTCGGAGGAAGAATTGGGCGAGTGAGTCTACATAACTTATTCCGATATCAATCCGCACCGCTCTGACATTGCGTGTTCAGCAATCTACCATTGGGATAAGTCCGTCGCCACATATTTCCAACGCCCGCCACGGGCAGGGAAACGCTATACCGACTGCGAACTTCCCCTAGATCTGGAAGACCACCAATTATGCGGCAGCCCCGAAATCTTACATGCAGCACGCAACAAACTCACATCCGACGGGTGGAATCCTGAAGGAGCATATTGTTCCTCAACATGGTATCGTCTACGATGTTTAGCCAGCAGATTAGTGGAAGAACAATGGGAATACCGATATCGAAAGCTCGAGATGGAAGATATCCCTTCTCTGGAACAGCTGGCGGAAAGATGCCAGGCCGTCCGCGCCTCTTTTCCCGACTGTCTCCAATATAATCCCCGGATGTGGGAGTCCGGAATCCCACCTTCGGCATGTTTGATGCTGGCCATCATTTGTCTGATGTATTTGCATAATGACCTGCAGGTGCATATGATGTTGATGCGTCTGGATGCTGCGGCGTATACTGGTACCGCGCTCAAGATTGCGTGTCAGATTGTGGGCACCACCAATCATTTGTATGTTTTTGATGTCCCCCCGAAAGAGAAGAAAAAGAAGAAAAAAAGACCCTCTTTTGCTAACCATTGCCCTTTTTCTCCTTCTAGCGGCCAAATGCAAGAACGCGATTACTTTATGAAATACGACAATGCATATGTAGTAAGTAACACCATCATCATCACCACCACATATCCCAAAAAAGAATCATCAAGCCGCCTCCTTTTTCAACTAACTAACATGAATGAATTAAATTAAAAAGTTACTAACCTACGCCCTCCCCGCCGCCTCAATCCTCATCCCCGCCCTCTCCGAAAAACGAGCCCTCCCTCTTTCCATGAGCCGCTCGAAACTCATCCGGGAAATCTCCGTTTTTATTGGGTATTTGGAGACGATTTGTAAAGTGGGCGAACCGAATTATACTGTTTGTACGCAGCTTGCACGAGTTTTTTCTGGGGCTTTGGATGAGATTTTGGAGCCTGGTGGTGGGGGTGGTGGTGAGGGTGGTGAGGGTGGGGAAGTTGGTATGAGGAATAATGTTACTGCTAATCCTACGGTTTGTGATGGTGATGGTGGTGCTCCTGGGGAAATGGCACCTTCTTCAGGAATTGATTTCCACAATGGTAGTAATAATTTCCATTTGAGTAGTAGCGGTGCTGGTGGTAGCGGTGCTGGTGGTGGTATGACTACGAATTCTACTACTACTACCACCTCGGAGGGAATGGGTTTCCTGGAGAATTTTGATTTGGAAGGGTGGATGCAGAGTGTGGATTGGAGTGGTATTGGGGGGGAGTATACTTTTTGAGGGTACCTAATCTCATCAAGCAAGCAAATAAGCGGACGGATAGACAAGCGGGCAAGCAAGCAAGACAGAGAGACAGAGAGACAGAGAGACAGAGAGACAGAGAGACAGAGAGACAGAGAGACAGAGAGACAGAGAGACAGAGAGACAGAGAGACAGAGAGACAGATAATAGGGGCAAGGGATGGAGGCACGGTTGATAATAATGACAATGATGGATGGATGGATGGATGGATGGATACCTTATACCACGACAGATGATACGAATGAAAGCAAGAGAAATACTCTAAGCGATAAAGTAGATCAAATCATGAAGGAATTTCTTACGTGGACAAGAGAAGACGAATCGGATCGGATATCTTCATTCAAAAGTGCTCCGGTGTTCAGTGTTCTTTACATGTTTCCTGGAAGCGACTACATGTAGTACCTTAGGTAGGTAGATAGGCGGTTTATTGAGACCGCCATCAAGGAAAGAAGCTAGAAGATGAAAATATTCCTCTCCTCTCCTCTCCTCCCACCCAGACCATCTCGATACCAAGCAACAACAAAAATAAACGCCGGACCCAACCCAAACTCCACCCCATGCAATTCAAACTCCATGCCATCCAGTCCATGCCATGCCATCCAGTTCATCCATCCAATCCATCAAGACCCTCAAACTCCAACCCCTTCCATCCCTCACGAAAATCATGCAAGCTCACTCCACCAAAAATCAACCCATGAGCGTATCATCCAGATTCCTCACCCTTCGCTTGAGAGGCGAAAAGACAAAGCCACTTCCATCTCCCGCCTGCATCAACATGGAAGAACTCCCCTTGGTAGCCATTCCCGAACTCCCCATTCCCTTCCCAAGAACCCCTTTCCTCAGCCCCCCGCCCCCCAACGCCCCAAATCCTCTGCCGCCAAATAATCCTCTTCCCTTGCCCCCGCCCCCGACCGCCGTCTCCTCAGCGTCATGATCGTCGAAAAGGGTCTTGCCGACTCCGCCGAGTTTGCGACTCTTCTGCGCCGTCTTATTCTTTTTGCTGACTTCGGGTTCGACGTCAAAGGTCTTGAAATCGGCAAGAGATTTTCTCTTCTTCTTCTTTTCCTTTTGAGCGGGGTTGCGACCTTCATCGCCACTGCCGTCGACCTCCTTGGTTTTGATGCGTTGGGTTTGAGCATTCTCTTGTCCTTGATGGTGAACGCGCTCCGCATCCTCATCGTCCTCCACCACGGCATCCAATTGATTCTTCTTCGCGGGTGCGGCTTTGGCTTTGCGTTGCCGAGCAGCGGCGGGTTTCTTGGTGTTGGTGGATAGAGGAGCTAGAACGGGRGGTTGTTTGATGAGAGTGGGGGAATCTGCTTTGGCTGCTGCTTCGTCCTCTGCGACATCTTCATCTTCCTCCACAATCGGGCTGTCTTCGGGAAGGATGTTCGCGGTCCTGTTAAGAAAGGGGGTGATGGAGAAGGTGGATTTATCTCCCACCCCTTGCGCGGCTTTCCTCCCACGTTTCGCTGCCGGACCACCGTCGCCGGGAGTTCCCAGGGTTGTGGCATCGGCGTCAAAGGTGGCGGCTACTGCAGCGCTGCGTTTCTTGGGGTTCGCCGCAGCTGCAGAAGGCTTCACATTCACACTCATCTTCTGCGCCGCTGCGAGGTCGGCTTCGGTTTCTTTCAACTTCTCCTTGGTGGACTTGAGTTTGTTGCGAAATTGGCCCAGCTTTTCGTCCAGCGTGGCCTTTTGCGCCTCAAAGTCGTCGAGAGCCTTTTGTACGGCCTTTTCAGCTTTCAGACGGAGCTTCTTTTCCTGTTCCACTTCGTCGCGGAGGAGTTCCACCTGATCATCGGCCTCTGCAATCCCATCAGCGCGTTTGGCAGCACGGGAAGCCGCCTTCTTCTCCCTCTCCACGTCCAGTAACAACGCCTCAACCCGTTCCTCCAACTTAGCCTTTGCTTTCTTCTCCCTCAACAAATCCCTCCGCACATCCTCGGCCTGCGTGTTTTGTTGGGCGGCGTCCAACTCCTCCTYGGCCTTTTGTCGCGCCCGCTTCTCCTTCGCCAGTTCCTTCCTCACATCCTCCACCCCGACATCCATGTGCGTGACATCGGCCGCCTCCTCGGCCCTCGCCCGCGCCCGCTTCTCCCGCGCCAAATCGCGCTTCAACATGGCCACTTCCTCTTCCTGTGCAATTTCGACGCCCGTATTCCTCCGCTTGGCCAGCGCGCGTTTGGCATCTCGTCTCGCATTCTCCACCTCACACTGGGCATCGGACAACAATCGCTGCAATTCCCACTTCTCCCCCAACAGCTTCTCACTGTCTTGCGCCTGTTTCTGCAAGTGTTCCAATTGTGGCCTCAACGTCGACAATTCTCTGGTCAACGCCAACTTCTCCGTCAAAAAGGCCTCGGAATCGGCGGCCGACAATTGCAGAGCATGTGATTCGGCGCGAAGAGTTCCAATCTCTTGTTCGCGATCTCGGAGGAGGTCCTCGACATTTTGTAGACGCGTTTCCGCCGATTGCGCGCGAGCGAGATGTGCCGCGACAAGTTGTTCAAAGGAATCACAGCGCAATTCTTCTTGGGAGAGAAGATCACGAAGCTCGTCGTTGTCGTTGGAGGCGATGACGAAGGAAAGGCGGAGTTTGCGAGCCGCTTCGTCTTTGCAGATGAGATCGACGTCGTGGAGGGAATTGTTGTAGTGCATTTCGGCGACGAGCGACGTCGTATGTCGGTCGGTAGGCGCCATCTAAGATTCTCATGCGAATGCGTGAGGTTGGGATGTTGGTGGAGGTGGAGGTGGAGATGTGGACGGACGTGTTTGTTTACCTTGGTTTACCTTGGTTTACCTTGGTTTACCTTGGTTTACCTTGGTTTACCTCATTTGTTGACGCGCGGGCATCTCATCAATATATTGAATCAACTACCATCAAGTCCGGCCTCGGCAAACCTTCCCCATCCCCACCAACATGACAGCTGTGGGGAGCTTCACCTGGCCTGGGACATTGGATGTCCTGCAGGAAGCATCCATCCCATTTCCACCACATTTCCCACGCATTGTCCGCCCAAGATGCGATTCCTCCCCCTCCTCACCACGGCTCTGTTGCCATTCACGTCCCTTGCGGCAAAGAAGGATTCGAACATTGACCGATTCGCCGCCGCATCCGCCAAATCGACTCCGCTCAAACTGGCCGACAAGTCCTACGATGCCCTCACCAAGTCCCCTAGAGACTACTCCGTCGCGGTTCTACTGACGGCCATGGGCCCACAATTCGGATGCATGTTGTGTCGGGAATTCCAGCCGGAATGGGAAATGTTGGCCAAATCGTGGAGAAATGGGGATTCCAAGGGCGAGAGTCGCTTGGTGTTTGGCACGTTGGATTTCTTGGATGGAAAGAGCACCTTTCAGTCGGTGAGGATGGAATCTCTGGTCGGTCTTATAACAGAAAATGGTCACTGATGATGGGGGATTCTCGGTGTAGATGCAACTGCAGACGGCTCCCGTCTTGCTCCTCTTCCACCCGACCACGGGTCCACATGCCAGGAATGATAAACCGATGGAGAGGCTGGACTTCAACACGGGGTGAGAATGCTCCATCACAACCTCCAACAATCTCCCCTCCAACAATCCCCCCACTGACAACCCCCCCCTTTCAATAGAATCAACAAGGCCGAACCCGTCCACCAATTCCTCACCCGTTCCCTCCCCAATCGCCTCCATCCCGCCTTCTCCCGTCCCATCAACTATGTTAAGATTGCCGTCACCACCACCTCCGTCATCGGAGTCTTGACTTTCCTCTACGTCGCCTACCCCTACATTTCCCCTCTCCTCCAATCCCGCAACCTCTGGGCCGCTCTTTCTCTCATCGCCGTCCTGCTCTTCACTTCCGGCCACATGTTCAACCACATCCGCAAGGTCCCCTACGCCGGCGGTGACGGCAAAGGTGGTTTGAACTATTTCGCCGGAGGTTTCCAAAACCAATTCGGATTGGAAACGCAGATTGTCGCCGCCATTTATGGCATCTTGAGTTTTGCTACCATTTCATTGGCCCTCAAAGTCCCTCGCATTGCCGACCAGAAATCTCAGCAGGTCGCCGTCTTTATTTGGGGTGGTGTCATTCTGGCAGTGTACAGTTTCTTGTTGAGTGTGTTCCGCATGAAGAATGGCGGTTGTGAGTACGATGGGAGTCCAACACGCAAAATGTGTGCTAACGAGTGGTCTAGATCCCTTTTGGTTGCCGCCGTTTTAGGTGGAAGTATAGGATGGAAGGGGAGGAGAGATGAGATGAACAAGGGTGAAAAGTGTGGAGGAGGGAGGAAATGTAGTATATGCAGTATGTATAACTATCAAGCTGATCGAGGGACTGACATGACCTCCATGTCTCTTCATCTCCGCCAAGCGAAAGAGCATGCAGATGCCTGGGCCGACATTCACTCTCATGGAATGAACGGTTGAAAATCTGCATCTTGGTGCGCGATCCATGCCCCATTCTTCCTTGCACCAATCTCCAGCCAACCGCGGATTCTTCACCGAGAGCATCTGGAATTCTAGCTTGCCACGAGAAGTTTCGAGTGCGTCTTCTTCTTCTTTGAGTGAGTGAGTGATTGATCATTGGAAAGAAAGACAGTATTCCTCTCGCCTGCACGCAGCGTCAAAGAACGCTCTGAAGCCATCTATCTATCCATCTATCTAATCTATATACCCTTCACTACTGCACAAGCCCAATAGTAAGGAAACTCGGATCCTTCACAACCCGTTCCTTCAAAGCGATCAACTCGTCAACATCCCATTGTGCCCTGCAAAAACGAAAGTTAGAACCCGCTTTTTCTCTGAACAAGATGCAACAGCTTTATGTAGCACAACATACCAAACGAATCTCCCCTGCAAAAATCCACTCTGAGGTCCCGCAAGCCAAACACTGAAATCCGCAGGAAGTTGAATATCCTCCCATTCGATCAATCCCTTGGGAATGATACTCGCAGCCTAGTGCCAATTCTTTCGTCAGCTTGGAGAGTCTTTTTCCATCTTCTTCCATGACAAGATTGTTAGAGAAAGAGAGAGATAGATGATTCACATACCGTGTCACTAGGAATAACTCCCGGGTGAAAATTCACAAATCGGACTTTTTGCTCCTCCTGTTCCGTAGTAGCCTTCGTCATTTCCTGCGCTACTGCAAAATGCTGTAGGAGGAAAGATAGTGATTGTTTGCTTGCGCCGTAGACTTTTTGCAAAAAACAGCAATCCTGTCAGCCAAAAACTCCCTACTCGACCTTTTGTCTGTTTCTTCAAAGGTAAACTAACTCACCTGAAGTTCCAGGAACGGTCAATACAGCTCCAGCTGTGGAGACATTGAGCACGATTCTCGGGGTGGTAGAAGTGGTGGGTAATTTGAGGAATTCTCTGATGAGTTCGAATGGAGCCATGACGTTTGTTTCGAAGCTGTTGGAGAGGAACTATCGCCACAGGTTTTGGTCTGTCAGTCATGGTTACAGAAAGAAAAAGGGGAGGAGGAGAAAGGCGAAAAAGCCATTCCGTGTATGTCTCTGTACCTCAGTATCCAGCTCAGTAGGAGGAACATTAGGTTGAAAAGCCGCGGCGTTCAAAATCATCACATCAATAGACTGGACTTCTGCCAAAATCTCCTTCATCCGAACATGGTCATTGATGGAGGCGGAATAGGTGAGGACTTCCGTGTTGGGGTATTTTGTCTCGAGCTCCGTTTTGGCTTTCTGAAGGGGTTCTGGGGAACGGGCTATGATTACGAGACGTTGGATTCCGGCTTTGATGAAGGCTGTGGACATGGCGTAGCCAATTCCCGTGGCTGGAGGTAGACGAAATGGTCAGCTGGAGTCTTTTTTTTTTTTTTTTTGGTTTCTGTTATGTGCTGCTGCTGCTGCTGCTGCTGCATCTTTCCCCCACTTACCTCCACCTGTGATGAGGACCGTCTTGCCCTGGCCTTCAAAGCCATGCTGGGTTGTGATTCGGTCGTATGTTTGTGTGTGGTAGGTCTTGACCGGCCTGGGCACCTTCTGCATCATTTTTGGGTCCGACATGTAGAAGAATTGGTCCGACATGATGAATTGGAAGTTGTTGGGGGTTTTGTGAGAGATTGAATGTGAAGGTCGTGAATATATATTTGATTGAAACGGAGAGATGCCAATGATATTGAGACTTGGATGGAGACAGGGATGTCCAACTCGGACGTGGCAGTATGGTTTGCTTTGGTCATCATGTTGGTCATCATATACCACAGCTTATTGATGCAATATGCGTCTTTGCCTTGTGAAGTGTTATCTGCGTGCTGAACGAATGTGCTTGGTCCGATGGACTGGAAGAAAAGCCGGTGATTCCAATCAAAAAGTGGTCGTACGTTGCACAAGTAAGACGGCGTCAGACTTGTGCATGGATTAGAGCACATTTGATGGATTTCGGCTATACCCGGCTCCGCAGTCCGGATTGTCCATGCAGACATCAGACAGGGCAGGATAGACTAACGCTCCCGACCCTTATACGTAGAGTTAGCGCTCTATCTCGCAAAGGATAGTATCCGATAGCCTTTTCGCGTAGGAGAACTGACTCAGCTTTCGTGTCCTTTCGTTTTGGAAACGGGCACCATTCCACTACGTTCCAGCTGCTGGTGGGTTGAAAGGCGATTCACCAGATGGAGCACAGATCAAGCCTGTGCCATCATTCGCCGCTGTGCAGCAAAAAGCATGTCTGCAAGCGGATCGTGGTAATCAGCATGCGTCTCCAATGCCAAGGATCGTGAAGTGGTTCAGAGGCACTCTCAGTGCAATCTCCACTTTGGTTTGCTTACAGGTCTACTGCTGCACAAGACGCCCGGAAAGCGTCAGGGGATGCTGTGTTCCCAGCTACGATGATGCATCAGCGCGGTCACTCGAATCGTGTATGGCGCAACATACGGGCTTTGCAATTGGTAGCAACGATTTGAGTACTTTCTTGGGGACAGCAGAGCGCAGCAGAACCGTCATGGAAACATGGACCCGATGTCTGGCGTTTCTCGACTGGCGTGGCGATAACGAGACCACTGATGGTGGCTGTAAGAAGGAGAAGGTACTGCATGGTGAAGTTCGATTGATTCGAACGAGGTTGGAACCAGGAACCCCGTAGCAGGCTGCCAGGCGCTTCAAGTATATGCAGATCGAGAGGCAAATGAAAGAGGKGTGTTTGAGCTTCTTGTAGATCTTTCCGTGAAAGGCTGAGGTCTCTTACGCCTCAGGCTCGACTTACTGTGCTTTCGCTATTCGGACTGTTGCACTTCGAGCAGCATGTCGGTCGAAAGCAGTGACACACCTCACGCTCATCTGTGATAAGAGGAAGAAAAGCGTATCAAGCGAGTAGCAGATGTGCCAGAATGCGAAGGCCATGAGTACCTGAAGCCGAGGTCATTGGAAGGAGGATGATCAAGGCCCTTCTTTCTTCTTCTCTAACGAAGTCTCTTTGGGACTTGGGCTGGTATGGCGGTTCGATCTAATCTGATGCAGCATAGCATCTAATCTGATCGTAGAGAGCTCCAGCCGCCCGTGGCCAATCGAGACACGAGAGGCCAGCGAGCAGCGCGCCGATCTGCTACAAGTTGTCGGCTTGATGCCGCATGGTGGGGTTGGCTGCCACGAGACTCGGATCTGCTGTCAGAGTATCCTTCCGGTGTTCATGACCGAGTTCCTTGACGTGAAGATCGGGTGAGAGGAGTCGTTGTCCGTGGCAAGATGATGAATGATGAGAAGGAGGAGAGCGGGAAGAAGACAAAGGCTTACTCTATGTGCTTACAAGGACTCTCAGGCAGTAGGTAGGTGTTTGGGGCTAGACCAAAGCGGTAGTAGCTCTAGACACTTGTCACCGGCGCAATTTTGGTGTGCGCGGATGCTAAGTGCTAGAAGCTACTATAGCCAGGCCCAAGCTACGTTTTATACGTGCGTCTATCTAGTCTATAGGGATAGAGGGTAGGGAAAAAGAGCTATACTACCTATAGCGTAGAAAGGGCGTGTTAATTAAAGAGGTAAGAGTCGGAGGCTCTTAGGGATTTCAGAACGCCCTCTTACGCACAGACCCTTTTCAAATAAATGTYTGATGAGCTAAGCCAATGGTGGCCTAGACTTCCTTTCCGACGTCACGCGAAAACGCGTCCTCCGTTCTTGCCTCCATCTCCACGCGGCAAGCACTGTCGTCGATGACATGGCCAGCTCCCTGCCGGCGAGCGTGCAATCGCCTCATCGCACACCGAACAAGACCATGGCTGCGCCGAATGTCACCAACGTGGTGCTTGGCAATCTGCACATCAAACCGTGGTACCCTTCCTTTTATCCAGAAGACCTCATTGGAGGTCGCAAGGCAGATTGGCTCTATGTGTGCCAGTGGTGCTTCAAGTACACGCCCGAGATTATGAAGTATTGTGCGCATGGTGTGCGTATCTCACTTTCCATCCACAATGAGTTAAGACGTCCGGCTGATTGAAGCAAGAAAGTTTGCCCCATGAAAACCGAGGCGCCTCCGGGAGAAGTGATATATGAGCAGGACGACTACTTCATCCATAAGATTGATGGCGAGGAGTTCAAGGTAGATGTTTCCCTCTTTCTTCCTTTTACATCCTGCTGGAGACGCCACTGACGAATTCATCCAGCTATATGCACAAAACTTGTCTCTCTTCGCCAAACTATTCCTCGAAACCAAGTCGGTCTTCTTTGATGCCAGCACATTTCTCTACTACACACTGGTCCTCAAGACCAAGGATCATCCTTACGGTCAAGTTGCAGGCTTCTTCAGCAAGGAGAAGATGAGCTGGGACAACAACAACCTCGCCTGCATCCTCGTCTTTCCACCCTGGCAGAGGCGTGGTCTTGGTCAAGTCCTCATCGGGGCTTCGTATGTTCTCGGCAAGCGTGAGGGCCGCTTTGGAGGTCCCGAGAGGCCATTATCAAACCTAGGTAGTAAGGGTTACGTTGCGTATTGGTGCGGAGAGATTGCTCGCTTCGTGCTTCAACAGTCGAAACAAAAGACGCTGGCCATCAAGGAGATTAGCGATAAGACTTGGATCATGCCGGACGATGTGGTGACTGCTTTGAGGGAAATGGACGTTCTTGAGAAGAGAAAGACGGCGAGTGGGAGCATTGTGATCAACAAGGGAAGAATTCGCCAGTGGATGGAGCAGAATCGAGCAAGCCTGCATCCCGTCGTCGATGTGGACGCCTTTGTCGAAGAGAACATTATTGACAGCGAGTTGAGCGAGATGAGCGAGTGATGCTCTGATTGGATTTCATCGGCGTTGGAATGATATTGGCGTTGGAGGCGAAATTTGGCTATGATACCCATTTCGCGAAACTGATACATTTCCAAATCTTATCTATCGCAGCTGCGGTATTGGCGTGGGACTTCCATGGTTGGCAAGGACGGCGGACGGCAACCTTCACCGCACCGATCAATGCAAAGGTCATAGCCGCGCACTCCCGGTGTTGAAGTCAATATCGCCAAGTCGACCAGATTGTTCGAGTACTGATTAGGACTCTCCCCACGCACTGCGAATCGCGATACTCAAAATCCTGGCTGTCCCTCCTTCAAACTTACTACCAACATAATCTTTTTCCCGACCTCCGACAACAGAACGCATCCGCACGCCCGAAAATGACGAAGCAGTTTCAGAGATTGAAGACGGTGCTCAAAAGGTGCAAGAGCCGATTATCATTACATCGACAGCGACCGGCGCTGTACTCGGAACGATGGCATCCTAATCTGGGGATATCGAGCCTACCGCCCGCTGTTGCAAGTGTGGAAACTCCAGGACAGAAGGACTCATCTCAATCCTCCTCAGGCYTCCTCTCGTTACCCGGCGAAGTCAGGAATCAAATATATGAGATGCTCCTCCTGTCAGAGGATTGTATTTTCATCGAAAAGTTGAGGAAGAAGGGGTTTCCCTCTTCAATGCAAGTCAACCGTCTGATTCGAGAAGAAGCCTCTTCGTTCTATTTCCTCGAAAATGAGTTCGCAATGAAAAGGAAACACAAGAACCGCTTAAAACACAAATGTTTTCTGATGGAAGCATTTCTAACGCGTACTGGTGCAAGCAAGTATAACAAGTACCTCCGGGTGGATTGGTACCTCCATAACCAGCCGTGGTATGCCATCTATTGGCCATCACGCTGGGAGCGATTGCTTGAAGATGCATGTATGGAATGGGTGGGCATGTTGTCCAAGTCCACGAGTCAAGCGGTCATGCCCTTCAACATCTCGAAAAGGGCGTTCAAGTTCTGGGCGACTCTGATTGTCGCCGGTGAACCATGGAGACGTGCGTTGTCGAAAGTGCGCTTTCTCCAGTGGGTTATGGATGAGCAAATGGATTGCATATGGACTTTGGGCTGGGTACAAGTGAGCGATGTGCCATTTCGCAACTTCATTGATGTACGATTGGCCTCGCCTTCCTCAACACCGACATGGCTACAGCAATTCGAGGACAAATTCCCGTCAAGACAACATATGCCTGTGCTTTGGGAATATCATCCCAAGGCACCGGATCGTGCGGATGAATGAGGAAGTTCGGGTCGGTCTTTGGTCACGATTTTGCCTCCTGCTTGAGCTTGTAGGTTGTCGATGCTCGTTATCCAATGCAGCCACAGGTCTATACAAGAGGCAATCGACACTTGGGACAACAGTACGGAGGATCTTATCACCAGAATCCGTTTCGATGACAATCGTCATTGCGCGTCATCTCGGGTTTTCCTACGGGTATCTTGGGACCGGTGCATACGGCGAAAGTGGGACAATGGGCTCCAAGGAAGAGTCACGGTGCAAAGGGACGCCGTAATGCATATGTGTTGCTGAAGCGTGTTAAGGATGTAGTCTAGATCGGACACAGCTCCGAGCATGGCCTGGCATGAACATACGCCACCAACGTCACATCTCTCCGAAACCCCCATGTCCCGCGTTCCTGTTTTGTTCCTAGACATGTTGGGGTTGAATGCAGGGGCGCAGCATTTGCAATACATCATGTCGTCTCACAGGCTTTCATCCCATCTCTGTACTTCCATAAACATCACCGGGGTGAAAGAAAGCAGCAATGTCAGAGCAAAAGTCAACGAAGCAGAAAAACGGCAAGTTTTCATCAAAGATGATTGAAATGAACGAAAGTACTGACCAGTTTATCAAGTGCTCGGAGGAGATCTCACTTTCCACACAAAAGGCGAAGGATTCTACAAAGATGGCTACTGCCGAAGTGACCCAAAAGACGACGGTGGTCTAAGAGGGAACTTCTCAGTCGCAGCAACTCTCACCCACGGCTTCCTACAAAGTGAATACGGCGACGATCCTCCTTGTACGTTTGAAACCCTCGTGAACAAACTCGGGGTTCCTGAGRGAGTCTTGAAGATTTTGGACCTMAAGCCCATTTCGCATCTTTCACAAAATGCTGACACTTTTTCTGTCATGTAGACAAAGGTCATTCCGCCGGTCAAAAAATGTGCATCTCCGCCCGTGACTTCTTGTGTGCGATGCRGGAAATGGGACCTGATGCTGGACCGAAAGTCGATTTGCAGGCTACGCATGAGAGGGCTTTGGAGGTGATTAAGCTGCAGGATTTGAAGAAGTATGCTGGTTCGGCGGGTTCTAGAGTGCGAGGCGGAGCTCTTTGAATGAGTGTTTTTGCTGTCTGATTTTGAGCGAGGGTTGGTTGCGTGGGGATTGCTGAAGGATGTGAGTGGTATTGATGTTGACATGTATTGGCACTTCATGATTCTTGCCACAGGGTGAACTCCTTCCTGATACAGTCTCAAGTACTACCGCAAAGACGTGTAGGAAGCCGGATGGGAAGTAAGCGTGGAAGGCATTTGATCGTTACATTTCATTTCTCGATCTTGAGTGTCCCTTTGCCGGCTCTCACTACCATCGCAAACCGTTTCCCTGCGCGATTACATCCATTTCCTTCACGTCATCAGCTTCGAGTAAGAAATGTCGGGAATTCAAACACTCACCACACCATACCCTCACATTTAGTCTCGCAGACAAATTCTAGTCGACCTAGTTGATTACAGCGCCGAGAGCTGCGCAACATGTCGCAAATCGCGTGACTTTCTTCTTGTGGGCCTTCTTTGGGTCTTCGGGAGGCTGTTGTGCGTAGTACATGCCCTGGGGAGGCGGGCCTGGTTGTTGAGCCATCGGTCTGCCATCTGCGTAGTAGGCTTGATTGGGGTATGCTACTGGGTATGCTGCTGCTTGGTCTTTCTTGCCCATGATGAACGCTTGTTTGATAACTGGTTTGAAGATGTGGGTTTTTGCTATTGGAATGGATGGATTGAGGGTGAATGGACTGATGAATTTTAKGAAACCGTGGGGGAATCACATTGCATAAAGCACACTTGCTGTGCCGTTCAAGGCGCTGATCTTCACCTTTGCTCCAAGTCATTCCGCATGACATGCTTTCTGGAGCTGTTGTGCGGGACTTTCAAGCCTGCAGGATGGATCGTGAAGGATGTGTGGGCACGTTGCATACATGAGCTGGGATTGCTGTTAGGGTTGTACCTATGAGAGGTGCTGTGGTGAAGAATGATCGACATTCGATTTCCCATGAGTGGAAAGGCTTGGAAACCATCCGGATTGGGTTTGAATCCTGCCTCGTCATTTCCATCCTTCGCTCCTTTTTGATATGCACCTCTGAGCTTCTGGCACTGCGGGTCTTGCACGCGTATGGCTCCATGCTTACGTAGTTTGAAAGTGTCTTTGATGGCCAGCAGCCAAACATACTGAAGCAGACGGATGTACGGCATGATAGACTTCTGAGCTTGCGAATCCCGATACACGTCGCTGCTGGGGAGGATCAGTTGGGTTTGAATCAAGCTTCGTCCCATGTTGCTTGTCAGCGCTTAGCAACTCTTGATTGCTTGCTGCAACATGCCAACATCGCGATTCGTGTTGCTGCCTTGGAATGGTAGCGGTATAGACTTTCAAACTCGGGCCTCGAAGGATGTGATCGTGCTGTCCAGTCGCTGTGTGAGGCACGATATGTTGGACTTTGACTAAAATGTGGACCGGCATGAGTTGGAAGTATTCAAACATGGCGTCGAAGGAATTAGTGGCTTCTAAGCAGGATGGGTGTGGCGTAATTACATGCAACGACTAAAAGATGACTACCGGAGCTCTTCACTCTGCGAATGTAACTCGATCCTTCAATGATGGCAGCTGTCAAGGGGGCAAGGATGTCTCTTTGGATGTTCCTTATCAATCTACACATTATCGTCAATCTGGGACCTGAATCATCCCTTCCAAAACGATGGTGACAAGGCTACCCCTGAACTGGAATGCTACCGAAGCCAGCGCATCGACGGCGACGCAAAAACTACCTCAATACACAACTCAGCAGAGACGGGCTACAACCTCAGCAGTACAGGATGTACAAACAGCTTTCCTCCACGACCAGCCATGGAAGATGATGGCCGAACAGCCTTGGAGAATTTCCGAACCCAACGGAGTTTACCAGGACACCAGTAATGCAGACCCAACGACTTCGTCTGGAAAAGCTGAAGAACCACTCCGCTGCTTCGATCACGGCTGCAACGGACGGACTTTCTCCAACAAAGACAACTACAAGCGACACATTCGAGAACAAGCAAGTCTAACCAAAGTAWTTTGTCCGTTTTGCTCCAGGGAGTTCAGTCGGAAGAACAACCTCGACTGTCACTTGATCAAAGGTCGATGTAAAATCATGATGGCGACGATGGAATTCTGATCATCGGGGTGGGATGAGCGCGGGTTTCTGGTCTTTGGGGTAGTTGGTGGTGATTGGAAAATACGATCATAATCACACATCATGTAATGTGGAGTCGTGTGTTTTGGGAGTTTGCTCTGGCAATATCTATTCGATTGTGAGCATATCATACTTTTCGCGTGTAGATTCTAGTCTGTCGAACTCCGAACCATGTGTTGCAAACCGGCTTGACAGTGCCGGAAGGATGATTAGGCGCTACTCAAAAGCAGCTTGACGCAATGAGAATTGACACATTCGAGCCTTTTAGCGTGACTGAGGKCAACATTCGGAGCGTGACGCAAGAACAAATGCGCAGGAAGTGGAGTCGTAGCTCAAAATTAATCATCCATTGACTCGATGGTTTCGATTTTCACCCGATCCCAGCTGAAACTTCGGAGAAATATTGATCCGTGCAAGATTAGATTGGTGAAGTGACGGCAGTGAAGGATGTGTGAGTGTACTACTGCAAGGGTCAAAAGTTAAACATTGGCACGTTTTCACGAGACACGTGCTGTTGACACATGGTAGTAGCGGCGTTTGGAGGATGTTACAACAACACGTGGGTGGAATAGTGGCATATCGCCTTTCGATTCAGCTTTGCATGCATCAAGCGAGCGACGTTGCTCGAACAAGTATGTCTCGCCTTGAAGCCTCGAGTATGATACATCGGCGATTGTTATCAATCATGATGATGTGACAGTGATTGACAACAACGACGGATGAACTGCGAAAGACAAGAACGACGGATGATCCGTGGAGGGCTGACAGCGACGAAGGATGGCGGCCACAGAACTAAGGATGGTAGAACTTCTGCTCTTGGAAATGGTGAACAGTTCAGTCAATCTAGCACACAAAGCAAAGCAGGACTCCTCGACTATATAACCAGGTCTCGTACCCTCAATCATCCCATCTCATTCATCCAAAGCAACTCACTTCCACTACAACTAATCCAATCCAATCCAATCCAACCCAATCCAACCCAATCCAATCCACCGCAAAAATGCACTTCTCCAACATCCTCATCGCGGCTTTCGCGACCATGGCCATGGCCTCCCCAGCCACGACACGCTCCGTTCGCGAGCCAGGTCAGGTCGACATAAAACTCCCCAATGGCTGCACCAAGACCAACCTCGCCAGTATGTTCCAAAAAAGACATCTCTATCACTCTTGGTATTGTGACTAACCATAAATCCGTACAGAGTGCGTCGGCCACCTCGCAGCCGCCTCTGCTTCCTGCGGTGCCGCTGCCGGAGAGTAAGTTCCCAAGAATCTATCCATCCATTCCATCATTTTCACCCCGACTTCCACAACTCGTCTCTCGGCTCCCTGCATACATTCAAGTGTTAACGTTCCAATCCAGAGCCGGCCTCAACCCAGTCGCCGATCTCGCCTGCGTAGGCTCCGCCACAGGCGCCGCCGCCAACTTCGACGAGTGCAAATCTTGTATTCCCAAGAAGACGCAAGTCGAGCAAGATGTTATTGTGAAGCGTGAGGAGGGTCGCGTAGACATCACCCTCCCACCAGGCTGCACGAAGAAGGACGTTCGCGGTAAGTGAAATCCCCCTCGAGACTCTCCGAAATGATGCCAAAAAGCATTCAGGGGGTCAAAAAAAAAAAACAAGGAGTTTTTTTTTCTTTTTACTAAGATATGTGGCCTTTGCAGAATGTGTCCTTCACCTCGCTTCGACCGGTGGACTTTGCGCCGCGGCGGCCGCGCAGGCGGGTGTTGACATCCCGAATGATATTGGATGCATTGCTTCCGCTGCTAGCACTGCTAAGAACATTGATGAGTGCAAGGCTTGCATTGTGAGTTTATCTTCCCCCCACAGGCACTTCCTTCTTTCTTCATGATGACTATGGATGGCTGATTGTTATTTCTCTCACCCCTTTTAGCCCAAGAAGAGCGTTCTGGTCTAGAGAGCCCAAGATCAAAGTCGGAGAATCTAAGAATCAAGGATCGCTTCGTGAGGCGACTATACTATTTGAACGCAAGCGAGTATTTTCGAAGCTTTGAGATGGAATGAAGATTGGTTTTTGCTTGCTTGCTTGAAGGATATGATTGTATGCTTTTCTTTTGAATGAGTTGTGGAGGAAAGCTATGTAACCAGTCTTTTATGRATTTATGAGAATGGAAACAGGACACAGTTTGAGTGCGAGACTTGCATTTCCTTCCACATTTCATCAAGGTCATMACTGGGTTCGTCTATAATGTATGTATGTTGTAGTGATTGCGCAGAAGCGGGCCGTTTGTACTTAGTCGGGAAAGCACGCTAGCTTTTGCAGGCGCACTGCTTCGTACTTTCTGAATCGAATGATGAAGCAAGTCATGCCAGTCTTATTCGGTAATGTGACTGATGCTACATCGCCAACTTAGTCTCCAGAAGCAAGTCCATCAGCTCTCTCATCTCCCACATATCGTGGTTCGAATCGTACCACACAGCTCCCACGATCGCCTTCATAGTCGTTGCCAAGACATGTTTGCCAGGGAGTATGCCGTCAGGAAAATAGCCAACGACCAAACGATCAATGAAAAGGCGATAAGCATGTCTCACAAAATTCTTGTTACACATAGTCTTTGCAACTCTTCGGTCGAGGGACACTGCGCACAGGGAGGTAGGTTAGCATGTCTGTTACAGCTTGGTCTGACGGTGTGTGACTTACAAACAGTCTCGTCATAGCGTGCCCAGGCATCAACAATGATGCTTCTCATGATGGTGTCTCCAAGCATGGCTAGCTTACGGTTCCCTTGTTGGAAGAATCGATCGCTTGTACCCTGGGTCAAGCGAGCGTAGCCAATCTGGATTGGAAACATCGCTTCCCTTATCAGTCCCGTAAACTTGAAACGGCGGTCGATGATGTTTTCGATTCTGTCTAACATGCAAAGCCACATGGCGTTGTCGAGTTGCAACTCGTAAGCTGAACCACTTCTGCCAGCATTGGAAGGCACCTGCATAGGTACAGCCACCGTCGGTATCTGGAAAGGGGTTTTCAAGCTATGAGGTTTGATTGGTGGCAACGGGACTTTCAATTCTTCCAAGTAGTCTGCAGAACTCTGGCTGTCGGTTGGTGGTGGTGTGCTTGGGCGTTCTTCTGAGCTCTGGTTCTCGAGTGGTGGTTCAATTTGCGAAAAGGCTTTAGGGCTTTGACTTCGGGCGGGTGGACCGTCTGGAGGACGCTCGCGCTTCTGAGTGGGACTCTCAGCGTCTTCTTCACTGGACGATACTTGGTCGGTATCGCTGTATCTGCGTCGTTGACGCGGGTCTGGCGCGGGTGGAGTGAACGCATCCTCCGCGCCTCGTCGTTCTCCTGTTCCGATGCCACGACTCACATTAAGCGTCAAGATACGTTGAAGATGTCGACGACTCTGCTGGGATAGGGCTTGCTTCTTAAACTCAGTGGTGTCCGTCTCTAACGAGCAAATTGTCAAGATATGTCAACACATCCAAGACACCGGAGCGGTGATCCGCTTTGTCTGAGCACAGATTCAATCCCAGGACATAGTCGAAGCTTCAAGCCAAAGCCTGGAAAGACCTTGTCATTCATGACCTAGACGCAGCAAACCTGAGTGTGGTGAATGAGAAATGTATGTGAATGAGTAAAAAATCTTGAGAGACGTATTTCGCAGCACTGACGACCCAATCAGGCCAGCCTGAGCAGCTTTTAACCCCAAGGCCCGGTGACACCGAAGGTTGCCGCCCTACCACGGAGCATTTAAGCATTTGTTATCCGCAAGGCTGCTTCGTCTCGTGTACCTGCAGCTACCCGACCGCGAGCGTATCGTTGATACACTACAAGGCAGCCGAAAACTTCAATTTCACCGTCTCTTGCCCGTCTGTCCACTCCCAGCAAAGTCTTCGAAGGCACACTGCACTCTTACTTGGTAGTTGGGTAGTGCAACTTGTGCTCACTCACCAAGCTAGTGCCCACGAGCAGATCAACCAACTTCCGAATCTCATGCAAGTCGTTGCCCGAATCAAACCACACAGCTCCAATGATAGCCTCCACAGTCGTCRCCTCAGTCTTCGGACCCTTGATAATACCGTTCCGAAACCAGATTTGCAAGATCTCGCTCAACCCCTTCTTCTGGGCCACTTCGTTCAGGAAGATGTTCTTGCTGTACAGAGCAAACGTCTCGTGAAGTTGCTCTATATCAATCGTCAGTATTGCTTGCTGTGGTGTAGTAAAACGTCCTGGGAAATCCTTACTAGCTTTTGCCATACGCCAGAACCAGGTATCCACGGCCACAGTCTTCAAGAGGCTATCTCCCATGTGTGCCAGCTTGTGATTGCCCTTTTCAAATGTGTGGTCCGGAGATCCATCAATGTCGGTGATGCAAGCCCAACCATACTGGACAGGATACATGGCTTGTCGCAAAAGTTCCGGCTTTGTAAACTTGTACTCGATGATGCTCTCGACCCTTTCTCGGGTGAACAGCCATCTCGGATCTTTCATGGACAGCATGCGAGGGAACTCGGAGTCTCTAAAGTTAGGGCTGGTCGGGAAACTGATGTCCGCCCAGGTTAGTCCACTTAGTAGCTGTCGCTTAGGGGATGGTGGGGCTGTGGATGCATTTTCGCGACTCTTGATGGTGATGGAGTTGACGAAGTTGATGAATTTGGACATTGTGTCGTCTTTGAAAGTTGATGTTTGTTTGGGTGTAGGTGATGTACGGTTCGATTGTGTGGTGATTGTTGCTTTGGGTTTTCTGATCCAAGTCTTCGTGAGCGAGGGTGCTGTTATATAGAAGCAAAGGTCTGGCTCGCGCCATGTGCAACTTCATCGTCGAAAACATTGATTCAAATTGTCTCTTGCAGACTGCGCTGTTTCAAGCAGCTCCCGCTTTGACAGGCACGTAATCGCCCCAGCTTCACCTTATGCTTTGAACTTGTCTCGTTACCGGCACCCATTCTGAGGTTTTCACGCACAAACTACCTTGCGTCAAATGGGCCGCTGTCATTAAATTTTTGTGAGATGATCTCACCCGAGCGCTCCAAGAATAGTCAGTACTGATACACAGGCCATCCAGAACGAGCAAGCCCTGGTTGTCTCATCCGCTTGCAGGAGTCGTCATCGTTCGAAAGGGTATCATTCAGTCTCTCGCGTACTATGAATGTTTTGTGTTATACAGACCAGGCCAGGCCAAGCAATACCCGCTCAACTCAGGCGCCTCGAGGTGAACTTCGTGGCTGACTGTCTGCCTGAATGCAGGCGCGTAACACACCTGGTTTGTGTTATGAGGCAGCACGTACGTCCCGCTTCAACCTCCCTTTCTGGGGCCTGTCGGAGTCGCAACACCGACCTTTCGCTCCTTGTCCTCTTTCTCCTTGAGCTTCCGCCTCTCGCCCTCGAGCATCTTACGCACGCGACCCAGCGAGTCCTGCTTATCCTTGCCGGCCTTGCAGTCCTCTGGGCGATACGGCGAGGAAATAATGACGTGTTCCAGAGCGATGATCTCCTGGTTGTGCCAACGGACGGGGATATTGCTGTGATGGAAATGTTAGCGTCCAACTCTTGATTGTTTCCATGTTCAATCATCCATCTTACATTCTCTTGAAGGCGTCGTAGATGGCTTGCGCCTCTCTCGTGACGCCTCTTCCACGATCATTTTCCTGCGCCTTGAGCTGCTCGATCAGCGCCGTCTCACGCTTCTGTAACTGCCTGGTATCCACGGGTCCAATGGGAGGCAACGCATTGGCGATACTGCCGTCTCCGCCCTGCTGTGGGGTGAGGATTTGGAAAGATGCAATGCGGGTGAAAGGAATGACGTGGTAGTCGCCGGGCTGCGCGGCAACATTGCTGGCAGGGTTGGGTGGGGCGGGTCGCGTATTGATGGCGAGGATGTGAAGCACGGGGCATGCAGTAAAGACGGTGCCCTCGTAGATCTGGGAGTGGGGTGCAGCCGTGGTGACTTTGACTCTGATGAAGAAGAAATACACTTGTCAGCCGCAATGGTCGTTGAGCTGCAGCTGAAGGCCTCGAATTCGCTCACCTTGCGCCTATGGCCTTTCCCAATTGGCTGAGAGAGTCCAGCGAGTCGCCGCCAGTCTTTGGCGTCGCGACCGCCTTGGAGGCAATACTGTTGCGCTTCGTCGTGTCGGCCATGATCGGCTAGTTATCGTCGATGATATTGTAGAGTAAGAGTACAGGCACGGCGGCCGTGGAGATCCGGTCCCGCTATGAAAGCATGTGCCAATGCTCCCCCAAGTAAGAGAGGAAGCTGCAAAGAGTGACGGAGAAGAAGACTGGCGAGCACAGGAAGGGACAATGGGCAAGGCGCCGCGCAAACGCTACCTACCGACGGTCGTGTCCAAAGTAAGGTAGAGGGTGATGTTGCGGGAGCGCGTTGAGTTTAGTCATGACCCACAATTCACAAGAGCCACAGCCAGAGTAGCGTGGACGAGTGTAGAGGAACACTGTCCCCTGAATATCACTGTTCTCACATGATGAGCACATTGAAGAGCTTAGGCTGATGGGACTACCGTACATGAAGCAACAATCAAATTCCCGGAATTCCAATCACGATCCGCATCCACCATCACCACCCCCGCCGCCACATCCACCATCACCTCCACCTCCTCCATGTCCTCCTCCACAATCTCCCCCTCCAGGCCCACCACTATCAGAACCGCCGCCTGATCCACCCGAGCTATAGATCGCTTGAAGACGCTTGGCTTGCATCCCCAACAATGATATCAGCTCCAACTCCTTCCCCAGCTCCTCGTAGAAATCTACTTGTTCAAAACTGGTGGTGCACGCCGCCAACACTCTCCCGTCAGAGTCGGAGAGCGTGTAATACTCAAAGTCTCGGATGTCACTACTTCTCGAAGTCCTTTACGGCATGTCAGCTAATGTCAAAGTATTTGCAACTCTACACCTCACGCTTTCCAGATGTATCTTCGTCCTTGATGCCAGAATGCGTACGCCGCGTACGCCCGCGGCTCTTTGGGCATTTGGGTCCATTGCTCTTTGGGCGTTGTTTCGGGATCACGCCCAAGCAGGACTCGAGGTCCACCAATCAAAGGGTTCAGCATCAAGGCCGCGACAATGGGACCATTTGCCGAACCTGTGGCGATTCGTATTTGATTGGATTTGAAGCTTCGGAAGATTGGTCTGACCCACAAGAAGGGTTGATTGTTATGGACGATCGCATGGACCCTGGGGGATAGATGGTAGGTGACGTTGTATGTCTTCAAGGGCGGGGGCAATGGCATAGAAATTTCTGGGGTCATGGGTACTGCTGTAGCTGCTGTTGGCACTTCCATTGGCGTCGGCGCTATCGTGACAGGTGCTGCCATTGACTGAGGCGCTGCAATCAACGTATAGGTTGCCGCTGACGATGGTGTAGCAGCCATGGCGGGTGCGATCGTCGGCATCTGTGGAGTCGTGTGCGTGGGAGCTACAACGTAGCCAGGCGCTGCCATGTTCGTTATTAGGTGCTGAAAGTGATAGAGCAATGTAGGTCTCCGCTGAGAAAAAGAAAGTGTGGTGGGTGTTAGATGATGTAGAAAGTTTGGAGATTGAGACTTGAAGAACAGAATGGTAAGCACGGCTTAGCCCTACGACACTTTACTTACTTGCCCTCGGATTCTCCAGAGGCGGAAGGCACCTGCATTGTCGTGGACGATACTTGTTTGACAGGAAAGATCGGTCTTCTCTCAGCCCTCTGGACTTGTTCTGCAGTCACGGTCAAGAAGCTCAATCTGAATAAGGCAGAGCCGTTAGTCAGGCCGGCCAGCCAGGTCAGGTTAAGCATGCATCCATTCGGGAGGAGGAAGCTGTACTCAAGCCAGCTCCGGCGTCTTTCTGTTCAGTGTGTTCCTGGGGGTAGATACGTCTTTCGAATTAGTACCATCACAACCCCGAAAGTCAGGGTTACAAGCTCCGGTTGCTTGATGGAATTGGACCAAGTGTACAAGTGTTTGCTCTTGGACGAGACAAGTCTTATTCATACTGATCAAATGGTGGTGTGAAGTCGGGGATCAAGTTTGGAAATTGCAAAGAATGGCAGACGATGCAGATGTAAGTGATACGTTATCAGCCGCATATCATCTATTATTGACTGATATCCTGACCCAACACAGCTAGATCAGATGGACGCAGCACAACAGATGTCACCTCGCAAAGTCAATCGCTACAACCTCGCAATGTCGAGTCAGAAGAAATAGCGATGCATGAGGACGTCACTTCTTCGTCGGCCAGAAGAGGCTTTGACCGTACAGTCATGCTGACTGTGGCCATTATCTGACCCTCCTTAATAGATTCCGTCATGCTCACTCAAACGGACAGGTTCAAGTAGTCACTGCCTTGCACTCATTCAATCATTGTTGACTCATTTACCGCAGCATCACCAGCAATGTTCTCCGCATTCCATTTCCATCTCCTCGCAGCCCTTTTGCTCACATCCCATGCCCATGCACAATATCAAGCTCCTGCACTCGCTGGGCAAGGCAGTGCAATCTCATCTCGAGATCGCATATACACTGGAGACCAGACTTCAAACACAGTGACGGTCATTGACCCTGGCACCAGCTCGGTCCTCGGAACAATAGCATTTGGCTCAAGTCGATTGAGCAACAATCTGAATCCTCAGAATGTTGACTCTATGAACTCCCATGGTCTGGGCTTCTCGCGAGACGGGAAATATATCGTTTCCTTGAGTACACTTTCCAACACCGCCACCGTGATCCGGACAGCGGACAATACTATCATCACTCGTGCATACGTTGACCGAGGACCTCATGAAGCGTTCTTTGCTCCGGATAACCGCACGATCTGGATAGGCACCCGCGGAGTCTCCTCGGTAAACATCATCGACGGTATGAACGGGACGCTGCTCGACAAAATCGCCACCGGCCGAGGACCGAGCAAGGTTCTATTCAGTCCAAATGGAACGATAGCATATGTGAATCACATCTTCGAACCAGTGATCAGCGTGATCGATGTGTCCATCAGGGAGGTGAGCTACAATATCACTGGACTGGCCGATGCCTTCTCCTCCGACATGATGATCTCTGCAGATGGTGGATCTTTATGGGCAGCTCACAAGATGAGTGGACAGGTGTCTGTCATTGATCTAGCAGCTCGAAAAGTCGCTGCCGTTCTGGATAGTGGGCCTGAGACCAACCATCCAAACTTCGCCATCGTCAATGGCACGACATATGCATTCGTGACCGTAGCTGCTATCAATGCAACAAGAGTCTACAGCCAGCCATCGCCGGCTGAGATACCGGTATTTGTGAAGAACATTCCGGCATCTGGAGTTCAACCGCATGGACTGTGGCCCAGCGCTGACAACACGCGAATGTACGTTGTCAATGAGCACAGTGATACGATGGACATCATCGATACGAACAGCTTAGAGGTCATCAAGACTATCCGGATCGGTCAAGAAGGACAGGCACTGATCTATGTCTCCAATGCTGTTCCTGAGGGGATGAACGGAACGGAGAATCTAGGCAAGCAAGGCTTGGGCTTGCGCGTGGAGAGCTACCGGTTTCCGGTGTTTGGAAACGCGAGCAATGATGAGACGGACTTTATGACGGACGTCCCAAAACCTCAAGCCCAAATCACCATACGGAAGACTTCTGGCTTGGACATGTTTCAGGTGATTGGCAGAAATCTTGTCTTGAATGGCACCTACACGGTCTCGGCACGGCGACAATCAAGTGATGAGAACAGCAGAACACCGCTTATGACTTTCACTGCAAATACCCGGACTAGAACTGGATGTGGCACTGCGCCGCAAGCTTTGGCTTTCTTCAAGTTCTGGGATGTGTACGATGTGCAAAGTCTAGAGGTCAGACAAGGGGCGTGAGAAGTAACATCTGTCACTGAACAATGATGAAAGCTTTTCCAGATTTTATTGTCATTCACCTGCTGGCATGCACTCTAATCTGCCTCTCAAAAACATCGCGCTCGGAGGAGGGAGATTTGCTCAAGCACCGACTTTTGCCGAAGCAGAGGCCACCAGCTTTCTTAAATCTATCCCATCCCTCCATTTTACAACTTCTCCTGACAAGCTACTTGCCATCATCTTCCACAACCTTCTCCGCATCTGGGAGGTTCACAAAGTCGTCATCGACCACTTCGCCCTTTCTAGCCGTCTCAATCTGCTTGAGACGGTCCTTTGCGACTTTTGACAAACCAGGTTGTCAGCTCGGCGCGGGACTATCATATTATGGAAGCAGACAACAACTTACCTTTGCTGTCTCTGGAAAGTGGCTTGGTCTTGCCCTCCTTGAGAATGCTACCCACAGAGCCGTACGGCTTGCCAATAGTCTCGAGCTCGCTCTCCTGCGGAACGTCGGTGTGTCCGRGAACGACGGATGGCTCGTTGAGCTCCTTGCGCTGGATCTCTTCGGTGGGTTCCTCGAGCTCGGCTTCGGTGATCTGGTTGTACTCGTCTTTGACCGTCTTTCCGATGGATTGGCGGTGGTGCTTTTCCTTGTTGGTGGGACTCTTGGGGGTGTTCTTCGAGGCAGACATTGTTATTGTTGGTTACCTTAGGTTTCCTGGAGTGGATGAAGGTGAGAGGAAAAGGATGTAGGAGCTGCTGCTTGAGAGGAAGTTATGGTGTTCTGTCGTGTTTGCTCTTGGCTCGGGTTTCCTTTGAGCGTATTCAAAACTGTAGCAATCCTCTTTTCACAACTCGAAATCTTGAGGAAAATACGCCAGAAGAAAGACTCGGAGTTTGCAGGCAGCTGATGGCATGGTTCAGTGCTCACCAGAGCTTGATAGCAGAATAGGAAACAAAGTAGATACTGGCAAACTTGCTGCATCTTACGATTGGGAAGTCGTCATGACTTAGGAATGCCAGTAAAGCTGGCTGTATTGGTATGTTGTAGATTCTCTCAGCTATGTTCGCAGTTTGCACGATTTGTGACCTTGGATGGGATCCTGCTGCCGAACAGGCTCGGCAGTTCAGAGCGTATGCATCGGTAGTGGGAAGGAGGTCTTTCCAGAGGATCATTGGCATCGTAACCTTGACAACATCCTTGATTGTTTGGGTCTGCACACCGACAGAGCGTACGTCTGTCGAGAACACAATGATTACAGCATATGTTTGCATCGTAGGTTACTCAGACCCACATAATCCTCTCGAGCACCCTATCTCCAGTGCGTTATCAGCATCGATTCTCGTAAAGGCTCAATGAAAGTGGATTTTTGGCCATTAGGAACAACTGCCGATCCAAAGAGACGACGTATCAGTCCCTTCCCTTTGGGAATATCCTGTCATTTTGATTTCAAGTCGTAGGCCAAGCGGATGATGATGAGTTTGCTCAAATGTATCTCGTTCAGGAATCACCAGGACTTTGACGAGTGCAGGACGAAGTGATGTTCAGCATGTGAGATGTGAGGCAAGAGCACGACGGGAAGACCCTTGGCGCTAGCGGCTCGCTTAAGCCGACGTTCGAAAATCCGCGCACACCAGAACTTGCAACCCAGCATCCACATCTCAAGTCAACGAAGGGCAACCGGAGACACTACCAACAAAATGGCACCAAAGAAGAGCACCAAGACGTCCGACAACATCAACGCCAAGCTTGCCTTGACTATCAAGGTGCGCAGATAGCATTCCGTGCAGAAGAGAGATGCGGGCCACGTACTGACACATTTTCTACAGTCCGGTAAGGTCACTCTTGGTTACAAGTCGACCCTCAAGACCCTCCGCTCCGGCAAGGCCAAGCTCGTCATCATCGCCGGCAACACCCCTCCTCTCCGCAAGTCTGAGCTCGAGTGTAAGTTGAATTTGGAAAACAGCAAGGAAATGGGATGGAAACTGACAGGACACCAGACTACAGCATGTTGGCCAAGACCGCTGTCCACCACTTCTCCGGCAACAACGTAAGCCTTCCCCTATAAAACACCCAAACCGCACCCAGCGATAGGGAGCTTTGTCAAAAGGCTCTGAGGGTGCACATCACTTAAGAGCCCTGAGAAGAAGCCTCCCACGTCTCACGTGCGGTTGGCTTTGGAGGGAAACCAATATACTGACTCTACATGTAGATTGAGCTCGGCACTGCCTGCGGAAAGCTCTTCCGTTGCTCCACCATGGCTATCCTCGACGCTGGTGACTCCGACATCCTTAGCTCGCAGGTCGCATAAGCTAGTGTCTGATGAGTGGATGTGATGGTGCAATGCATATTTGGACTATGGTCTAGCGGAGGCGTCGGTGGGATGGAGTCAAAAAGCAATGTCTTTGTAGAAGCCGTGCATGCTCGCTGTAATCGAGTAGCTTGGCTGTTCACGCCCAGTCGCCACCGGCGCACTCCCTTGAGGGAAGATAGAAAGCCCGCAGATCGTCTTATGAATGCTACTCAAGCCAATYTTCTACTCGCCTCACTCTCGTCTACGTGACATTTGTTGATTGATAATGAATGGCTGCATGTTTGGGGTTCCGCCCGTTTCGAGCGTGCTTGGAAATCAACTTTGAAATCCAACCTGGGAACGAGTCCAAACGAGATTCTTGGCAAAGTCGAAAATCGCTAGCCACGCCTCAAAGGAACCACGACTTTCCTTCTTCCTCCTCCGCACACCACCCGACTAACCCCCAACAACACAGTCAAAATGGCCCGTCGTCCAGCGCGTTGCTACCGCTACTGCAAGAACAAGCCGTACCCCAAGTCGCGCTTCAACCGTGGTGTGCCAGACCCCAAGATCCGCATCTTCGACCTCGGCCGCAAGCGTGCGAACGTCGACGATTTCCCTCTCTGCGTCCACCTCGTCTCCAACGAGTATGAGCAGCTGAGCTCCGAGGCCCTCGAGGCCGCCCGTATTTGCGCCAACAAGTACGTTTTACCCCGAAAATACGTCATATGGGATGGAGGAAGAGGAGGGAGGAAGAAGCGGACGAGATGACGGATATCCATGGTGGCGAAGGCGGAAACAGCAGGACTAACATCACACCTACAGATACCTCGTCAAGATTGCCGGCAAGGAAGGTTTCCACATGCGTGTCCGTGCCCACCCATACCACGTCGTCCGTATCAACAAGATGTTGTCTTGTGCCGGTGCCGATAGACTACAGACCGGTATGCGTGGCGCTTACGGCAAGCCTAACGGCTCTGTCGCTCGTGTCAACATTGGCCAGATTCTCCTTTCCGTCCGAACTCGTGACACTCGTAAGTTGATGCTGCTACTTTCTTTCTGATAACACTGCTAATATACGAGTTTCAGACCGCGCTACTGCCATCGAGGCTCTTCGTCGGTCGCAGTACAAGTTCCCAGGTCGCCAGAAGATCATTGTCTCCAAGAAGTGGGGTTTCACTCCTCTCGACCGCGCCGACTACGTCGAGAAGCGCAAGGCCGGTGCCGTCCGTGTTGATGGCGCTTACGTCCAGTTMCTCCGCAACAAGGGCCCGATCGAGTACAACATGCGCCGCTTCCCAGACGCCTTCAACGCATCCGCATAAGCGTGCAGAGTGTGTAAAAGGATTTGAGATACCAGCGTGAAGGGAAAGGTTGATGATTTGAGATGTCATCTGAGGAAAGGCATTTCGGGCGCATTGGAAGGCTAAGGTGTCTTTTACTTCTGCGTCTACATTATGCTGAATGCAACGAGCAGATTGAAACTCAACTTTGCGGTGTCCAAGTCTTTCCGTGACGTGATGTTACTAATTCATGTCGGGATTCTTTTCTTGCGTATCATTTGTTGCAAACATGGAGAAGATCATCAAGAATCCATATCAGAAGATGGCAGCGGACATGCTGATTCACCTCTGCTCAGCGATTAGCGAGMTACAGTGAATGCACTACAATCCCCTCTGCGGCATAGTCAGACCCGGGCTGGATCTGACGGCCTACGCTGCTCTCTTCAGCTCAACTATCCTCACCCATCTGTTTCCCCTCACACAATCTATTGTAAGCCGCAGCATGAACATTGATTACAAACATGGCTTCCCGCCTGGCTCAATGCACAACCAATCAGGCCGCAGGTAAGGCGCCGCAAATCATTGCTATATCGATCGTAGGATGAACACAGTCAGCCTCCACCTGATAATCTAGACCGAGGGATGGCTCGAGATCTTTGACCGTCTGCTCTCAATAAGACATCCAGCCGCTGCTGGATGCAATCAAGACCGATGGCGGCCAACGTGAACTCGGCGGATCCAGAAAAGGTCAATGGGTTAAGCTTCGCCGAGCAGGACAATGGGTCGCTAGGAGAGCAGAAGCACCACCACTACGTCGCTCGAACACGAGAACGTGTCCGTCACTTCCTGCATCCTGATGGGCGACGTATCCACATCGCGTCCTCCCCAGAAGAGATTCTACAGTTGCGAAAGAAGCTTTCCAGTGTTCACAAAGAACATGAGTTTGACATTTTCCTGTCCGGGACAGCGGACCATCTCGAGGCCATTCGTCAAGCTCAGACGCACCATGAGACCCGTCTGACGAGCTTCAAGGAACAGCATGGAGACGTCTACTCTCAATTTGCCAGCGTTCACGCAGAGCTCGATGCACTATCAAGTGAACTCGAGCGTGTTACCACACAGGGCGTGAGTCTGGACGCCCACTTCTCCAAGTATGGCTACGATGCTCGAATCAGAACTTATGATGATGAGAACCCAATCTCTGGGACCGCTACTCCAAGGTCGAACAGTTCGAATGAGAAATTACAGAGCGAAGCTGAGCGAGGATTCGCCACGCCTCTCAAGCTGTTCAAGTATCCCGTTGTGCGCCAGTACTTCCACAAAGGCATACTTTGGCGCGCTAGCGGAAGTGAGGAAGTTCAGTCGTTCGAGCTCTTTGTGGACTTGCTTTATGTTGGAATCATCGCCATCATTGGTGATGCAGCGAGTGAAGACGCTACGGGAACCACATTGCTTCACTTCATCATCACCTTCACGCTATCCTGGAATATCTGGACCGACATGGTGCTTGTCATCTCTTGGTTCGAGACCGATGTGAGCGGCATGCAGATCTCCGCGAGTGCAGTGTGTACTGACTGATGTGCGCAGGACATCTTCCAACGCCTAAGTATCATCTTCCTCCTCGTCTGCCTCTTTGGCTTCACAGTCAACATCAACGAAGCCTTCGAGACCACTTACCCAACGCTCATTGGATTCTATCTGGCGGCACGCTTATACATGGCCACATATCTGGCTGGGTGTGCCATCTTGATCCCGATGATGAGGTCAATTTTGATCTATCACACATGCGTAGCTCTGGTCGGTGCCGCACTTTGGATAGGCAGTATCCATGTCGAATGGCCRAATCAGCTCGCATTGATCTGGATTGCCCTCTTTGTTGATGTCGCCGGACATTCCTTCTACGTGGTGCTGATGATGATTTCTCAGCCTGTGAAGCGGGTACTAGAAAGGGTGTTCGAGATTTGGCCTGGTAGGTTACCAAAAGCCCAAAATACTTGACGATGGGATGCTGACGGCCAACTCTCAACAGCGATTAATATCGAGCACCGCACCGAACGCATGAACGCCTTCGTCGCCCTGGTCTTCGGGTACACGGTGGTCGCAATCCTCTACCAGAGCACCGTAAATGGCATTGATGACTTCTTCGGCAAAGCAGCCTTGGGTCTCATCCAGGCTTTCTGCTACAACTGGATATACTTCGAGATCGATGGAGCCAACCTCGCTGCCCACGCTATCCGTAGGCACAAGTTGAGCGCTTTCATCTGGGGCATGGCGCACCTCCCGTTCATTATGGCATTCATCCTAGCTGGTGCCGCGCTTTCGAGACTCGTTGTCGCGCACGATACTGCGAATTCGCATCTGGAAGGCCTCACTACAGAGTATGAGGAACGCAGCACGGAAGAGATCACACAAGGTATCCGTTGGTTCTACTGCGTTGGACTGGGGGTTGCATTGGCTCTGATGGGAGTTATTGCCCTGTCTCACGTTCACAAAGAGGCTCCTGGACTTCGATTAAAGAAACGCTGGCGACTGTTGGCTCGTTTCTGTGTTACCAWCGTCCTCATCTGCCTTCCGCTCGCTCATGGCCTGAACTCATTGGAATTGATCGGAGTAGTAACCGCCCTGATTGTCTTTGTGCTCGTAACGGAACTATGGGCATCCAGCTGCTGTACCGAGAATCTCTTCCAGCGATCGAAGCCGTGTCAGTATGTTGGACGGTGTGGGAAGAAAGAGATGGATGCCTTCATCAGTGATGGGAAGGGAGCTGATTTCGAGGAGATCTCGGGGAACAAGGATGCGAATAGTGGAGTCATCATTGGACGTTAAGTGATGCGAGCTGATGTCGGGCTAGTTCGATAATGCTCCCACKAGGACTCTTTAGTCGTTCACTTACTCCGGCCTCTAGGAACCACCGATAGATGTTGTTCGGCGGATCGAAGGGTGAATTGAAATCCTCGCGAAAGCYACCTCACCTCACCTCACTCATCGACCCAGTCCTTGGTGACTTCGTACGCAAGGTATTCCCTCTTGCGAAGACCACGGAAGCTTTGGAAATAAGTAGATGATGGAAAGCTATTCGAACTTGCCTGGCAGGACGATCGAAAACTCATGGTCATCAACATCCATCCATGTCCCATCGAAGCACCCTGAACCGGCTGGTGTGCATCTGCCGCGCAAGAAGAAGTTTGCCTCTAGAGCGACGTCTCAGCTCGTCAAGTACCTGACTGTGTTATCGGCTGCGCACCCTTCTGACGCCGTTCTTGCTCCTTCTTGATAAGCTCGATCTGCGCATCGGAAGGTCGTCCCTTGAATCTCGGAACCAAGCTCAATTCTCTGGCAGCTTTCTTCTCTTTCTGTCGCTCTGCCTTCATCTCCGATTTCCTTTCCCGCCGATTGGGTCCCGAACGCACAGCCTTCTTCGGTATGCTGGGTCAAGGGCTACGTAGTCATTAGTATCCTCACGTCTCGAGGACCAATGCAGAGCGGAAGCCTACCTACCTTCTATGAGCTTCTGGAACCCYGGTCTACGTGGAAGAAGCAGGAGTGTCAGTCCGATGAGTGTCAGTGGCAGGGTGGCCAGTAGCCACCATTGCGGGTCAAAGATCGTTATGATGGCAAACAAGATGCTCAGAATTCCAAGAAATTGCAGGAGAAGACCCGTGTCGGTAGAAGATACATGGTGGGTAGTTTGAGTCGACATGATATGCAGTACTCTTGCAAACTCTGAATGTATTGACTCGAAACAGTGGCTTGGAAGTAAGATGTTTCTCGGGTTTCTGTGGTACTGACCACGGAAAAGATGCCATCTTGACACGTACACTACCTGAATTGAGTCACTTTTTCGTGCGGCTAGCAGCAAACAGCAAAAGCATACCTGGCTTATCGAATGGAAATTTGGTTGATTGCGAGGCTTGTAGAAACAAACTGCTTTCGAAGCAAAGTCAACTGGATCTTTGAGGATGTCGTTGCCTTGCTTTACCTTTTCCTTCCCATATGATCGCGCTCCTGCCGCATTCGGCTGTAGGCGCCAGCTTCAAAACTCGAAGGTAGTCACCAAACATCCCGTCACCTTTACCCGCTCAGGGTTACATGCAGCAGCCTGGAAATATGGATGTGTCAAGCTTCACACTCATCCCATCGAGACGTGGGAGGGTAGACGCGAACTCCTCGATGATACTGGTGCGCTGAAGACTCTGCATCTCGCCAGCCGGGTGCTCTGTGCGAAGACACAAAACACTTTCGCGAAGCAGCAATTTTCGCATCTCAAAACACGTCTCGAGGAAGGGATATTGAGAAGCTAGGTGCCACGGCAAATCACCCAGTCTTGGGTGAGGTAGCGAGGACCTTGTGGCTACAGCCAGGTTGTATCAGCCACTTTGCCAATGACGAACTGTTTCATACTGCTGGCGGCGGCGCTGGCTTTTCGCAAGAGATACAGGTGGCTCACGGAGGCCTGTACAAAGGCCGAGTATCATGGCAAGATACCGACAACAAAGAAGGCTTACTCGCGTTGGCCTTTCAAGTTCGAGCCAGGCTTGATTCCTGGGACATCGGATTTGAAGATTCGGAAACAGCGCACCAACAGTCGTGCAGTACATTGGCCGTCTCGGCGCGGATAGCAGGCATTGACTTTGATCAAAAAATTTGGCAGCAACWGAGTGTGGCTTAGCAAATGCTTGCTGGGCTCGATGCCAAAGGTCTCACGTTTCGGTCCTAGATCCCTCAAAGGCGTCGTTTGATTTGCGAACAATGCTACGAGCACAATCACAGTCGTAATGACTTCAAGGGTGAACGACTTAATGTGGGTCGTCGCGATAGTTGTCCAGCTCTATCGCGGAGAGGCACGGGAACGGCAAGAAGTCCATGCCGCTCCAGCGACGGTTCACGGAGTCTGACAATCCCTTGCCATTAAAGATATGTAGAATTGGAGATCCGTTCTTCATCTTCTCAAGGCACCGCAATCTTGATTGCTTCAACGGATCGACATGCTTCTTGTTCATATGATTCTTACTGCTCCCAGAGTTACATGCGCGGTCTCTTACCGGCAGAGACCCAGAATCATGCAGTGCTTGTGGGCCCCAGGCCGAATCGCCTCATTTCCGTCCTGGGCTCCTTTCCCGGCTCTGGAGTTGGTGGTCCAGGAAGGATCTCCCTCAGCATCGTATTTATGTCGTTTCCGTTGTCTTTGTAGGTCTGCCACTGTCGAGGATAACCAAGACTGACCTCCTCGAAACGCACTCCATCAATCCAGTCGGTTCTTCGTACATGAAGGTGCCCAGTCACGACTACCTTCGCGTTGAACCGCGTGTGCCAATCGTGAGTCTCTTTAGTGCCGCACCAGAGACTAAAGCGAGGCACTCGTGGGATCCAAACCAAATCTTCCCTCAGCGGCCAGTGGTTGATGATGACAAGCGGCAGACCTGTCTCCGCCGCCTTTTTGAGCTTTCCCTCTGCTTCTGAGACTAGCCGCGTGCACCATGCATCACGAGTGGAGTATGGATCCGGATGGAGTAAATTCTCGTCTGTCGCTTGGATACCCTCCTCCAGCGCCCACGCTAATGCTGCCTCGCGAGAGACATGCGCAGGACGGAAGCTGTAGTCGTAGAGAGTGAATATAGGACATATCAGCGCCGATGACTCTTTACCCTCCGCATCCGTATATTTCCAGGTCATGTAATCGTCCTCGGGAGTTAGTACACCATAATGGCGGGCGATCTTGATGCAAGCCTTGTACTTTGCTTCACCCCTCAAAGCCTTCTCTTCTTCGCTGATATTGGCTCCATTTGATGTGTATAGCTCGTGATTTCCAGGTACCCAAAAGACATGCTTGAAACGCCGAGTAGCTCTCTTGAAAGCTTCAATTACATGGTCAAGTGTCTCGCCGACTGGGAGGTACCATTAGCTTTTTCGTCGCGAAATCGACCTGGCAGAGCTTACCGTCACCAGCCAATATCAGGCCATCATCTTTGTTATGCGCAAGCTTGGCCCACTCGTCCTTGTTAGTCTTGAAGGACAGGTGAATGTCGGCAATAGCCAATAACCTATGCATCTTGCTGGTCCTTCCAGTCTAGTCTACCTGCAACTGCTCTACGTCTGTCTTATCTTGATTGTTCTCGCGACAATTTGCTACTGTTCAGGAGGCAATTTTGATATTGTTGAGACGCCCGGATAGTTCCCCCAGGCTCGGGACAAATGGAGGTAGCACTTGCGGCGGCCGGTGTGCGGGCGATTGAGTGTAGATCGCCAAGCCTCGTGCGAGGTCTCACATCAGCAACGAACATGACTGCGCTGCTGTCTCTGCTGTCGAGCCAGAAGGCTTGCTTGCACACGAGAGATGTGACATTTTACGCGGCACGAGAATGTCGAGTACAATACAAGAAGACCGCTCCTCTGAGATGGCTGACGCATCCCCAATCCCGATCACCGTTCTCAGCAGAGCTTCGGAGACGTCCGCTTGCGTGCGTGGACTGCGCCACCAGTCGTAATCCGAAACGAAACGATGCTCCTTTGACCTGTCGCCAACGGTGCGCGCGTGCTCCAGTCGCTGACAGGAGCCATGGCGGCATGGCCACGGCAGGTCCACAAGGCTCGGCGGCTATAGAGCTGCACAACGAGTCAGAGAGCTAGACCACCACCACCACATCCCCTTCAGGCGATTTGCTCCAAGAAAGCGCTTGGAGCGAGCGAACGTGATTTTCATATGTTTCGACAACCCCAGGTCTGCGCGAAGCTGCGGCTCTCGGGACGAGCAAGTCTAAGAAAAGATGGAATGAACGCCGTCAAAAACCCAGCCAATGAAGGGGGGAGCGTAGATCGCTTTAGCTCGGGAGACAAGCACCCTTCTGCAGCAAATCCACGCCTCCAAGTCCAGCAACTTGTCCCACTTCCCACCTTCACCACCATCCCCATTCACACGGCGTTGCATTTGTTGATTCATTGTCTATTGCTTGGGTCACGCAGCACATTCTCCCGCTTCCCGTTTTTCATCACACTCGTTTTTGCCCCCAGAACTCTGTGCAAGATTTCATCCGTTACGGATCCAACAGGGGCATCCCATCTTCAATCTTGACCGACACGACAGCGGACCACTTCTAGAACACTCGACACGCGACACGCATCGAACCGACGGCCATTTCACAGGATCTCGAGAATCCAACGTCGACGACCTGCCCTCCTGCATTTGAAACGAACACAATACCATTACTCAGGAGGAAAGTTTTGGACATTTCTTAGGGAACACCAGGACTTCTGCCAGTAGGCCAGGGAACTTTCCCTGCGACCCACGACCATGCGGTCACTCACATGCTTCGGTCAATACWCAGCTCTGCTACTCGTGAGCCTACTACCCGCCGCGACACTGGCTGGTGACATCCTCACCACGAACGGCTTTTCGCTATGCTCCACGAGTCCCTCCATCAAAGTCGACAAGCTGGAAGCAACATATGACCGCACCACACGGAAAATCACATTTGATGTAGCAGGCAGCAGCACGGAAAGCCAGAATGTGACTCTCGACCTCACTGTGACTGCCTATGGCAAGGAGGTATACACAAGGGACTTTGATCCTTGCGATCTGGACATGGACCAGATGTGCCCTGGTATGCTCTTCGCCGGTACACATTTTCGTGATTGCTTGCTGACTGAGTGGTGTAGTGCCCGCGCAAAGCTTTAGTGCCCAAGGCACCCAGGTCATCCCCGAAGAATACGCCAGCCAGATACCCTCGATCGCTTTCAACATTCCGGACCTTGACGGCGTGGTAAAGCTACAGGTAAAGAGCTCGGCGGGAGAGAACATTGCGTGCATTCAATCAGAGGTCGGCAATGGCAAAACAATCAACGTCCCCGCTGTGTCGTACGCCGCTGTGGGAGTCGCGGGAGTTGCGCTAGCGTTCTCGGCTGTTTCTGCTCTGGCAGTAGGAGGCGCACCCGGTGCATCCACCCCGTCGCCCTCGTTCACGGACGTCATTGGCTGGTTCCAAGGAATGGCCATGAATGGAATGCTCAGCGTACAATATCCCAAGGTCTACCAGAAGTTTACGACGAACTTTGCCTTTTCCACCGGTCTCGTGCCCTGGGGATCCATGCAGACCGCCATCGACAACTTCCGCTCTTCCACTGGCGGTAACACCACCAACAACAGCTACGAGTTCTTGAAGAACAACGCCACCCTGGAATTCAATGACAACACCAAACAGAGCCCGACGAAGCGCGCCCTGGACACGCTCTTGATATGGGCACGTCAGACAACGATCAGTGTGGACGGCGAAACTACCAATGTTGGTGGCGGCGATTCAACTACCAACACGACTGCACCGGCCGAACCCGAAGACAGCAAAGAAAAAGTCCTTGTGAAAGGCATCCAGGCTTATGTGGAGCAACTCTCGATTCCTTCTTCCAACACTTTTATGACGATTCTCCTCGTGTGGGCGATTGTGGTTGCCTCTATTGTCGTACTCATCCTTCTCTTCAAACTCATCCTGGAAGGATGGGCGCAGTTCGGCCAGTTGCCCAAATCGCTGCAGTCCTGGCGCAAGCGATACTGGTGGCGTATGGCGAAGGCTATCACGAATTTGATTCTCCTTCTATACGGGGTTTGGACCATGTGGTGTGTGTACCAATTCGTGGATGGTGATTCATGGGCTGCAAAGGTCCTTGCTGGGGTTACATGGGCGCTCTTCACTCTGCTATTGCTGGGATTCACCTACAAGATCTTTGCGAAAGCTTCCGAAGCCAAGAAGCGCGAAGGCGGCGCGGATCAACTCTACGAGGACAAGGAAACCTGGGTCAAGTACTCGCTCTTCTACGACAACTACAAGAAGACGTACTGGTGGATCTTCGTACCTGTCATTCTTTACATGTTTGTCCGAGGAGCTATCATCGCTGGCGCAAATGGACATGGGTTGGTCCAGACCATCGGACAGTTGTCTGTGGAGGTCATCATGCTCATCTTCCTCTGCTGGACACGTCCTTTCGCGCGCCGATCAAGCCAGTGGATCAACATCACAGTCCAGGCAGTGCGCGTCCTCTCGGTCGTTTGCGTGCTGGTCTTTGTAGAAGAGCTCGGCTTTTCCCAGACGACCACAACCGTGACTGGCGTTGTACTCATTGTCGTACAAGCAGTCATGACCGGTCTGCTTGCGATTCTGATTGCGGTCAACGCTCTCATCACCTGTATCAAGGAAAACCCACATCGCAAGAAGAGAAAGGAGGCCGAGAAGCGCGCGCTTGAGCGTGATCTGGACAATCTCACTCCACTCCACGCGAGGAACAGCCTGCTGATGGGCGACATGACACAAACCAGCTACGACCCGTCTGTGTACAAGGCGCCCATTGTATCAGGATCGCCATTCGGACCCGCCGACAAGCGTGGTCGTTATGACCCCGTTCCAGCTCCAAGACCTGCATCTCCCACATCCCGATTCATGGATCGAGACGACGAGCACCTCATGTCGAGGGCCGTGCCAATGGGCTACCGGGACCACAGTCGTAGTCCTTCCGTCCAGTCACGAGAACCAAGACTTCCTGAGCTGAACTTTGGGCGGGGATTGTGATGAAAGCCAGCAGGCAAAAACGACAGCGGTTTGTTATAGCATTTTCATTATTGCGATCTGTGCATAGTCTAGACTGCTCGAAGGAGAGCCTTTCATAACGGCCGAAAGCTTTTGTATATATCTTGTGTAATTCAGGAATGGGCCATGATTGCCGATAGAATTCAACTACAGCATAGAACTACAGCCGTAGGCATTTCCTCCAGTTTCGACTTGATTCCCATTCTGCGATTTGGTTGACCTTGGATTGGGATAGAATGCTGCTTCGATGGACTGCAGAGAGTCATGTGCGAGATGTCTACTGGATTTAACGCCTTGTCTGGCTTTTCATCGAGCAGTGTGTAGACGCAGACGCAGGCATTCCCAGCTGATCTGTCTCTACGTGGCAGAGCCACCGAAGTTCGAGTCGCATAGAGCCAATCTATCCGCGAAAGACCAATTGTAGGTAGGGACGAGAGCTGCATCTATCTCTACATGCAGATCAATATAAATCAATAGTGTGATGCTCTATTTTTGGGCAGGCGAAACGAAGAAGTAGAAGAATGTGTTCGCCAGCGGCTGCTTTTGATGCGCGCCTAAGGGAATAAGGTAGTTAGGTATACATTTTTTGATCGTAGACTCGTGATGTTGATGCTATTAATATCGCCAGCAATACGATGCGTCAGTGATTCGTGCCATCGATTTTTTAAGAAAAAGGTTCGTATTCACATGCGCTTCATATGGTCGTGTCCAGGAAACATTTTCGGGGTAGACAGCTCTTGTCGACGCAGGCTTTTTGGGCAGGACGACTGATTACCGTGGCCTTTCTCGTTTGCGTTCAGTAGGTGTGGGACAGGTCGCATTTCGTGTGGAGGACGTACCGCGGGGAGTGATATCGAGCTTCGCCTCGCTACACTCCAATCACTCATAAATCTGAACTCGAACTGAGATACTCCATGACCTGCGACTCATAGACTCGTTGCAATGCTTCCTCGGAATGTTTCTGGCGAAGATTGGAAGCGGCTTGTTGGAGATGGAGTTCTCGCAAAGAGCAGTGCGTAGGTGAAGATGTCCGTCGTAAGGATTGCCGTTGTAGCTTTGGCGTTGATTGTGTCGTGGTTGTTGTCGAAGGTGTGATAGTGCTTGTAGTAGAGCTACATGATGCCGGTGTAGAGGATGTTCGCGCTGTGTGAAATGTGCAGGTGGAGATGTCGGAATTTGGAGTTGTTGCTCGCTCGACATATTTTGCTGTAGGATTTTCTCCTCCATGTGCGCAGTTGTCGAGTGACTCGTGGAAGAAGGAGCAGAGAGTACAGTGATGGTCGAGACTTTGGGCAAGGTCGGTTATGAGCTGTAGGCAGAGGATCTCGGAATRGTCCATGCTGCTGTACTGGATGAACATTTGGAATGGTAACGAGAGTCAAGAACTGAGAATGAAGCGACTGGCGGAGTAGTGATATTGATAGTGATGAAAGAAACATCGTCAGCAGTACCAGACAGGGCCGTCAGCATGTGTGTCGTGTGCAAGCCCATGAAGCTCGGGCTGCAACAGCTTGCTTTCCGTACATCACCTCAACCATGGAGTTCGTACATCTAGGGTTTAATTAGGTTCGCGGTGGACCTGTCTGCAAGGAACGTAGGCCATGTAGGTCATACGAGGTGGCTGCGTTTTGGGACCACTAGAAAGCTATCGCGATCGGAGCTGCATGGTGGCAGCAACTACTCGCATTCGCCCATCGCTTGCCGATAAGGGGTCGAAAACTCTTTGTGAGATGCTTGTAACTTAGATGATGAACACTGCCTTCATGCAATGGTGGTGTGGTGTGACGATGCGGTTGAGATACAAAGACATTGTCGATATCAACGAGAGCCGCGGCTGAAAGAGTGAGGAGAGCACTTGGCCACAAAGCCACACAGCTCAATCCGTGTCAAATCAGATCAATTCGTGTATCTTCTTACACATCTCCATCACGATCGTAAGTCTAGAGCACCTAGTGCACCACTCATGACCTTGGCCATCTATTTCTGCACAAGAGGCTTGAACTTGCTATGCATAGTCTATCTATACAAGAAAAAAGTCCTCCTGAACGCGAGCTAAAACGGCGTGTGGACATGGTGTGGCTTAAGTATTTGTGGACTCAGTAGTCGACGACATTCAGTGGCTCTGGCCAGGTACCATCCACCATCTAAAGACTTTGAGCGATGGGCTTGTCGACCACACTTCTCATTCCTCTTATACTTCTACTTACAGCCTGTCATGCTCGCATCAAGTACGACGGGCCTAATCCCAAGAAGCCAGGCTCCCGCAGGCCGGTTCCAGCGTTGTACAACCAGCGATACTCCGAGCAGACTTTCATCGGTACGCACGATGCCGCTGCCTTGAGGACTGAAGAGAATGGCTATTCTTTGTCCGGAAATCAATACTATAACATTTCAACACAGCTCAATTCTGGCGTACGTGATAGCAATGTCAATGCAAAGCATACAACGTTGACGGATTCAATAGATCAGACTCCTGCAAGGCCAAGGCCATGCAGATCCCAATGGCTCTTCCGATATACGCATCTGCCACTTCAATTGTGCCCTCATGGATGGGGGTAGCMTTCAAGAATTCCTTCAGACCGTCAAGGTCTTCTTAGACGCCAATCCTCACGAAGTGGTCACCCTACTTTTCGTCAATACAGGCGTCCCCATCGAACGATGGGTGAAGGCCTACTACGAGACAGGACTAGATCTACTGTCATACGTCCCTCCCGCGAACAAGCGCTATGGCAACATGCGAACATCCGATTGGCCAATAATTTCAGAAATGGTGGCCGCGCACCAAAGAGTGGTGACTTTCCTATCGCAAGGCGCGGACCAAAACCAAGTCCCGTTCCTGCTGCCAGAGTTCAACTATATGTTCGAGACTGAATTCACGATCGATTCTCCTGACCAATATAGTTGTCAACCATCGCGGCCGTGGTGGGTGAGAGACTTCATCCCTGATCGTTTGAGTCTCGTAAACCACTTCCTATACGCTCAATTCCTCGGCTTTCGATACCCGAATGCCACGTTCGCAAACATCACGAATGCAGCAGGATTCCACACAGGAGAGCTGGGAGAACACGCTGTCAGATGCAGGCAGCTCTACGACCGCCGTCCGAACTTTCTCCTCGTCGATTTCTTTTCCGAGGGCGAGGTTTTCGATGTAGAGTACGGATTGAATGCTTTCTGACGTTTGACGTTTGCAAATCGCTTTTTGATGCTCTGTATAGTCGTTAAATCCGGGTTGCAGCGCCTCGCTCCGTCCATAACAACAGGCTATGCCATTCACACATCACTCCGACCCACCGAACCAAGATCTGCGCAGGGAAGAGGCCGTGGAGTCTGCGCGAACAACCGGTTTTTCTCAACACGTCCATCGCTTTCAACCACGACCAGAAGTAGTCCTCAGGACTCAAGTCTGACGATCAACTCCAAGAAGGAACATTGCTCGCGAGATTAGAAATGGTCTCGCCTATTCCCTTGCTTTCGCCGCCTCCTTTCGAACGTTGCCCGCTCAACTGCGATGATTGTCAGTCAGTAAATAGGACGCATCTCATACCCATAGATTGATTGTGTTGAACTCACCTCGCTTCCCACGCCGCGATGCAATAAAACCAACCAGTCAACATAACTGCTCGCCTCTCCATTGCGGTCCTCGTACAGAAGTCGTGCAAACTCAAATTCTGCTCCGTCCAAGCCTTGCCTTGCAAGCTGTATCGCCAAACCCTTCGAACCACGACCCATTCCAGCGCCACTTTCAAGCGCGAGCATGATATTCCTGACCTGGGCATTCAGATGTGTCTCCAGCACGGGAAGTGAATTCAGATTCGGGTCCAGTTTATCTAATGAGTCGAAGCCTGGGCCAAACATATCCTCGAGGAGATTAGGACTGACCTGAGCGTGCAGCCAAAGGATGAGCATTTGTCCATTATCGACAAGAAATGCAGCACCCTCCTCAATACTGGCAAAACTTGCACGGACTGCTTGTGGCATTTTGAGGTGGCCATTCTCGTCGGCAAAGCCTTCGCTCGGGTCGAGGTTGTGTAGGGCCAGAATTCGAGGGTAGAGGTATAAACTGAGCTCACCAGGAGACATGCCTTTAAGCTGGCGCAGCTCTTGTATCCGACGATCGCTAGGCTCTTTGCCACCTTTCAGAGCGCGTGACTTGACAAGACCGAGCACATACATTGCAAACTCTTTGAGGTTCTCGGGCATGACAAGCTGCCCGGGCGGATGCGAGCCGGAGTGATGCTTGCGGTAGCCAGCCAGGATGTCTGTCGCTTTGTCCTGGAGTGCTTGACGTACTTCTTGCAATGACTTGTCTGGAACCCTCGACGCGGACTCTTTGGCGAGGACCGCAAGGACGGCATCCTGATCGACGAACCGCATGCTTTCTCGAGCATTCTCGGTTACCGTCGCAACCATGTTTGTACATCTCACCCTGCGCTGGCCGGAGGCTGTGGTATAGAGGAGAGCAGACTGGARGTGTGCGTCATTGCGAACCTCCAGCTTGCCATCGTAGCTGAAAGTGATGGCCATGGAGCTATCTTGTGTGATCGAGCCCAGCTCCAGATCCGCACCAAATGTGTGCTGCGTGAAGTTGCCGCTGTAATGTGCAATTTGCAGGCCGTTGCTGCATCTTACCTTCATCAATGCGGCAAATCCTTGTTCACGCTGCACTGTATGGCTAATCTCCTTTTCGAGTCTGAGAGTGTCTCGTGGATAAGACCAGTTGGGGAAGTAGAACGTCTCACCGCCGGTCTTTTCCGCGATTAAACCGATGGTGGCAATGTCAAGATAGCCTCCAGCAGGAGACGTGAGGAAAAAGTCAACACCAACACCTGCTTTTATCATATCAGACTGCACCTTCTTGAAACTCACATTCTCAGTCTTGAGCAGAGTCTTCTCCTGTTCAGGAGTATCGACACCAGCAGAGTTGACGCCTTTGTCGCGAACACTGAGGCGGCCTGGACCAAAAGTTGGTAGGCTGGCAAGACTACACATAATCTTACCGCCGGTCTCGCTGAGAGCTGACAGGGCAGCAGTGAGCGATGGGAGCAAGGCTGGTTCGGCGTGTCTGATCTTTTCAAACATTGACGGAAGTTGGCGGAGTAGTGTGGTGATGTTGGCTTTACTTTCCGCGGCATCGACGAAAAGGTGCTCATTGGAGATTGGGGCAAAGGGCTCGTCCAGGTCGGGCATAACCATCTGCTGCGGTGCTGAAACACCGGCTGAGACGTTGTAGAAATGGATTTCGCGATCAAATGTCATGAAGCCGACCTTTGCGCCCAGGGGAATTTTGCTTGGGTTGGGAGGCGCCTCGCCATCTTCGCCCGCCTCGCTCTCCTCGACGTCAACGTTCTCTCCGTATAGCGCGGCTAGAGCTCCATCGCAAAAAGCTTTCAAGAACCCGCGTGTACAACTCTCAGCACTGACATCGATCAAGAACAGATAGCGCATGCCAACAGGCTCCTTCGACCAATACTCCTTGGGGACCAAGAACTCGCAAGAGCCCAGCATGAGTTCAGGACGATCCATGCGATCCACTCGCGCCCCGGAAGGATCGGTAGGAGCGAAGTACTCTGCCGACACTTCATTGGGGTGGCCACATAAATTGCACGTCATCCGGTTGCCGCCGTTGGAGAAGACCATGAACGGGTTGACGTACGCTCTGCAGCGTCTGCACCGAGGTGGACCAACATCTCCAAAGTCCAGAACCGGAGTTGGTGCCTCTCCATCTGCAAGCTTTGCCAGTGGCTGCACGACAAGTCCGAGTGGTAGACCAGTGGTGGACAGCTGCTCCTGCGAGTTCGGGATACAGTTCAGAGTAAGACGTGCGTGCTTCGGCGAAGCGTTCCCCTGATCGTAGGCGACGATTGGAGTTGTGGCTGGTGGAGGCAAGCGCTGCTCCATGGTGGGATATACGTGTGTCTTGTAGTACTCGGCCGCAATGTCTCGACTAAGCGGCACACTGGGAATCTGCTCGGGATTCACTCGTCCTTGCGGACCTCCAGCTACAGCTCCTTGTTGACCAGTGCCCATACTAATTGGCGTTCCCTGCTGTGGCATCTGCGCCGCAGTCTGAGGAAGTTGCTGCGACTGCCACGGTTGTGTTGTCTGCTGCCATGGTGCCGCAGGATCTGAGGCCTGACCTGAATATCCTTGTCCCTGCATATGTGGTGCCTGCCCATTCACGTACTGTCCGGATGGGGCTGCCCCAAAGCTCTGCGCTCCGCCAACTGGCGCCTCCAATTCGTGGTGAGCGTGTCTATCCTTCTTTTTCCTTCGTGCTGGCTGCGCCACTCCTCCATCCACGCCCATTTGTCCCATTTGTTGTGTAAGGCCAGCAACATCCTGTTGGCCCGCATATTGTCCTTGGTCCTGATATTGTGGTTGTTGTTGCTGGTACTGTCCTTGGTACTGCTGCGGCTGCGGCTGACCGTATTGCGGATTCATGTTGCCAGTGGGTGGGAAGTAACCGTTCTCAGGCGGTGTTGCGGTTCCCTGTTGATATCCTCCGGGAGACGGGGCTACTTGCGGACGAAAAGAAGATTGGTCCCGCTTCACTCGAGGTCGTTCGTTGGTGGGAGTTCCGAAAGGTGATCCGTTGACACCGCTCATCGAAAAGCTCATGGCGGCTCAGTTCTCACTCATCATATTCGCATGATCCGCGATACAAAGCGAGAGGAATGGTGTTGTTCAAAAGCACAACTCCAACCACATTCATCTGATGCTTATACACAATGCCACTTGGCCAAGATCCATGTAGATATAAGTGGGGCACCTTCCCCGACAAAGTCCCTAGACTTCCAGCAACGACTCTACAACATCTCACATTATAGACGTCGCGTCCTCAATTGTTATTGACTTTCAGGCCTCTAGCAACGCTGGAATCTTCACGAAGGTCATGCTAACGAGCATACAGCAGACAGTTGCGAACAAAAAGGCAGGGAAATATTCAAACCTCCATCTTCTCTCCTACAACATTGCCATCACTCTCYCATCGTTCCCACCAGTATAGTATACTCCATCATGTCTTCCCTCAATTTCACTCCATCGGACCCAAACACCACCACCAGGGAGGTCTTCACCTCCAACATCACGAGCGTCCCGGTTCCATCCGATGCCTCTTCCAATTGGAGGTTCTTCGCCGAAACCTCCAAGTCCCTCCTCGACAAACTTGCCCATCACAGTGCCATGGCTCCCAACCTCCAACAGACTTACATGACGCCTGCTGCGTCCAAGAATAAGGTGTACTTCATGTACGTCTGACACAAGAACCTTACCGCTCAACAGCAACTGACCGTGTACTACAGGTGGGACTTTGTCGGCAGGACTCTGGTACGCTCTATTCACTGCCTTGAAGTATGCATACTGACATCCTCCAAGGGCTACCTGTATATGCTCCCAGTAACGGCCACCAACATGGGTGATGTCGAGAGCAGGTCAATGATGGCAGCCATGTTGATTCTTGATGAGCAGCCCGGCATGCTCGACCAGATGGTGCGTCGTTGATCATGCTATCTTCTTCACTCTCACTAACACAGCATTCTTTGACATGTAGGTCGGTGCGACTTATGCTCAGACGCAGACCTTTGAATTCGGCGAGGATATCCTTGCCGATGCGAGGAGGCTGAAAAATGGCCCCTGATKAGCCAACTCCCACATACAATACCCAACTGTTTGTAACAAATCAATGTACGAAAAGGCCACTCGAAGAAGCATCATCCACCATCATGGCTCTCGTCAAGGCACTTTCGTACATAGTATCCTTCGGCACCGAGGGTGCTTAGTTGTGGTCTGACGAGTTCATCTCCTACTTGGTAGGTCTCTCGCATGCCGCGATTCGAACGTCGTATCGTGCGAGTCGGCTCCGCATTACTCAAGGCGACTGTTTGCACCTTTCCTGTAGATCAATCCTCACATAAGCATCCCGTCACTTTGCCCTGACCAGGCCTACCAGACTTCCTCTCTCGGGTCAAATCCAGGCCAAGTCACATGAAAACTGCACTCAATCTCTCCCACTGCCTCCCTGCCGCTCTCTTCAATCTCGTTCGCAATCTTCCACCTCCAATCAATCAAATCTCCGAACTTGATCCCGTGTGGATTCCACAAAGCGAACAAGTGTCCAAACGGACTCATCCCTCCTCTGAACATGAAGTCAATGGCAATGACTGGAGGTTCAGTCAAAAACATGTCCTTCCATGATGCTCTCTCCCCCTGTGCGATTTCCGGAAGAGCCTCGATTGTCAATCGTGGGTAGTGGTGTAAATGGAAGCGGAACGCGCCAAAGGGTTTCTTGAGYAATGACTGACGGGGAATACAGAATGCTACACCGACCGATGCTGCTGGATTGAATGTGAGAGCTTCCTCGGCTCTGTATAGAGTCTGACCTCGATTCCAGCAGCATAAGACAGTTCTATTATAGACGGTGTCTTCTGGTCTGAGCGGCGTGGAACTTGAGGTGAGGAACATTGCCTCGCGTAGTCTCACTGATCTTTGGATAATCGACTGCCATTGTCGTGAAACTCGTTGGCAGGTGAAGATGTTGTGCATCGGGAGATGAATGAGGATGTTCTCAAGGAGCTCGTAAGTGGTGAGAACTTTCTCGGCACATGATGGTGAAGGAGGAGAGACATCCGATGGCCAAAGTGTTGAGAAGGATCGCGGCATCTTGGCTGGTCCAAAGTTGATGTTGTCGTTGTTGATGCGGGAGATGAGTAAGTTGGTAAGGTAACCTTGGCAGCTCAAAGTTGATCACTGTCCGCTCTTCTTTCGAAACCTTCCTTTCCATACAAATCTGCTCCAGCTTATGTTGTGCTTGAAGCGACGACGATGGCAACATCCTTGCTCCCGCGATGCTACGATGACCTTCTACGGCACAACGTTTAGGCGGACGGCAGACGTCATCAACCAGAGCTCTATATATGACCCCGCATGGACGACGTGGTATTCATCGTTATCTTTACAGAGTTCGGCACACAAGTAGGCTCATTGCAAAGTATATTCTATCAAGATGGGCAAGAAGAGTGAGTATCGGTCTACCTTCACCTCCGATTGCCAACGGCATCTGACCAACGTGACCTTAGAGGTCCAATGCTGCATCTCAGTCGACATTGACGCCGTGGCCGGCTGGCTGGGCTCGTACGGGGGAGAGGACTCAACCTCTGACATCTCTCGAGGTCTCTTCGCAGGTACCATCGGAGTACGTAGGCTCCTCACCATGTTCGAAAAGTACAACATCAAGACAACGTGGTTCATTCCGGGCCACAGTCTGGAGACTTTCCCTGAAGAATGCCGCATGATTGCAGACCAAGGCCATGAGATTGGACTTCACGGTTACAGTCACGAGAATCCCATCGCCATGACGCTTGAACAGCAGACTGCTATCATGGATAAGTGCTACAAGCTGATCAAAGATTTCCAACATGGGAAGCCACCTAGGGGGATCGTTGCTCCTTGGTGGGAAAGCTCTCAGGAGGGCGCGGAATTGATGCTGAAGTATGGGTTGGAGTATGATCATAGTTTCTCTCATCACGATTGCCAGTGTTATTGGCTAAGGACCGGTGATAAATGGGTCCCTATCGGTAAAGAGCAATTGTGTTGGATCTCAGACAGCTAGCTGATGTTGACAGATTATAAGAAGCATCCCGACCATTGGATGAAGGTTTGTCGTAATCGAGGTGAGGGTCTTATGTGGAGCATACTCTGATTGTTTATGTTAGCCGCTTGAAGGGGGGCCGATGACTGGCCTCGTTGAGATTCCGGCGTCTTGGTACCTCGACGACCTTCCACCGATGATGTTCATCAAGAAGGCTCCAAACTCTCATGGATGGGTCAATCCAAGAGATGTTGAAGAATTGTGTACGCAATCATGCAGCCCTAAGTGCCGATTAGACTTGCTGACACTTCAGTTAGGGATGGACCAATTCAATTTCTTCTATCGTGAATATGACGATTTCGTCTTTCCGGTCACCGTCCATCCAGATGTATGCGGTCATCCACATGGGCTGATGATGCTAGAAAGGTATGATCAGTAGTTCCCGCTCGACTGACAAAGCTCGAAAGTACAACGTGCTAAACGTTGCTCAGGATCATCGAAAAGATCAACAAGTACGATGGCGTCGAATGGGTGACCATGGAGCAGATCTGTGATGACTTCAAGTCAAAGAGCACTCCACCCAAAGGGGCGATGATGCCTGCAAAAGTCGGCGCCATTCTCGAGAACCCCAATGTGCAGCTAGAGATTAAGGAGTAGAATGTGTCTGTCCTATTTGGTTCTCATGATCGACAGAGCTGACACAACAAGAGCTTGCGTAGTCGAAGTTTGGGTTGGTGTCGGGTACAAAGCATTGGCAGTAACACTAGATCTTCGATCTTCGTCGAATGAGATCAATGATCTTCTCCTGCTGACCGCACTGCTCAAGAAGAATACCTCGTCGTCGAAAACGTTTGTAACGGAGGGCTGATGGAATACGTGAGAATATGAGGTCTTGTACCTATGTAGTAATGTACAAAAGAGCTCGGAGGCTTGGAGGTTGACATTCGGCCTGACAACAATCGGCTTGATCGGGCACGGCAGTGTATATGGATCGATGCTGCCAATTTGTAAGTATCCGCTAAGTGTACCAAGTTTCCAAATGTGCAACGCGCGACAGAAAGCGAAAGACTTTCCCGTCCGCTTGGCAAAGACGTGCTTCGCTTGAAAGTTGACGGACCTGTGATCCCACGAGAAGGTATCGCAGGGATGCACAGTCTGTGGTTCGCTCCAGAAAGTTTTATGACAAGTCCATGCACCGCAACAATGATCTTCTCTCAGCCATATGGCCGCAAAATAGCAAAAGATCGGTCGTCCACTATTTTCGTCCGCGTTTTCATGTCGGTTGGAGCAATAGAGAGCATGGGGCGTGGACAGCTCTCTTCCGGCCATTCTTCGAGCTGACATCAAGGATCGTAGAAGATGGATATCGCTGCTTGGTGAAGTGATGCGAAGACATAATGGTCGTGCTTCAGTCATCTACTGGTAAGGCGGCGCTCATCGCCTCGATATGGCGAAGCATTCCTTTGCTTTCATGTCCTCATGTGATCTCGCACATCCCACACCAGCACTCTTTCGTCCCAAGCACATGTTGCGCACCAGCCCTCTGCGCCGAACAAGCACCAGTCAACTCCCATGGCGAACTCGGTATGCCTGTCCATTCGTCCAAGCTCCCTGCCCATGCCTGCACCACCGCCACCTTGATCAACGTTGCTCCCATCTGTCCAGACGCGGCAAGTCATATCGTAGCTAGCGCTCAACAGAACATCGCTCAAATGAGGACTCCAACTGATCTTGCGTACGGCATAGTCATGACCAGTCAAAAAGTTGACGGGTCCAGAAGGTACACGCAAGTCAAAGGTTCTTACAACGCCATCCACACCTGCAGTGGCCAGTACAGAATCCCGATACTTGTTCCAGTCATGTGTGAGACATTCAGTCGGCCCAGGGCTTCGATTTTGAAGTCCTGGAACTGGGACCTTGGGTGGTGCATGGATGGGAATAGCCAGAGTCAGGTGATTCTGTGCGCTCGGCTTGCTGCGCAGGTCGAACACCCGGAGATGAGAGTCTCTCGAGACGCATGTGACAATCTGTGGGTGGTGTGGACTGAATTGCGCCGAGTATACGCATGAATGCACAGGCAAAGTCATCAAGCTCTCCTTCCGCTCTGGACTCCATATCTTGACCGTACCATCCCAGCTTGAAGACAAGAACGTCGCCTTTTCAATCAAGTTCCAATGTACAGAGAAGACCTCCCTTCCATGCTCCTGCCAACCCGCAACCGGGAATTCGCCCACGCCTATGTCGAATAGCTTGATGCTTCCATCTCCGCCTGCCGTGAGAAGCTGGTTTTCGTGTTGTTCAGACCAGGCAGTGTCAAATAGACAATCTTGCGTCTCAAAGAACTTCTCGCACACAATTCCATTCTGGGTGAGATTCAGAATAAACAGTCGTCCATTCCCGACCAGTCCAAAGTTGGCTCCTGCGCTGACGGCCAGGCGGCTGTCGAAGAAGGGTGAGTACTTGACGCTATATGGGTTGAAACCCGCGGTCCTAAATTCCAGCATGTCGGTCGGTGGTGCCAATCAGGCAACCGTAGAGYCCTATGTCCACATTTCCGTGGCGGTCGAAGAGCTGACGTCGAAGAGGTGGAAGCGCTCGTGCGAACTGCGAACGAACCGAGGCGATCATGCACGTGCCAAGAAGCAGGCCTTTACGATTTCTGTACGAGCAAACACATCAACTTTCTCTCCGGAACAACAACAACATGTTCCCTCTTATTTGACGTTTCCTGGCAAAATGTCTTCCGATGCCGTTTCCTCCTCGGCAAGAGGTGCAGGCTTCCTAATCCTCCTGCAAATATCTTCCAGAGCTCTCACATTCGCCCTCAATCAGGTCTTGCTCCGTTTCCTCTCTCCAGCACTACTCGGCGCCTCAGTTCAGCTGGAACTCTTCATCATCTCGGCTCATCATTTTGCTCGGGAAAGCTTACGAGTAGCATGTCAACGTCAGCCAGAAGGTGGCATCCAAGCTGCTATTAATCTCTCCTACCTAGGCATTGCTGGGGGATTCCCAATCGTCTTGGCTATGGGTCAGGGGTATCTCAGCACAAAATATCCGGATGTGCCCTACTTCGTGGAGGCCCTTCGCATCTGCCAGCTAGCCGCCCTTGTCGAGCTGCTGTCCGAGCCAGCCTTTGTCGCTGTTCAGCAAAAGATGCTTTACAAGACGAGAGCCGCTGCTGAGGCTTCAGCTGTTGTTTTCAAGACCTTTGTTACTGCTACAATAGTCTTTTGGGGCCACTACAAAGGGTTTGAGCTTGGGGTGCTACCCTTTGCAGCTGGAGAGCTCACATTCTGTTGTGTGCTCACTTTGGTATATCTATGGCAAACGGCACCCGTCGCGAAGAAGCATGGTTTCTCCCTTCTGCCGCAAGTCGTGAAGCCAAGGTGTGTACATTCCACCTCGACCTGTAAGCATATCTCTGATTTCCTCTTGTAGTCCTAACGCTGGCCTTGTTCTCGCTCTATTTTCCAAACCACTGCTCAATCTTTCTCTCTCCTTGTACGTGCAATCAGGCATCAAATATGTCCTCACCTCAGGCGACATCCTTGTTAGCACTCTCGCTTCACTTGAAGATCAGGGTATGTACGCACTGTCTGCCAACTACGGTGGCTTGATTGCACGCATGGTCTTCCGGCCGATAGAGGATAGTACCAGGAACCTCTTTGCCAAGCTGTGTGCTCCGCAGGCTACAAAAGCAGTGGAAACTTCCGAGAAGAAGCAGAAGACACCACCAGCATCTCTCAATCAAGCTGCAACTATTCTTCGGGACATCCTGCGAGTTTACACAATCGTATCCTTGATTGCATTCGCCGTCGGACCCACCGCAGCACCGCTTCTACTGCGCCTTGTCGCCGGCTCTCGCTGGTCGGAATCCGGCGCAGGGGACGTTCTGGGTACCTACTGCTACTGCATACCCCTTCTCGCCATTAATGGCGTCAGCGAAGCCTTCGTGGCCGCCACGGCCTCGACTAAGGACCTTCACTGGCAGAGCATCTGGATGGGCGCATTCTCGGCAGGATTCATTGCCAGCGCTTACGTGTTTCTGCGTGTGCTGAACTTGGGCGCAAAGGGACTGGTTTGGGCCAATTGCGTCAACATGGGGCTGAGAATCATATTCAATCTGACCTTTGTGAAGCAATTCTTCGGCCGTAATGGTATTGTAAGCGAACCACAAAACAAAGTTCTTGTTGTTTGCCTGGCCTAGACTGACTGTGTATCATAGGACTTCAAAGCAACAGATCTTTTGCCGAATGCCTATGCAATTGCTGCCACAGCTATGGTCCCAAGTTTACTATCGCGGACGAGCTCTTTGCTGGCTGAGTATGGCATAATAGGCGAGCTTCTCCGCGTTGGGAGTATAGGGGGTGCCTTCGCACTACTTGTGTGAGTTCACTACCTCCACCGTAATCACACCTAGGCTAACCGAGTTTCCAGCGTTGTGACTGAGCGCCACTTCTTGTTGGATTGCTTCAAGCGGTTCCGAGGCTAGCAAGCGCTGTACATGGCTTCGGTATGCTGATGATATCTTGTTCCATAGGGAACTCTCAATGGCGTTTGCACTGCCTACCGATCTATCATGTTTCATTAAATTCGTATTTCATCCTACAACATGTCCACTAATCGTGACCACCCGCCCTCAGACTTCCACGGGCGCGATCCTTGTCATGCTACAAACAGGGCAGACAGAAATGAGCTGGTTGGACTGGTTTCCCCTGACTGTCGGCCTTGCGTAGTTCAAAACACCACTCATTGCTCACGTTTCATTGCTCCCTCAACAGGCCCATTCAGGAAAATTTCTTGCTTCCAATATCACCGGTGTTCGTAGCACTCGTTTTGCGCTCCTYCACTTTCACGTTGAGCATATCCACTGCATCCAGAGGCAGGGATAGAAACTCGTGCTTGTTGACCCATTTAACATCCTTCTTCTTGAACTCCTCGGCCTCCTGGGGTGGTGGCGGCGGCTCCGTGATCTTGGTGATCAGATAAGCAGTGGAGRCCTCTGCAATRCCATAGATGAGAACGCCCAGAAGTGGGATCTTGAGAAAGACGAAGAATGCTACTGCGAAGCCGTAAAGGACACCCTCTCGATCGTGAAACCAGGCCTTTTTCTGCTCAGAGGTGTAGCGGATCCTGGAGAAATAGGGTTCCAGCTGTACGACCGTATTAGCCATTGTGAGAACTGAAGTGAGCATGGTGATACAACATACCAACTCTCGCATCAAACTCCTGCTGGAGAAATAACTCTGCAAGAACATAACAAGGTATCTCTTGGGAAGAAAGACGGAGCTGCCAAAGATGAGCACAGCGGGCTGCCATCCAACGGACTTGTTGAACGTGTAGAAACTCGCCGCCGRCAGTACAAAGCGACCCACATATGGCAAGAAAGATAGAAGGTAGATGCCCAATGAAAGCATCGCTTTCTTCCCAAATCGCATGAGAAAGGCAACCATTGCCTGTTTGGGATCCTTCTTCTTTGCGGTCTCTCCGTGCTGCGAATACATGCGCAGGTTTGGCGCATACATGTCACGGAGATGCGAAGGATCTTCGCTTTTGTGTTTGTTGAGGTAGGTTCGGTCGACCCAGTCTAGAGAGTCGATGAACAATATGTCCATGGTAGGCGAGAGATACCTCATGAATGACATGAGAAAGAACGGGATTTGTAAGACGGAGTGTTCGATGAACTCTACGCCTTCGATGATGTCCTCGTCCCATGTCGATCCTTGAAGGTTGGCAAAGAGGCCGAGAAAGCGGATCAGAAAGCGGATTCCCAATGTCTAAGGCATTGTCAATGACGGCAGTTGCTGCCAGGCTTTCCATTTCACCAACCGGAATGGCAACGAGCAGCCGGATGGCAATTCCAGCTGCTACGGCGAGCGCCGCTTGTCGATAGTGGTCACTCGTGAATATGCCGGGGTTTTGCAGAGCTAGCGATGGATATCAGAGCCACCCACCATTCAACAGTCTCCGGTTAACTTACCTCTATTGGCACCAACTACCGTCAACTGAGCCCCACGAAAGATACTGTTGAGCTCGAAGCTGCCGAAGCGGCCATAGTTGCTCATCGTGCCTGTTGGTGGTGGTGTTGATGTTGTTTGACGGCAGAGCGATGGTTTCAAGGAACAGTCGAACACGCGGCAAAGTGACGTCGATCCTCTCTGTCAAAGCTCCGGGGGAGCCGCGTTGGGTGAAGATAACCATGTCGAACTGGAGGGAACCATGTCGAGCCCACGTGGTGCAGTGACTTCAGCACGGCCGACYGCGAGAGCAATCAACCAGTACGATCAAGCGAAGAGGAAGCTGGAGCTATAAACATAGGTATATGTGAAGCAAACGAGAGGAGACGATCGCACACGCGTGACATGGTTTTAGCTCAACTTTTAGCGCGTTGTCGCGACAAAGGAGCGGAATTGCCTCTTTGCGCCGGGCAACGCATCGACATCAATATCTCTACCAATGCGTCCGTCACTGYGCCATGGCTACCCCGGGCCCCTCGACTCCCGATAGCACCCCTCGGAAGGCGGGCGTCGGCGTTGGGAGGTCATTCACTACGCCCACAAGGACACGAGGAGCCTCGACACACAACAGCACATCGACGGCAGCGATTGGTGAAGCAGCGGGCATCGAAACACTGTATACGCACGCAAACAGCAAGGTTGTCAAGTTCCACTGCGCTTCCCCTTCCCGACCCAGCAGTAGTAGCGGCGGTCCACATCCAGGCTCAGCCCAGGGGTCGCTGCCATGGGCGACTCTGACCGAACAGACGCTGGCCTCGGGCCCACTGGAGATTTACCGTGTGCCAGGCTCAGTTTCCTTCCTCCATTCCGGATCACTGCTGCACGCCATCCTCCCGCGGAGTAATTGCTGGTGTGTTGATGGGGTGAGCAAGTTTGCTATGCGCGTGCTCACCGATACCTACTATCGCATCGAGCTGCCCGGTGAGACGGAGGAGGAGCTGGCGCAGGTGGAAGAGTTCAAAGCCACCCTTCAGAAGGTGCTGTTCTACGAGCGCACGGCATGCCCCTTTTCGAGAACCTTTGAGGTCCGACTCCCTGAAGAACAGGTCAAGAAAAAGAAGAGAAGGAACACCACACACGGTCCTGCAAAGAAGTGGAGGCAGGATAGAGCCTACAGCTGGAGGCCAGAAGACGGCGGAGATCCGCCGAGTTCGAGCACGAGTGAAGCAGATTCGGGAAGCTTTTCGGAAGAGGACGCTGGCGATGCAGCGGGTGCGGAGGAGGAGGTGGGTGGTGTATCAGCTACTCTTCAGGCCGAGACTGAAGACGTGGTGCGAGAGATGAGGGCCATGACCCCCTCGCGGCCGAGTGTACGGGACAGGGTCAAAGGATTGACAATGCGATCGGTTACTGCTCCACCGCAGATTCCGCTACACTCGACTACCCCCTCACGACTACGAACCAGTGTGATGGCTGGCAATGATAGGAGTGAGCTCAGAACTCTTCAGGCCATCCCAACCGATATGCCACCATCACCCCCGGATTCCAGCGCAGGTTTCGAATACCAGGATCACATCACACCGAACGATGGAGCTGTCAACCGAAGCGGGTCTCCTCTTCACAATCCTCGGCTCCGACAACGTCGCGAAGAATCCTCGTCATCACCGAATATTCGTCCGGAACCGGATCTACGAGCCGATTCCGATTGGCAGGCAGGGCAGGTGCGCATTGCGGACGATGTGCCAATGCATGCTCGTCCACCGATTGGAGACCGATTTGTCACAGTCGATAACAACGTGGAGTCGCCTGCCGAGCCTGCACACTTTGTCCCACAAATCTCCGACCCCACACTTCACGTAGCTGATGCTGATGCGGAAGGCAACGGCGAACCCCTAGATCATTTCGCTTCGCTACCGGCCATACCACATGTCTCCGACGCCACACCCGTGCTTCGGAACCAGACTTTCCAACCAGCAACCGCACCACACGTGTCTATCGCACCAGACACTGATCCAGACCCCTTTGCCCAGATTCAAGCAAGGATTCAAGCCCGTCGTTCGATTGGCGGCACTACGACATCGGGATTCGTCCCCTGTATCCGCCAGRCATCGACCTCCACACACGGGGCGAGCCCTCCCAATAGGCGGAACTCCAACACCACCACATCCACCAGGACGCTCTCGCACAAGTCTAGTGGCATCTCGCGCCAGTCTTCACAGCAACAGCAGTATCTCGCTACTGCTCTTGTCAAGAAAGCGTGTGCGGTCTTCCTCGGTCCACCCGCGCATTTGGTGGTGCTGATGTTGAGAATCGCGGCGCGCTTCGCCAAGGGCGTCTTCCCTTCCAGCCTTCTCTATGAGAGCCCTAGAGGTGAGAGACGTAGGGTTCCCGGAAGTTACATCCTGGAAAGCGATGATGACTATGGCATTAGCGATGATGACGAGCCTGTAGGCGAGGATGAACTGGAGGATGATTTTGGAGTCCCCATTGATAGTCCAGTGAGACTTTCATCGGTGCTGGGGTTAAGAGAGAGGGTCAGATGGGACGAGGGGTGAGCTCTATCTCTCGGTGCAGGTGGTGCCGCGCGGATATTCTTTCTGGGCTACATTGATGATCAGGGAAACAGTAGACTGTTGATGAGATGTTGGTTCAGAGGATGCGATGATGAATGCTGGCTTTGCATGAGCAATGATTAATGTATTTGATGTTCTCTTCTGTTTCTTTTGGTGTTTGTATTGGACATGTGCGGCTCGTCGTCGGTGACTCTGTCTTCCAACATGGCCAACCATGTCTAGGTCAGGGTTAGGGTTGGGGTAGTGCATACACTTTTGATCTCGCCACGATGATTGGTATGCGAAGTTTTGCATTGTGTTTGGTCTGTACGTTCGAATGGCTCGTAGCTTTCTGTGTGCTTGAGCGTGGAGGAGACTTGAGGAGTGTTTAGTTCTAATGCGAGCAAATACGAAATGTACAGGCGTCGATCAATCACCCTTCTTTCCACTGCCATCTCCCCAATCCAATCACTACTTCCAAGACGACATCACAAAATCAGAGCACGCCAAAACAACGCGCACGGATGGAAGAGAGCACGCCCTTCGTTCCAGCGAGATTTCGCGATTTTGGGATCGACCGCTCGCCCCCAACAACAGCAGCATCTGCACGAGTTCCACCAGTGCTTCAAATACGCCTCGGACGCCTATCATGCCCAAGAGGACGACGTGACTCGAACACCTCGCCTCCCCGCATTTTACTGACCGCATGAACATATAGGCTGGTGATCTCACACGATGTCCCGCAAAGTCGGTCAGTCGATGGTCACGCGTTCGAGCACGACACGTATTAAGCCTCCGTTTGGCTTTCCTTGTTATTGGGTTGCAACCCAATAACAGGCTGTGTCAGTGGCGTGAATGATGAAATACGAGATTCGGGCGGTTTCGTGAGATGGAACTTGGTATTGCCTGCATGCCGCATCTCAGGATGTGCTAGTCATACAGTGCAGGTCCAGGCGCTGGTTTGTTGCTTCTACTTGCACAATCGTCGAGGCCAGATCGCTGCCACTCGGTACGGCTTGGAGACTCCATGTTGACTTGGCCGCCGCGCCGAGATTTTATCGGCTCTGCGTGCTGGCTTTCCAACCCGGTCTCACGACTCGACTCAGAACCTCTGCCATCGATATTCCTGGGAGTTCAACCTCGCTTGTGTTGTCACTCCACATATGCCAGCACCGCACAGAATGGCTTCCGTAAGGTGAAGACCGCAGAATCGGAGGCCTTTGCAGCTGCATACTTGACAGCGTCRACGTCAATGCCTGCCTTTGCTGCGCATACAACCCTCTCATAATCATACGAGAGCGTCCGGAACCTTGAATCCCCGCCTGTTACCATAAAGAATGCTGCCAACATCTGTAGACTGATACTTGGAGCTTGGCTCTCCATCAATGCCAGCCTGGCGCCAATACAACACCTTGGTGCATCGGAGTGGTAAAACGCGAGAATACGGCAGCTAAACCTTGTTCCCACTATCTCCGAGGATTGATGTTGGCGAGACACGCTGTTCGAGGCTGCTAGGATTATAGCGTTTCACTACTCCATTCCCCATTGTGCTTTATACCACAACTTCGCAATGAACCTGCGGCGCTGAAAACAAGTAGAACGGCCACCTCGCGCATGTCTCACCCGAAGGGACCCCTACCTCTTTCTATCCGCCTCGTGGGAGTGGCCCCCGTATCCTTGCGGTGTACTTCGGCAGTACAAAGTCTACTGTACGCAGGGCCAGGCTCCCGATAATGAGAGGTCAGGCCCCAATTGTCATCGCCCCCAACGTTTCCAGCCAGCCGCTCGGAATTGCGCCAGCAACCATGAATCTGCCGGCACTTGTGTCTGGATGTTCCCAACCCATGCTACCGCGACTCCAGARTTGTACAGGCATGAGCGGAATGGAAGAGTGCCGCAACCGTTCTTGCACACGGCTGCACCGAACATGCTTCGCCCTGTTTGATTGGACATGACCACGGAATCCTTTCCTAAACTGTCCGAGGGATGAGCTTCTCCTATATCCACTGCGGACCAACATTTTGAGACCGCTGTGGGCGGCGGTCTCGTATGCTTGGATGGTCCAGAAATACTCATGTGGCTCGCAGACGGCAAAGGGGTCGATGAGGAGGTAACATGCATCTTGAGTTGCAGAAGCTGTACGCAAGGCTTCTTCGCTTGCGCGCTTGGCTTCTGGAAGGTGTATGCCAGGCAATCTCAATATCTCTTTAGTCGAACTTGAGTCGATGTGACCAGTTGTTTTGAGAACAACGGCCGAAACGTGTAACAAACACATCCACTTCTAACAACAGGCCCAAGTCGAGCGCCAGTGCAACCAAGGGTCACGATCGATTTGAACGTCATCAGATATTTACCAAGCACAGGACCTGAAAGTGGTCGCTCTGATCATCATCAATCTGCTACATGGGAAGCTCGGCTGTTGTTTTTAGCATCCAGCACGGCTGTAAGGGCAGAGCTCTAACCGGAAACTATGTAAATGAGGATGTGTTGAAGGTGATTTTTCCAACATTATACTTTCATGCCTCGTGCGCGTTTTCTGAAAATGTGGCGAAATATGGACTGGAGCGGCTTTTGGCGCTGTTGTTTGGGCCAGTACGAAGCAGGTCTTGATCGTGAGACTCCACGGAGCTGAATGTACTGTGAGACTGCATMAATGGAGGAAGTATTGTATGTCCGAGAACTCGAATGCTGGAATCATCCCCAAGCGATCGTGACGCGCATGGCATTTGTGTCCTTTTTGTGACTATGTAAGCTGTCGTCAGGCATGCACCCATGCAAATGAGTACGGTCTCACCCACGTTATGTCATTAATCTACAGGGTTAATAAGTCATCTAGTGCAGCTGGAGTACGGTCAGTACAAAGGGGAACATGTCCGTGATCTGTGACAGCGATAAGCCCATGGGGGAAAATAATCGTTGACCTCATGATGTTCGGCATGAGTGTTCCTTCGTTCGAACTGTAACAAGCCTTTGTATTCGAGGCGAAGATCCTTCCTCTCTTCTTTCGACGTGGCTCCCGCCGGTGCTGAACTCCGAGACCGTTCAGTTGTGGACGCTGGGGATTCTGGACTTCTGCCCGTTCAAAGTTAAAGCACGGATAAGAACATCGTACAGCGCAACGGGGCAACACGTCGGACCGGTCACGTTCGCTCTTGCCGACGCTATTTCTGGTCACGGCTCCCAAAGCATGCCAGATTTCTGGGTTGCAAGTTGCATATAACTTACTGATTTCGCCAGGGAGTATAATATCCCCTGATCCCTCGAAATTCCCAGTTGATGATCTCCTAGCCGCAGCAGTGAACGATCATGTGAGCGGTTGTCATCGCGGTCGACCAGCGCCGCCGGCCGGCGGCAGACGCGCTGGGTGCATGGTCGCTTCATCTTCTGTATCACATCACAAACTTTACATTACCCAGTAGGGTAGTGGAGCGAGGCCGGCACTTGCACCTATAGCGTTCGATGATCCGAGACATGTCTCGCGGGAAGGCTGGCTACTCCCGCGACCGAAGTTCAGACTGACTACACACATATATCACGAAAGATCACCGAGGGGGATTCAGTCACTCAGTGTTGATAACGCCACGAAAGCTGCGGGCAAACCATCGTAAACGTCCATCTACCTACGTCTTGCAACGCTATACGAAGTGTGAGCATCGTAACTGGCCGAATGTCGAGAGTCGCCTCGAGCGTAGCGTAGATGGTACTTGAGGTAACTTGACGCCCTCTAGTCGGCTCTTAATCCTTGCCTAGTTCTACGTTGGGCATCAACACGCAGCGTTGTGTTTCATACAACTTCGGGAAGATCCTCACAAGATTCGAGATATCTGCTCAAGTCCCATTTGATGTGATTTCAACTGCGCTGCGCTGCTAATCGCCGCCAGGGATGCGGAAAGATAATGATCGAAGGCGCTACGCTTCCGAAATCGCGGTATATACAGCTGTTCAACTCTGTGGACCGCCGCTATATCTTTAGGTCGTCATGGACTTCGGTCAACGGTTTCGCAAAGGTGTCAGATGAGATTTTCTACCACTTTTACGAGTGGCAGATCGAACTCGCCGAGCAAGTCTGGAACGATTTAAAGATCACGTAAAGTGGAGCAGCGGAGATCTAGTGGAATGAAGTTAGCAAGTGAGCTGTTAAGACATGACCTCTGATGGTAGCGTAGCGCCATCCTAACAACTATCATACTATGCCGCGTTGTGCTTCGATATCTAAGCCTAGTACTGTTACCATCGCGGTGAAGAGTGCCTTTTAAATAAGTTGACACGCGAGCTGAAATTAGATTTAACAGKCCATGTAGGATATGTGGCTACAATTGGAGCCTGCATGAAAGCGTTCGTCAGAGAATATGCATGTTTGTCCATTACCCAGTGAAGTTCGTACAACTCTGATCTTCGACTTCATTGGTCGCACTGTTCACACTAAGAAGCGGCGTTTCACGTACTTGGTGTATGAACGCAGGAACGTAAGTAACGGGCGCTGGTGTTGTGAAAGAACGTGGCCTCATCTTCTGTAACCCAGACTTCAGAAATCTCACGGGATGAGGTACCAAGCTGTGGTTCAGTCAACCGAGCCAACTTGGAACCTAATCAGACGTCGCATGGATCTCGATGATTGAAATAATGTGCATGTGACGCTGAAGGTCACACGTTCGACAAACGGCCAAGAAGAAGCTCCACATGCCACACCGTTGTGCAGCTCCCGATCAAAAGCCGCATGGATCTAACGCGCTGCTGGCGGTGCTGCAACGCCACGCGCCACCGCCTGCCCGGGAGGGTCAATCGACTCAATTGGCTTTTCTATGGACCTCATCTGTCCGGCAAGATCTCTGTGCAACCGAAGGCCGTGCGACAGCGCTGGCACTTTGGGTCAGTGACCTGAATCCGAAGAGCTGCGCAACAGGGAATCAGATTCCCACTGCTGGCGGCTTGGACACGCGAGCGCGCAACAAGCATTCCTCGCGATTCATCATGTCAGATCTGACATGTCCGAATCGGCAGGCTGAAATGGCGGACGATCCCAGTACACTAGCACGGAAGGCGCTTTTAGAACCCAGAGTGCCGGCTTCACCGACAAGACAAGACCGTGCATTTGTGACCTGCTCGCCTGGCCACGGTGAGAGATGATGGGTGTTTTCCTGCGCCTGCGCTTAGGTATTGCCAGGATCGATCGCAGGCCTCGCAGCTGGCCCACCGTGCCCTATCATCTACACGCACATCCACACGCCCGATCATTGTCGACGACGCAACGACATCCCTCGAGGGTAAGACCGGCCGAAGCGATTTCCCCCACGCCGAGCTTGGCCTTGTGTGTTGTGCTGCGGTGCTGTTTACCCTGCCGCAACGTCGGCTCCGACCAACAATTCTTCGCGAATCAACGGGTCTGCCCTCCGCCGTGTCCGTGACCAGTCGCCCGCTAGTCGAAGAGTTAAGGTTCGCTCAGTTTTCCAAATCCCAGAGCTGGGGGTCACCTTGACGGCACCGTTGCGGCCACCGTCGAACTTTGAGAGCTCCTCGGTGCAGCGAAGCTTCGCGGACCTGGCCCTAACAGCACCGTCCTGACAACCCAGAGACGGGTCGTGTCAAACTGCGCGCCTCACCATCCCCGGCATTCCCTGTCAATTACGAGTCTGCGAATCACCCAGCTTGCCTTGGCCGCGGCCGTGAAAGCACTTTAACCGCACCGCACGATCCCCGTGCATCCGAACGGACTCGGAGGGAGGTAGTAGCTCGCCGCCCTGACCGTGGCATGGCGATATGGACATGGACTCCAGAAGACCGTCGTCTTACGCTGCTCCTCCTCTTGCTGTCCACTCGTCGCACGCCCACGACCCGCGACAGACCGCGTCGCACCAGCACCCGCACCCGCGCCAGCACCAGCAGTCTCATCCTCCCCCGCCGCCGCCACCGCCTTTTGCGCCGCCGCCGCCGCAGCAGCACCACGCGTATCAGCAGCATCAATACGCGCCGCCTCCTACGCCCCATAGCCAAGGGCCTCCTCCCGGCCAGCATCAGACAGGACCGCCGCCTCCATCTCCCCACTACTCACAGCACCACCAACCCCCGCCTCCGGCGCATAACCAACAACAACAACCTCCCCAACAGCACGCCTACTCCAGTGGACCAAGTCTGCCTCCGCAGGCGTCAGGGCCCGCGCTGCCTTCTCTACAGTCCGCGGTGTACGCGCCGCCAGCATCTGCGTCTGAGCAGCAAAGTCTACCACCATTTCGCCATCCCTCGTCTGGGCCGGTGCCGCACGATTCGCGCGACCCCGGGGCCGAATACCATCACCAGCAGCAGCAGTACAACAACGTCCGGTCCGGTCATGCCACTCCGGCGCCCATAAACAGGGCATATTCCCACGACTCTGGGCATCAACGATCGCCTGTCACACCTGGTGGGCCACCAGCGCATTTCGCACCTTCATCCTCCGGACAGGACGGTTCACAACCTCCAGCGCAGCCACACATGGAACACGGCGGTCATCACGGCTATCCCCAGAACGGTGGGCCTGTTCATCATGGCGTTCCACCACACCATAGTGAACATCCCCCACCACCTCACTATATGACGCCCACTATGGAGGGGCACCAGGGATATGCGCCTCCCGGACAATCGATGTATCCGCCAGGTAACTATGGGCCTGCGACAAGCAATATGTATGGGATGAAGCGCAAACAAATGCGCGCCACTCAAGTGAGTCCTGCGCTCCGTGATTAGGTTTGGCGGTCCGAGCTAACGTCCAACAGGCATGCGAGCAATRTAGGCAACGGAAACAGAAGTGCGACGAAGGCACACCGTGCTCGTTCTGCAAGGAAAACCATCTTTCCTGTCAATATCGCGACACGCCGCCTGCGAAGTACGAAATGAGTGTGAAAATTCTTGCACTGGAACTGGCTAACTATCATTCAGAACCGACAAAAATATGGAAAAACTGTTGAGCTACATGGAAGCACACACCGCTGGTCTGCACGAGTTGACGAACAAGATTGATAGCTTTGAAGCGCGGTTACGACGTGTGGAGCAAAATGGGGAAGAGAAGCATCCGCAACCTATGCACCAATCCCACGGCAATCATGTCAATCACGCAAATCACGCCAACCATGCTAATCATGCCAACAACTCTCATCGTCGGGACCACATGGATGCGACGTCCGCTGGAGCCGAGTCGGCTGATACGATGAGGCCTGAAGAGCTCGCAGGCTGGCCCAGAGCTGGAAGACAGGAACATCGAACAGCGCCACACAAGTTGCTACTCCTATGGCCTTCCATCAAACCCCTTCTCACAGCAGCTGGCGTTCAATACAACGACGGTTATGTGATGCAGGCCGAAGATCGTGGAATTCTACGACTTTGGACCAAAGGCGAAGGCATAGACGAGAACGATGGAACTCAGCCAGGTGGCCCTGCAAGCCCAGCGAGGAGCGATGAGCAGAGCCCTGATGCCAACCCAGGCCCCGCGCAGTATGTCGATGGTCGATGGGGCATCGGCTTTCCCTCGACGCCAAATAGCGGGCGATCCGACTACACTGGAGTTGGTGGGTTGAAAGCAAATGGGGAACTCGATCTGGACGCTGCGACCATCAATAAACTGTACGACAGCTACATGCGTAACCTCCACATCATGCATCCATTCCTGGACAAGAGACGAGTACGCAGAATGTTCGACAATTTTATCWAGAGGTACAGCAACGGACGCCCACGCGCAGCGTTCGCCGTCGGCACCAATTACGATTCGGATCAAAGACCGCTCAAAAGGCAGCGCTCAAACGGCTCCACTGCGGAGGCGACGAACGGATCTGAATCAGAATGGCGAAGAGAGCCCACAGAGCGATCACCGACGAATTGCATTATCTTCCTGGTCCTTGCGTTGGGCAAGATATGCCTCCACCGGGATCCTTTGCCAGCCATTGTCCACGACAGCAAAGCACATGTCAATAACATGGTAGCACATCAGCTCTCCGGCAATCGTGCCGCTGGCTCTCCAGCATCAATGAATATCAAGCCTTCCCCTATGTCACCAAACGCTACTCCAGTGACACAGCCAACGCCAAACTCCGACGCAGGCCATCGCAGTAGACGCTCGTCCGTCGAGGGATCGTCGCCCAACTCATACGCCGGTCCACGAAACCTAGATGTCATCCCCGGTATCGCGTACTTTGCCAAAGCGGCTGAAATCCTCGGCGAGCAAGGCGATGGGAATGATCTTGTCCATGCGCAGATGTTTCTCCTTGCTGGTTTGTATAAAGGTCAGCTGGCCCGCGTAAAAGAGAGCATGAGCTGGATCACCATGGCTGGGCGCGCCATCATCACTCTGCTCGACCGCTACAAGCTGTACAATGCCGATTATTGGAACGGTTTCGGGGATGTTCGAGCCCGACTGGAGACTGGCCAGAAGCGCATTAAGGATACGCGGCAGAGTCTGATCGTTTTGGTGTCGTGGTGCTGCCTCCAGCTGGAGAGTGATATTCTTGCCGAGATGAAGCTCCCTGACMGCGGCATACAAGACATCGAGGGTAGATTGTGCCTGCCGAATAACATGCCCGAAGACGAAGTGGAGTCGTACAGRGCCCTGGAACCGGACGGTCGGCGAGATGATTATGACAACATTCTCATGTTCTACACGGCTCAGTTGTGGCTGCGTCGAAAGCTCAACGAGGTCCATAGACAGATGTACGGAACTGACTGCATCAACCAGTCGATATCACAAGTACAAGAAATGCTGCAAGGGCATGAGTCCATATTGACCGCTTGGAGGGACTGCCTTCCTCCGGAGCTTGCGTGGAAAGACGACGACCCAGCCCCTTCTGACATTCTGGCTGCCAGGCTCCGTGCAAAGTATTGGGGAGCGCGATATGTTATTAATCGGCCTTTCTTGGACTTTGGTCTCCACATTCTCCCGGCGCTCAAAAACGGCGGGGGTGTGCCTCTCGAGGAGCTCGCTAGGGATGGCTACGGCGACAAAAGAGACCAGGCCGAAGTTCATCTCTTCAAGGCCATCGAGCGATTGGGTGAGAACGAGGTCTGGCGAGCCTCTCAGCGCTGCGTCAATGCTGCTATGAAGAGTACTGTCGCGTTTGACAATGTACCCAGCCGATTGATCGTTACCAACATTCACGGCACTGCACACGCGTAAGTGATGATTGCTTACCAATTTCGACGACAGCAAGCTAATGAGATGCAGTCAATTTGGCAACATGCTGGTCCTTACCGCCGTCGTCAAATCTAACATATTCAAGTCTCTGGTTCCCGAAGATGAATATCACCGACTACTCAAACGCACCATTGACTTTTTGCGCCGACTTTCGCCGATTTCGCCCACATGCCAGGCTGATTGCGGAATTCTGGAGAAGTTCAGCAACACTTTGTTCGGGATCGAAAGAAATGAAGATCTCAAGGAGATATACCGCAATGAAGGCGTTGAAACGATGAGTGCTGGTAACTCATTCGGCATGGCATGATAGACATGTTTAATGTGACACACACCTGGCCGCTGAACGTTGGAACGACCTCGTCCACTCGCTACGTCTCGCTCCCTATTGGGTTCTAGTCTATCGCAGCTGCGACATGTGGACCCGAGCATATAACGGATATCCTTTGCCATGGGACAATTGCCAACTCCACGGGACAGACAATGTGGTCTGCTCCATGATGCGCGCTTCGCAAGGCTACTACCGTTAGGGCTTCTCGTCTGAGCCCAGCGGACAAGACCTTCCAGCGCGACAACCGCTGTCGTCCATGTCAGTCGCATCTACTACATTGCCTGTATTACCTTTCGCCTTTCTCGGGCCCATCATGGGAGAACATGGCCCGAACTCAATCTATCCTGCCATCTACTGGTCGGATGGGACTAGGCTTTACTTTTGGGCGGATCACTGTTTTGATTGATACCCACTTGTCAGATCTATTGAGCGAGACCTTGGCTTACAAGCGGACCCCTCGTATGCTTACGATGGTAACGGCCGTACTACATTCTGCGGCGCAGGCAACATGTACAGTAGTCAATGTTAGCTGTTCTGTATATCTTAAAGTCGTATTTTCTAAATATCGATTCCACCACACACACAGCTGATGAGAGTGGACCGTCGAATACGCCAATCAACCTTCAGATCCTTTCAAGACAGCAGTCTAATTTATGTGATGACCATGACTACCTCGGCGAGGGTGAACTAATATCATCGCTTGGGCATCCAGACCGAACACCAAAGTYAAGGAAGATGCTTTTAGTCCCGCTCCTTTTTGCACTCTTCGCAAAAAGCCTCCAAATTCGTTCCGGAGTCATCATACCCACCGGACTATCGCTCCCATCTCCGAACGACAGGCCACCCGCGGCGTAGTGTACCATTTTGATTGCCATTGGAATTGTTTGTAGAGGGAAAGGGAGCACGATAGACAGTGTGCTTTGAGTGCTCGAATAGGAGCGAGAGAGATGATGTTGAAAGCTCGAACGTGGAGGGACCTACGCAGAAAATATTTGAGGCGAACCAACAGCATGATATAGCAAATCATGCCATTGCTCGTGCGGCACAGCAAAGTGTAGGAACGAGTGCGGCGTTCACGATGTGTGATTATAGAGAAGGGCGAAGCCGTACCCGCCGGCTCTCGGGCGCGTATGCACAATAGGCACACCCAGGGCAGACTAACGTGGCAGTCTCACTTGCGTTTCGAGTACGTGCTTTATACTTGCAGAATGGATCTACGAGACGAGGTGGTGAGGATGTTTGTTGCATGCCAGTGTGGTGAGGGAGCCAAGAAATCATAAAGTCGTGATTTTGTGAGTGAACCTATTCGCGCTGTCAGAATAAGTCCTCCAGAGCTTGAAGCTACTCATTTGTTTCCCGCTTTACGGCCCTCAATCACACGGAATATGTCGGCCGCATTGTTGACGTCTCCCTTGCGTTTCTTTGGCTTGCGTTTCGGTTTGTCGCCACGACTCTTCTTGTCATCCTCCCAACCATCATCTCCACCCGCAGCGCCGCCTTTCCACTCCGACAATTTGACTCTTTTCTCCTCACCCCCTTCCTGCTCGTCCTCGTAACGGCTACTCCCGAAGCCCATATCCATATCGTCGAGATCCCGGTCTTCTTGTGCGAGCATTTTGGCGCGTTTAGCCAAACGAGCAGCTTGAGCCTCTTTGTCTTCACTGGGCCCATCCTCTCCATCCCCGTTGGCACCAGCAGCACCAAGTCTGGCCGCCTTCTTGATGATGTTCTCAATGTCCTTGAAATTTTCGACGGGCTGCTGATCCTGTGGAGCATTCCTTTCGTTGAAGTAATTTCGTTTGGGTAAGTCAGTTGGTGGCTCTGAGGATGGAATGCTAGACGCGGTCGGATTTGCAGTCGGCACTTTACTCGCTACAACAGACGTCTTATCCTTGGATGGCTTGTCCAAATCGTCGCTATCATCACTGTCATCGCTGTCGCCGTCATCATCCATGTCTCCCAAAGGGTTATATTCCGTGCCGACGTTCTCGAAGATGTCATCGTCCTCATCATCGTCCGGAATAGCTTGCATAGGTTGCGCTGGTACGGCGAAGTCTGCGCCGAGGACCTCCTTACTTGGCTCCGGCATATTGGCCGCAGATTTATCTTCTACGGCGTTTTCCAACGCAAGCTTGCGAATCTTTTTCTTGACGACCCCATCCTCACCCACGGTAATGAGTACCTCTCTACCTTTATGGTCGATCTCGATTTTGGGCTTGTTCTGCTCGCCCACTCTTTTCCACCTGCCGTCGAGAGCAGGAGCAGCAGCAGCCTTGGCCTCCGCCGCAGCTTTTCGCTGCGCCTTGAGCTCCGCCACGATTTCATCCCTAGTCCGCTTCACACCTGCGACTGGTGTCGGAGCCATTGATCCTCTCTTCTCTACCTTCTCTCGTGTGACGGTCTCCACCTCGCGCTCTTCCAGTTTATCGAGCTCGTCGTCAACGTCCACCGGTTCCTCCTCATTTGCCTCGCTTTTGCTCCCACCAACCCCCATGACATCCTCGCCCCTTCGTACCCTCTCTAGTAACTTTCGATCCAGGCCTTTGACCAGATGTGCACTCTCGAAGTCGCCTCCTGTGATCTGATCGCGCAGAGCTTCGAAGGTCTCAAAAGGCAGCTGCCCTAGCTTCACCTGCTCCTCAAGGGCCTTGACACGCTGCTCCTTGTCATCTTCTGCGTCCTGTGCTTCTTGCCTGGCCTTTGCTCGGTCGACATAGCCTGCAGCGAATTTGCTTCCTTTGGGCGCATATGTCTTGAACTTTTTCGTTGGCTGCAGAGAGGCGTGACGCTCACGGATCTGGCGCRCAAAGTCGTTGTTACTGCTGACAGAACCCTTCCCTGGCCGCGGCGTCATACCGCCCAGCAGGCTCGACTTCTTCGCCCCGAACCCCGTCTTGTCTGTAGGCGAGGCATTATCCTTTCTTGCCGGTGTGTTCTGCACCAGCTTGCGGAATTGCTCGTTGTTCATTTTCATCACCGTCGGTCCATGTCAGTTGGTGTGAGGTGAATAGTCAAACATGCGAACCACTTGGCCTGCGGATGATCCTTGTTTAATGCACAAAGTTGGTGAAGTAGCATATTCTACTGAAAGTGAGCTCGAGCTAGAAGTCATGCCGGCCAAGTGCGCCGTTTACGTAATGCACCAAATCCTTCTTTATTACTACTAACCTTTAACAACTGTTTATGTCACAACCACTAGTCTAAATTCGATGTGTAATAGCTTAAAATTATTAGAAAAGCCTATACTATAATATATAAAAAGCCTAAAGTCGTTATTATAATATAAGGCGAGTAATTAGCTAGGGGTTAAGAGTAGCTAGAAAACAGCTTAGTAGCTTTAATACTACAATTAACGACTTTATCTTAACTTAATCCTTCTTTATCCTTTATAGCTTACGTACGGAGGCTTAGAGAGTATCCTATACCTATTTTTATACTAACTAGACCTCTCTAAGCCTCTCTTTCTCGGCCTATTTAGAGGCTTTTAACTTAGCCTTCTCTTTACGAGCTTGCTTAGCCTTATCCTCCTTTAACTACTTTAGAACCTTCGTATTAAGCTTTTAGAGGTTCTTTTTAGCCTTCTCGTTAACCTTAGCCTCCTCTACTATAGCCTTATTAGCTAATATAGCCTATATCTTAGTAGGTAAGTAAAATTAAGCGGAGGTAGCGGAGGTATCCTTCGGTAGGTTAAAAAGCGGCTATCTACGCCTTCGCTTCTTCTTCTTCTTAAATACGAACTCTTACTTAAGGCCCTTATTCTTAGCTATAAGTAGTTAGTTCTTAGTTTAGAGGTGTAAAATAGTATTCTTAAGTAATTAAACCTTATATAGGTCTCCCTTACTTACGGCCTATCTAACTAAGATTCTAAGTAGCCTCTATTTCTAAGTTAGAGTAATAGCGTAAGTTAGAGTAATAGTAGTTATTTCTAAGGCTAGCTACTTAAGCGGTAGTAGATTAGCCGATTATTTCTTAATATCCTTAACCTTTAGTAATTTAAGAACCTGCTATAGATTAAACGGCTAGAGGCTAGTTTTAAGCTAGCTTAAGGTAATATTCTTCTCTATAAATGCCTTCTAATATATAGTATTAAATATACGAAGGAAGTMCCTCTTAGATATAGATAAGAGGCCTATTAAGAAGTATAATAGCCGCTTAAGCTCTTAGCTATAGAACGTACTAAGGGGAGCGAATAACGATATATCTAAGGGCTATAACCTATATATTAAATAAGGTAGATAGATATATAACATAATACGATTACTTAGATAATATTAAAGGAAGCCTATATTTAGATAACTACCGTAGCTATTAATAAATAACAGCCTCTACTTACGGCTAGCTTTAGCCTTCGTAAAACGGTTAAATACCTATTCTAGCTACTATAATCTAAGGTAGTTATCCGTCTATCCGTTCGGTAAAGATGTAAGGGCCGTATAAGAGCCCTTATAATAATAGGATTAATAGAGGTAGCTAGATTAACTAACCTTAGAGAAGGGAGTATAATATAACCTAACTACTTAGCGTAGGCTTAGCGTATATATAACTCCTACGTATAGCGTATATTTAACCTATAAGAATTAGTCTTATCTTTAATCGAGTAATTACGGGTGTCTAATACATTACTACATCTTTACCCTTATAATTCTAATTCTTCTTCCTCTCTAAGGGTAGCGATCTATTAGATCCTAACGGAATAGCCCCTAGGCGCGCTGCCCGCGAAGCGACTACTCCCGAGTAGCGYTACGAAGAAGAACGCGTCGAAGAACTCCCTAACTACGGAGATATCGAAGAAGTCGCTACCGTAGAGCCTATATAGCCTACTCTAGACGAAGATACGATAGATTACGGAGAAAACGAACGCGATAAGGAAGAGACGGCTAATAAGATAATCTAGCGCCTTAAAGGCTAGAAGTAGGCTTTATAGTAGTAAGAGACGATTCGCTAACTTTAGTTAGAAGTCTAATAAATAAAGCGTAATCGTAACCGCGCCGACGTAGGCGTAGCTACTACTATACCCCGCTACGGCGTCGTACCTACGCGCCTCTTATATAAGGAAGATCCGGATACTATAAGTACCTCGAGTTTAAGCGTAGCGTATACGCGTAGCGGAGTAGGCGTAAGACCTAAGATAAAGGATCCTAAACTATTCTTAGGGGATTCTATTAAAGAGGCACGCGAATTCCTACGCTAACTTAAGATAATCTTCGCTAATACTACTACTAGCCTAGAGAGTAACTATAATAAGGTCCTCTATAGCGTTATATAGCTAGGAGGAGACGCCGCGGAGTCGTAGTATAACGAGTACGATATCGAGGCGCTTACGCCGAGCTATACGTAGGAGGATTTCTAATCGTTCGTACGTAATACTATCGGGAACCCTATATAAGGGGACCCTAAAGGAGCGGGACACCGCCCTTTAAACCCTTATCTAGGGAATCCCTCTTAGAAAGAATAAGGGAATTACACCCTTAGCAGGATTTCCCTATACGGATGCG